CTTCATGGACCATCCTTCTGGCGAATGGTCCGGCTTCATCAACGCCATCTACTTCATCGGATTCTTTGTAGCTTGCCCGCCTAGCTCATGGCTCGCAAACAAATACGGTCGTCGTCTACCAGCTCTTCTGGGCTTCATTCCACTAGCACTTGGTACTGGTCTCCAGACAGGTGCTAAGACGGAGGCAGAATGGATCGCGGGCCGTTTCATTCTCGGTATCCCAACTGCCATGTTCGCGACATCAATCCCTCTTCTCATTACTGAGATCGCGTACCCCAGCCACCGAAGTGTCATTACTGCTTTGACTAACACTAATTATTTCATCGGCGGTATCATTGCAGCTTGGACGTGCTACGGTACGAGGAACTACACTGATTGGGCCTGGAGAATACCGACGATTCTCCAGATCGCCTTGCCCCTGGTTGCCCTTCCTGCTCTGATCATGGTGCCTGAGAGTCCTCGATGGCTGGTATCTGTGGGACGAGAAGACGCAGCGCGTGAGACGCTAGGAAAGCTACACGCGGTAAGTGAAACGGAAATGATCGACCCCTATCGAGCAGTTAACTAAGTACTACGTTACAGGGCGGTGACGCGAACCATCCTCTTGTCGACTTCGAACTCCACGAAATTACGACCGCCATCGAATCCGAGAAACAAGCCGAGAAGTCAAGTTCCTGGGCATCCCTAGTGTCCACTCCCGCCCATCGTCGTCGACTCTTCATCACGGCATCACTGGCAATTTACAGTCAGTGGGTCGGTAACGGAGTCGTCAGCTACTACCTCTCCACAGTGCTTGCTACCGTGGGCATCACCAGCGTCACCGACCAAACTCTGATCATGGGATGCCTCCAGATCTGGAGTTTCTTGGCTGCAGTTGCTGGTGCTTCATGCGTTGAGAGACTGGGACGACGAGTTCTTCTCATGATCTCTTGTGCAGTCATGCTTGTTAGCTTTATCCTTATCACTGCCATGTCAGGGAGCTTTGCGCAGACTGGAGCACGATCGGTTGGAGTCACAATGATTCCGTTTGTGTTCCTATTCAATGCTGGCTATGCCATTGCTATGTTAGTCAACTCTTTTTTACCCACGTATACTCTGGATCACATGACTAACACACCTCTTCACAGAACTCCTCTTCAGGTTGCTTACCCTCTCGAGCTTTGGCCCTTCCAGCTACGTGGCCGCGGAATCTCTGCAGCCTGGATGATCATGATCCTGGCCCTCATCTTCAACGTCTTTGTCAACCCAATTGCCCTGTCGGCCATTGGCTGGAAGTACTACATCGTTTATGTGGCTCTTCTTGTCTCCTACGGTTTCGTGATTTTCTTCTTCTATCCCGAGACACGTGGGCGTACACTGGAAGAGATTTCGGTCATCTTTGGCGATGCACCAGAAGGACTTTATTCAGATGAGCTGGAAACGAAGCAAGTGATTGAGAAGGCTGATGTGAAGCACCTCGACTAGAATTTGATGATAGTGAAATTGTCTAGTGTACTTAGCGTAGCCCGTATTGATATTATGAACCAGGAACGACATCGTCTCCTTTATCCTTTGCACATGGGTCTCAGAGATTAGATAATCTGTGATTGTTTCTTTGCGTCTGGGTTTTGGTAACACCAGTGCTCTTCGCCATTCTCATCGACATGATCCAAATATCCAACCTCGAATGTTTTGCCGCCTTCGGGAGATGCGGCCAGGGCGTCGTCGCCTGCGCACCGTATTTTGTTGCACTGTTTGCATAGCTTGAGCGCCATGTCGTTTGTTTCACCGCAACCTTTTGATCCTTTGTTGCACTGCCAGTAGACATGATGGCTGCTCACTTCTGTCGTAACTCGTCCGAATTTTGTCATGGTGGATAAGATAGATGACTTGAATTTGGCAGTTGATAGCAGCTGATGAGGAGGGTTGGTCGCTGGGAACTGAGCTGAGACTTGTAATGAACATGTCCGCCGGCCAGTGAACTGATATAGAGTTCCTGAGAAACCTAGAATCTCCCATTTGACTACGCATCACGGAGATCAGAGGCCCATCCAATCACAGTAAGCATCTCTGCTGTATTTCAGCAAGTAGTGTAGGGTGATTCAAGGATCGGAGGATATGCGCCACAGAAGCTAATACCTCCTCATCAGTGGGCTTATAACCCTTACCACCATGGTGTTACTATGGGTTAGCTATCTGATTCATGTTATTGAGATTTGGTACATGACTGAAAAGAGACCTGAGGGACGTGACGCAGCACCAAGCTTTATGATGATTATATGCTTACATCCATAGAGCACAATGTCAGATTACACTGGATCACACTCTGGTAAAGCGTCACGTAACTGCAAAGTTTTCAGGATCACAGTGGAATCGTTGTTAGAAGTGAATAAACCTGAATGAAGGATAAGTATAAATGTGGTCTTTGCTACCTGGAAGCAAACCTTGAGAAATCTTCACTCCACAACAAAAAGCGTTCATGAAGACCCCACTCAAAGACATCTATACAAAGCAAAACAAAAAAACTCTTACAAACCAGAAAACTTCATAATGGCCACTACGACAACTGTACGTAAAGACCACAAGAAGTGGAAGTGCAACAGAAACATCTCGGGAAAGCTTTGCGGCACTATCAACACAATGAGTGATATTTACTGCGAGAAATGTGATAAGAGGCGACAGACCGATGATGAAGCATTTTCTGCCGATGGTTCTTCGATTGGCAGGTTGTATCACCTGGATACCAATCTGACAGAGCACTGGGAGTACACCAGTCCTGAGCCCTTGTAGGCATAATTATGAACGCAAGGTGATGGACAACGGCGCGATAAGTCAAAAAAGAATGCTAGGGCGTGGATTTTGAAAGCTCTAGAGGCTTATGGTACCTTGCTTTAATAAGCTATCATCAATTCACATTTTTTGAAGCAGAGATATTTGGCTGGTGATAACAAACATCAATCTATTGCTAGTATGCAACGCTGTAACGAGTATCATCATGTAGGACATTGGTAATATTGAACTAGCGACAGGGCAATTGAATCATGTGTAGCTATTTCACGTTGCTTTTCAAGTCTGACATTTCTACCTATTCGTCTATAGCTCTTCCGAATCTAAGTCAGTCTTCCCTCCACCTAGTGCACACTGCTTTGACTCTCTAATCAAGGCCGATGCGTTGAGTTGAACGAGGCTGCCGTTGTCCAAGTAGTCGTTCACCGTGATGCCAACACCAAGGAAGAACTGCACCCCATAACCCGGTTGTCCAAACCACGGTCTGATAGGTCCAGCCTGAACGGTGAATGATTTGGTCACGTTGTACACGTGATAGTTGTTAGGAAACTCTTGGTTCTGCCCAGTGATCAGATTCCCAGGGTGGAGAGCTCTTTGTGAGAAGGGAGCTGTAGCAGGGGAGATATAACGTCCTGAGCAACATGTAAGTATCTAATCCTGTCCTATACTGTCTCGTAGAAATTACCTGTCGGTTCTCCAAACCGGTCAACTAGCGTTCCTGGCGTGAGATTCACGTTTGCCTTGATCGGGCGTTCGTCATCATCTAGCTCAAACCCATTCTTCAACGGATACTTCCAGCCAATTGGCTTTTTGCCATCGGGTCTGGTCGTGTTGTCCCACCATTTCTCGAGGAATTCATTGGGAGTCAAGCCTCCAAAACGGTCATAGCCACTGATATATGTGCTGAGGGGGAGCTTTGTGGGGAGGTCTGTAGGCCCTAGACGTTCATCGCCACAGATGTAAATGTGTCTAAGGTTGTCGTCCCTGCGAACATTCTTCCCTGAGCAATCGCATTCTTTGCTCGTGATGTCCTCTTGAGGTATGTACAAGGCGAGGCCAGTGGCCACAAGTGATGAGAGGAGAAAGGATTTGAAGATCATGGTGAAGTTGAGAGCATCAGGCGGAGTTCCAAAGACTTGACAAGTTGAGGACCATGTGCCGGGCTCTGCATATTTATATTGCAGCTTCAAACGATGGCGCTTTTCCCATTCCAATCTCATGGCCCAATGATTTGCTCGTTAAATTAACATCTTTCCCGATCAGCTTCAGATTATTCGAGCTAGAGCTACCGCCAGTGTCTTGTGCCCTGAGCTTCAACCATTTTGGGGAGTGACCCGGTCAATAGATTCACAAGCTGAGACAAAATTGGAAACCAGACAGCCTCAGTAGTCAATAGCGTTTCGGGGGTCAGCTGTGGCTTTCTTCCAGCATTCTCTCTCCAGATTACCTGTTCCAAAATTGATCACCCGTGGATCGATTGGTCGGGCCGTCAGCGGTCGGGCCCCGTTTTAGTTATGATTCGGTGAATGGTACGGGCCGCTCCCCAGGAAATCGATAGCTTCAAATTACCCTGGTCAAAATACGGTCCAGTGGCTGGCTGAGATGCAGAAGTGGCTGGCGGTGAATGCCCCCTTTGCTCGGACCCTCCGTAGGCGATTTTTCTTCTGCCCTCTGGCGTTATTTCATTCATGTCTTGACAGATTTCAAATCGCCATTTGGTTTTGGTATCAGATGGTCGCAGGAATTTGACGAGCGATGGTGGCAATGAACTGGGTTGATTAGCTTCACCTCCAGCTCAGGACCTGTCCGCCGCCAATTCCCTTCTCCTCTCTTCTTGAGTCAAGATGACACAGCCTCCAATAATTCTCACCTTCTAGACTATTGAGGAGAACAGGCCAGAACTTTGAGGCCCGACTGGTCCAGTCCTGTCCAGATGCAGGGTGCTCAATCAATCGAGTGGTTTAGTTGACCGGGGTGTCAGTATTAGGGCTGATAGGCTATTTCACACGCTACTGCGCCACTGGAAGGAACCGCTAGAGCCCCCGCCCTTACCGACTTCCAGCACGGAGCGAGTCCCAGTGAGTCGGGGGTCGCAAAGTCACCCCGAGATCATGCTTCCAGTCTGCGCTCAATTTTTTGCGATAATGCAGATGGAGGGAATTTAATGATATTAATACTTGTGTCCAAATTGTCAATCTTATCGCACCTTGTTCATTCAATCCAATGACCGCCCGCTATTCCCTTGCATGATGCTCTGGCATCTCATACACCGCCGAATCGTGGTGGCTCAGTTCAGCTGGTCGTCCTTGGCCGGTCATCTCTGATGGCTCGACATGCTCATTTTGCCTGGGTAGGTCCTCCTTGAACACCGATAAGCGCGGTTCTAGAGGGCTTCCTCCTACTTCCACTATACCCGAGACCTTCTCCTGCTGAGCGCGTTCTCTGCGTCGCTTCATCCACAGCCAAGCAAGAACGCCGAACAGCAACGCGCCCACTCCAATGCCGACTCCAGCACCAATACCAGCTTTGGCTCCCGAACTCAGGCCTTTGGACTCCACAGGCTCTTGTGCTGGTCTATCCTTGGGCTTCTTGCCATCGGTTCCGTTTGTCGGGAGCTTTTCTGGCAGTGCTTCTGCATCAACCCAGTCGCCGTCGTAGTCCTTGAATGCCTGCACGATCGTCTCGTTGGCCCAATAGTATAGCCAAGCCTTGCCCTCGCTCTGTTGAGAGACTATGGCTAGACCGGAACTCGCGTTATCGGCGACAGGCCATGCGCGCTCTGTTTGGTTCGAGCCAAGCTGCCAACCATTCTTCGTCGACTTGACTTCGTGTATCTTCTTATCGTCGCCGATATAGAAGATACTCCGTGTTCGCGATCGGTCCACTGCTGCGCCGATGGCTTCGAGGGAAGAGTTCCAGGCGGGAAGAGAGAAGTCGGCTTCATCTTCCAAGCTCCAGTACATATCCGAGGGCAGCGTGTTGTTAGTGTAGGGTCCGAGGAACGTGTTCGGGAACGCGTCTACTACTTGTCAGCCGATGATTCAGCCAGTACCACCAGCACGATGGGCATACCTAGCGTCCAGAACCCTGACCTATCCAGGCGCGACAGCTCGACATTCTCAGAGTCCTTGGGGAAAGGTACTGTAATGTTCTTCAAGTCATGTATCGTTGACCCTAACGCCATGCCTCCGGCAATATCCTGTGAGATAGCGCCGCCATCATTCCATCCGTCATCATCAGTATACCATAGCATCTTGACTCTCCGGTCCTCATCATTATAAAATAGTCGATATCCATCTTTCTCTCCGAGGTTGACGATTGAAAGGCCCGTTTCGTTGTGGATGGAGTCGACACCCGCAGCCGCCGAGATCTGGAACTCGCGGTCACGTATAAGCTTTCCTGTCGTCATGTTACAGATGTACTTCCCCTGCACGATCGTATTATCTTCGGTTTGCCAGAAGACTTGCGCCTGGACATGCTGTGAGTTTTATACCACGATCAGTTTGGAGAGGTACCACGTACAGTGATAAAGTTCAGGTCCCCCCAGCCTACGGCTGTAAGTGCAGTGCCATTGCGTGGTGTTTCTCTTGTATCGAGGATATTCGGCTTTTCGAGTGGGAAGATTGGAATATCTTGGCTATTGCAGGTACTGTAGAGAAGCTTCCCCGTAGTAGGGTCTTGCGCGCCAACCTGTATGGTGAGGTCGGTGAAAAAAGCATACAGAGCTGAGCCGTAGCTGGCATGAACCAAGGCCAGTAAGACCAACCACGACAGCATGGTTGTTTCAATGATGAACAATGATATTGTTTCAAAAGAAGGAGCCTGCAAGAAACATCGACGCAACGAGACGAGGCGATAGAGGGTTGGGAGCATTGAAATGGAAAGAAGCAGCTGTACAGCAAGGTTTGGACCGGGGAGCCTCATTTTGCCCCTCAAGAGCTCAATTGACTGCAGGGTGATATGGCTGCGGTGATGTGAGCAAGCCACAGCACCAGACGGGACGCTTGCATGAAGTAGGCTTGATGCCGGTGAGGGATGAGTCCTCTGGCTGGCAAGCGGCTGAGACACACTCACAAACTTCCAAGGTGCCTACAATAGCTCCCCGCTGCTTTCGATGTGAACAGGCTCACGAAGGCTCTCAGCCCCCAATTCTGTCAAATTGGGATCGTGTCACACAATCGTTGGGGCTGTTTGCTGTCTGTTGAAGATTGCTTAAGTTGTCACTTATGCATACATTCTCGATGCTACTGATATCCCGCAGCAGGTCGGTGCGTTGTGTAACACCATAAAGGCTACATGGACAAGTCTCGCCAGCCATGGCCAACTTGTTGTAAATGAAGTGGGCTGCGAAACTTATGCATCTACACATGTTCTCATTCTGCTAAAGAAGCAACTTGTGTGAGACATATCCCAATTACAACCATTGATAAGACTAGGGTCTCTCGAACAGCCAAAGGTTTGGGAAACTTTGACGTTGCGTCTCGCCCCCATCATCAGCATACATCGGAAGAGGTCTTGGGGGCCAAATATTCATACCGTTGAGGCTGAAGCTGTCGGCTGGGCTAGCTCTGCTTCTGGACCTCATCGATGCCTCGCTAATTTTGGATGGCCCAAGCCCTTTTTCTTTAAATAATAACCTACATTCGGATTCCTTGCAAAGATACAGAGAGGGCTAGTTGATACGTCCCGAATGTAACGATGTAGAGCAAGTCTCAAAGCTTCCATTTTCGTTGCATTTGTCGCCCGAAGACACAGCCTACAAATTTCTAGAATGTGTTTGAGGTATTATCAATCGAATGCTTATCTCAGAGCCTGATTGCCAAGTCTGATCGCATTGGACAAGTCAAGCCTACACACGCACGGCCTGGCCCTCACCAACAGCATTCTACCACGATCAAGCCGATTCATCTTGATTGGTACTCATCTCAGCCGCAAATATGCAGTCAGCATTATTTATTGCCAATCGCAAAACCCCGCCATGATATCTCCCTGCCACCTAAAGAATGGTGCAGCGATGTTCCCTCTCCCGGATTAACTCCTGCTGCAGGGCTTCATATTCTCCATCACTGTACTCAGAGTCGGAATATTCAGAGTCCGACTTGCCCATGATCGATGAGTCATCACCATAGCCTGAATCGCTAAAGTCATCAAGAACAGATTCTTCGTATGAATTGCCGCTGCAGATGGTCAGTCACGGCTCGCGAAAAGGAATGGGATACTTACCTGACCAGCCCTGCCATGACTGTCCAGTCCGATGGCAGGTTTTCTTTGACACTGACAGCCTGTGCAGACCTACGTAAGTCTCTCCAGAATCTGTCCATACTCGGCCTTGTGAAGTAGCTCCATGATGCGACATCCTGTGATGGAAGTCAGTGCCTGTACAAGCACCTAATGAGGGACTGGATGAAAAGCCTACCAGATTTGTGCACATGTGGATGAAGGCGACAACAAACGATATCCACCTCTTAGTCTTGACAGGGCCTCTTAAACCCGGGCCTCCTCGAAATTCGATGCTGCCAGAGCCGCTCCCAAAGACATTGTCAAAGTTCCAGAGAACATATCTCTCCTGCTTAGGTTCTGGACCGGACTGCATGAGGTCTCTTATGTCTTCTTCGTCAACTTCATCGTCGAGCGCGTCCCATAGTTCTCTGAGTGCTGCTTCTTCGTGATAGCTCGATATGAGATCGTATAATGGTCCAGAACGAAGAGTGTTAGGCCTGCAGTACTTGTTGTTCTGACGATGGTACGGAAGCAGGCGAATGACCAGAGGCTCGTAGTAGACGATGCCAAATGCAATATTTCGAAGCTGGTTCAGATCAAACTCCATTTCTGGTGATGGTGACACATGAACATGGCTTCCGCAAGCAATGGATGACTCTGGCATATGGAATACACGATCCCATGAGTTCCAGAAAGTGGCCACCTCGTTCTCCCAAGTGTAGTCAGTGGAAAATATAGGTGAAACAGCCTCGAGCGGAACTATGAACAGGTCCAAATATTAGTAGGCGATCAGAATAAATTCTTGACATACTCACTGCATGGATGTTCAGGATCCCCTAACGACCCGTCCTTTGTAATCCACCACTTATCGTAGTGTTCTGGACGCTTTCGATATCGCTGATTGAGCTTGTCTGCTTCTGCTTCGGCGCCATCATATCTCAATGACGTTGCCAACTCCTCATAGTAGACAGCACGCAACAGAGGGTGCCGTACTCGTTTGGGCTCAGCAATGAGCTCCAATTCGACCCCAAAGTTGTATGAACCAAACGAAGACATGGTTGCTCACGTGAATCGAGTGGAAGATGACCGAGTCGCCCATCGCAAGCAATTGGGGAAGCCATATTCATAATCAACATATGGGTCGCAACATCAGAAACCGGGGGAGGCAATGAAAATGAATCAGGCTCTGAACTCGCAAGTTAGATTACGAATTGATGTGTATCTATGGAAGTACACAATCAGGCTCGCACTGTCTAAGAGGGTTGCATCGTCATCCATCATCCCAGTTTGTTTGAGCCTTGTATTACCACACTTTTATGATTGCAAACGCCCGCATAACGAGAGATTTTTCTGATAAAAACCTTCTTTTTACATATGTAGCAGCTGGACACCCTCTAGCGCTGGATTTGGAACCTGATGCTTACCTGGACGTGGCTTTGACTACTTGACGTGCAGATAAGAATTGCAAACGTGAGGACGCGAGCATCGCAACCACCATCCAAGGTTGCATGGCAGGGAGCGTGACCAAGGAAATTAATCAGCTCATTTAGAAAGCCACCATAAATTGCCTCGCTCGTCGCAGCCTAACGCATGCAAATTATTGACCATCAAATGTCAGGTTCCAACGGAAATCCTTCACTCCAACTCGCATAGAACTCTAGCAATTCACTCTGCCAATCACTGGGTATCAGCCCCGAAAACGACTCGAACAGGGTACTTTGTTGCGTGCATGCACATTCACGCCATGCCGGATTTACCGGCGCAGCTCTACTTCGCCTATGGCAGCAACCTTTGGCTGCAGCAAATGGCCAGCCGCTGCCCCGAAAGTTACTACGTTGGCAGGGCGGTTCTGATGGATCACCGATGGCAGATCAACAGTCGAGGCTTCGCGAATGTAATTCCTTGCAGCGGCTATAATGTGCACGGATTGGTCTACCAAGTCAGCGTCGACGATGAAGCTCGCCTTGACAGAAACGAAGGCGTCCATTCCGGCGCTTACACCAAGTCATATCATAGCGTCGTTCTGCATGAAGCGGTGGAAGACCTCCAGCTTCCAACGCGATACCTTGTCCAAGATGGTGGGCTAGATAAGGCTGTCAACGCGGTACGATCAGGGTCGCGATCTCATGAGCCCGAGCAGCAAGGCAGAATCAGAAGCAACGTGTTGGTTTATCTTAGTAGTCGTTACTGTCAGTGGGGGACCGCACGGGATGAATACGTTGACCGCATGAACTGTGGCATAAGGGATGCTGTCACTCTGGGTATCCCGAGTGACTTCTTCGAGAACACGGTCCGACCGTCGATTCCACCGAGGTCAGTCTCAAGAAGGTCCCCAAGGGAAGGTCAAACAAGAAGACAGACGCGCCAAGCTGGCCATCGCAGGGCCAGTTCGGATCCCGAAGAGCCTCATCGAAGAAGGCGGCGGAGCTCATCTCCACAACGCAGAACATGGGGCAGTGCGTTTCAGCGCCAAGGCTCAACCTTGGGACGAGGCGTACGCACCTATCAGAGAGTTTCAAGGCCATTTTCGCAATCGACCTCCTGGGCGTGGGGGTGGTGATGAAGCTGTCTCATGTCAGGCCCGCCGTATTTACTTCAGCCTACCAGAACTTATAATTTAGCATATATACGTATCCAAGCAAGACACCGTTTTCAACCCCGCTGCTCTTGTCAATGTGAGCCGTAACAAGGTGGTCATCCGCATGCAAGCCAGGTCTCAGGCTGCGCAGTGCGGCTGCTTGATGGTTGAGTCACAATTGATGCAGTTGTCTTAACCTCATATGCAACGACCCCAATTAGGGTTTCCCGTTGGACATAGGGATGCATTTCCAAAGATTGATATCACTAAAAGTAAATATGTAGAGCGTAGATGTTGTATTTCTACATGTTGTGTTTCATACACATGAGTCACCGTGAGACTGGTCTCACCAGCCTGATCTGCCTGAAACACCTGCCAATCCTGGTCAATGATGGCTGCTAAACATGCGATTATGACTGGTCCTCAGCTTGAAGGCTGAGGGTGATCAACCAAATTGGGAGATTTGAGCCGAGTATCACTGTGAGTATACGAGGGCTTGTACGAGGACTTGTCCGAAACCATGGCAGCTCAAAGAGGTCGAGCCTGCATGATAAGGCTGCCCCTTGCCAAGTGCCTTTTTGATTGTCTTACAGAGGTCATCGGTTGACTAGCCGACTGCCAATTTTAGGGGGACAGCACATGCCGAGTATTCTGTCGTTTAGCCGTTTTATGCAGCAACTCATGAAGACCAACTCCCTACAAATATTTGCCGGATGCTTGGTCACGGGGAAATCAGGACAATCGGCTTGCAAAGTCTCACAAAGTCATAGTAACAAATTGATTGACAACCACCTCAAAATAAAATCAGAACATGAATGAATACAACTATGTCTCATCTCTGTGACTCATTCAACACCTTCCAGTCTTCTGGCAAAGAGTTTCTCAACGATAGCTGACTGGCGGCTTTCTTGATCACAGTGTATAAACCCTCAGGTGTCCACGACTCCAGAGTAGAAACATTGGGGTTCGCGATGTTATTCTTGACAAGTCAGTAATGAAAAGCATTGTAAATACTTGACAGAACATACCATGTTGAGTAGAGCTTGAATCAAGGCAATCGTGAAAGCAATCCATCGTTTAGTTCTGATCTCTCCTCTGAGGCACCTCCCGCCTCTAAACTCAATGGTGCCAGAGCTCCCAGGAACGACATTGTCGAAATTCCACAGAACGTACCTATCGTTTTGCATGATGTTCTTCAAGGCCGTGGTGCTCTTTGCACTCTTGATGAGCTCCGCTATGGCGTTGTAGTTGCCGTTGCAGCGCATCAGCTGCGTCGAGTTCAGAGTATTCTGCTTGCAGTATCGATTGTTGGCTCGTTCTCGCATGAGAAGCTGTAGAATGAGATTCTCGTAGTAGACGACGCCGAATGCAATCTTCTTGACTTGGGGAAGCGAGAAGGTCTGATTGAGGCCCTTGGATACGTGGATGTGGCTTCCACAAAGAACTGATCGATCGGGCATGTGGAAAACAACACGCATGGCGGTCCAGAAGACATCGATTTCATGCTCCCAGTTATGCTCCCAGTTCGCCCTCAAACTGAGGACCGGAGAGACAGCTTCCATTGGAACTATAACTTGTCAACTTGGACCCTGATTAAGAGCGTTGAGTCTTCTTACTCTTGTCGGTATGGGACCCAAGAGACCCGTCCTTGGTGATCCACCATTTGTCGTAGTGTTCCGGTCTTTTGGTATAGCCTTGTTGCAGATCGTCGGCCTTGGCCTTCAGACCTCGCTTTCGGAGAGATGCAGCCAGTTTACTATAGTACAAAGCATGCTTGGTACTAAGTGGTGTCCGAATCTTGTGAGGTTCGACAATAACCTCTATCTCGATGCCGAAATGATAATCAGCCATGGCTAGATGAGACGAAAAGTAGTAACTTTGAGACTATCATCAGGCGCTATGACGAGCAGTCATCTTCGTCCGTTTCGTGGCTAGATATTCGACATTTCACTTCCCTCCAGCAAGACTCAGCCGCCCTCTCCCATGTTTGATACCGTGACAATAGTCATGCTTCCTGATGCTTACAGTGTCATCCATCGTAGCTGATGGTGGCCTGGGCTGACAGTCCGGAATTCCTTTTTCCATCATGATACATCGAAAATAGAAATGCCACAAAGTGCAATTTCACATGGGAGTCAGACAGACACGCAGGGTAACACATAGCAGCGTTTCGTCAAGCTTGATTGGTAGCCACCAATCAGACCGATTATGCAGTCATCATCACCAAATCGTATCATTAATCATCGGGCCGGGCGGGCGAAAAGTGCAAGTCTTGTTGGTAGGTCCTAGAGGAACTTTGAAATGAGTTTAGTATTTTAAGAGCCGCATGGGAGTCATTGAACGATTGAAACGGTGTGGGCGGTGGCGATTTAGGCCAGATGCATAATGATGAGTCCTGTATCTCGATGTTCACAGTCCGAATTATACAGTGGTCGGAGTGCAGCCTGATTGAGGCTCTTTTTCCCTTATCAGGCTGTGAGTTCATGCGACCGGTCTGCCCCGCCATCCCATTTCCCAGACTCTTCCTCTTCTCTCGTATTTTGACCTTTCATCTCCAAACAGTTTTCTAGTATCTACAGCCGAGAGTCATGTATGCCTTCAATCAGTCAGGTCCAACTTATGAGCAGTCTGCCACAGTTGACGCGCCCGGGTCAAGGATGATCAGAGCAGCCAGCACTCTATACTTTGCCTATGGGAGCAACTTGCACCTTGCGCAAATGGCCCATCGCTGTCCCGGAAGCGTTTTCAAAGGAAAGGCCATTCTTGAGTCTTATCGCTGGCAGATCAATGAGCGCGGAGTGGCCAACGTCGTTGAATCTGGAAGCAATCACTCAGTCGAAGGCCTTCTCTACATGATAGGTCCCAAAGATGAAAGGACCCTGGATCGCTCCGAAGGCGTGTCAAAGGGCTTCTACCAGAAGTATCTGATGAGAGTTTCTTTCGAACCTCATCAGCAATACGCAAACTTCAAGACCGGTAGATTATCCCACCTACTTGAGCAGCGCCGGGACTCGATGAGCGGCGATGGGACTCATTTTCCCACCAACGCCAATCGCAAAGTGAGATTCACCCAACCTCAGTTCGAACCTGTGACCTATATGGACGGCGAGGAAGATTCAGGACGCCATGCGCGTACTGAGCTAGTCAAAGCATTGGTGTACGTTAGCGAGGACTACATTACCGATGGCTCCATCAGAGAGGAGTACATCGCGAGGATGCAAAACGCCGTCAACGATGCAGTATCACTGGGGATTTCGAAATCATTTGTGAACAAATACATCGTCCCCTTTCTCGACCCCGAGCAAATTTGGCATTTGTCCGCGAGAAACCCTACAGAGACCCATGATGAACAGCCCAGCAAGTTACTGGAACTGGAGTCTGAGCCAGAAGCGCAGGCTATCGTCAATGGAGAGCCAAATAAAGAGCAAGTCGGCGACATACCTCCAGCTGAGAATAACGTGGCGGACATTTCAGAACCGGCGGGTGATAAAAAGTCAACTGACGTGGATATGAACGAAGAATCAAACCAGGAAGGTAAGATCAGCCTTGATCCCATGTTTGACGTATTCGTCGCCCTTGTTGTCACCGTATGCCTGGGTTATCTGACTTTCTGGTAGCCCTATCAATGGAGCCTACAGTCAAGGAGGATAACTTGTCTGGGCATATCGATCTATCGAAGCTTAGAGCAGAGAACCGCGACGGAGATGGTGGTTCCAGTGGCATGTTCCCCAATAATTTGTACGAGGCTGTTGACAAGGTGAACCATTCGGCCATCGATGGCAGTGGGGAGAATATTTATGTCGCCATTGTCAAACACAAGGTTAGAGAGGCTAATTCTGGCTTCAGCGTCGCCGCAGCATGTAAGGGGATTCAAGTGGCTAATGAGCTTGCTATGAAAGAGTTCAAAGCGCTGTGTGCACTGAACAGTAAGCCAGTGGTGGAAGAAGAAGAGCCAGATGTCGTGGTTGTCAAGGAGGTCTCTCCAGGTGATCTGACCTGGAAGCTAGAAGAGGACGCATATCTTCATCTCAGTAGTACAAGACCTGGGGAGGAGCCTTGGTTGATGGTATGGGTGGAGTCAAAACAACTGATTGGGTGCCAATAGATATTGCGATGACGGAACATTAGTGCCAATACTCAAGATTGGGGTGGATGGTTTGTTCATAACAAGCTAAGAGGGCGCTCTTGTGCAGTAATATTTCTTTCTATCACATAAGTACACCCCAAGCACTAGTAGCTCGTATCATACCACTTGAAATCAGCTCCCCAAAGATCCCGCTTCGTCAGAGCCTTATCCGATGGGGTGAAGTACTTTCTCTGGGACGTATCGGCACCAGCACCGGTTTTTCCGAACTCTTGGAAGACACTAATAAATTTAGCTTTTGATCACCTTTGGGATCTTCCTGTGAACTCACGGTGTTGCGCCTTCTGCCATGGATGAGTAGCCCTCTAGTCTCACCACGTTTGTCAAGGTGCTGTACTAGTACATCACTCGTGCGTTGACTCTCCAAGGACGGCCGAGGTATACTTTGTTGGTGAGATCTTGGTTGCCGGTAGATGTGATATGTATTGTGTTAGGTCATCACTATAAGTGCAAGACAATGGAACACGTACTATGCTGTGATCGATGATGTAACGTGAGGTATCGGTTGGTTCGGTCCGAGAGGATGCCGTTATATAACCCGGCCCATTGGAAGCGATGGTGGCTGGACTATATTAGAAACGCTGGCAGGGAGAGATTCATCCTGTACTTGCATTCTCCGATCCATGCATGGCCGTTGCCAAAGATGTAATCGACCGCACCTACAGTTATCAGCCAGAATTCCCAACCTTGTTAACAAAGGAATAGCCTTACCCTCGATGTAGCAGTTAAAGTAGTACATCCAGCCAGCTTTGACATATAGAGTATCCTGGTATGATTTGAAAGAGCAGCCGTAAAATCCGGTTTTTTTGCCATTTGCCATCAACGCAACAGCCTTTCATTATTTAGAATATTCTCCTCATAATATGCAGTGTAATTACCTGTCCAGCTGTATATCCGTTGACAAAGTCAATGTTGTAGGCGGCGAAGTCGTTGGACCTGAGATTTACGGTTGAGCTTGCGTCTAAGGAGCCCGCATCTTGCGAACCGATGGTATTCTTGATAACTACAGTATTCTTCTTGTAGCTTCCAGTACTGATACATTGTGTTAGTGAATTGGGGGTATCCGAATGGATATTGTCCTACTCGGCGGTTACCCCATAGAGGGTCAAGGGTGCTTTGACTTTCACCTCGACTCGCTCATTGTAAGTTCCCGAGTTGAGGAAGATACAGGTAGGTTTAGTAGGTGAGCCGATAGAGTTAACGGCAGCTTGTAGACTGGTGAACTCTGACGCACTAGCACCACTGGGCCTTACCACGATACAGTTCGCCGGAGCCACAGTGCGACTATTGCCCGCTCAGGTTGAAAGGCTGGCTGCTTCAACGGAAGATGCACCTCGACCGAAAAGAAGAGCCAATTGAACCAAGTGGAAGAGGCTCTTGGGGAACGGCATAATTATGATGATAATCAAGAACCTGTATGATCAAACGGTTTCGGTGAATGATGATGGCATGGATATGGAAAGCAGTCATTGTGTTTTCAGATGGATTTGATTGCCATTTGGATGAGCTAAGGTTATCAAGAAGCTTATCCCATTCATGGAAAATCACAGTTCGACATCAGGCTCAAATAACCCGTTTGATTTGCAACTAATCGGATCGTAAGGCAGACATTCGGCAAGTTTCTGCCGTTAAGTAACTATGCAAGAGTATCTGCATCATCTGAAAGTCATCCCAGCTTCTTGTTTCTCCGTAAGCTATCGAATAAGGAGTGTCCCAATGCAGAAACCATACCAAGTTAGCCGAGCATGAGATCAAAATCGGAAACCGAGTATCTAGTCTGGGGTTAGAGATTGGGGGCAGGCTGTGTTGACTTTGGGGTATCAGGCTAAATACATGCAGGGGCTAAATTGCGAAACATGATCACCTTGACCATTGACAGTTAGACTCCACTCAACCCTAGAAAACAATGCAGTGCAGACAATTACTTGATTGCTTGCCTGTGATCGAAACTTCATAAGTAGTGGAGGATGCGGGGACTTAGCGCGTATTCGTTTACCAAGTCCTGGGTTTACTCGGGTCCAGGTTAATTACTCATTAGAACTGAACGAATCTATAGCCCTTTCCAGTTTCCAGAAATGCAAGAGTGCGTGTTTGGTTCGATCTGTTTAGTTAGCAAAAGGGGGGTAGTATTTTCAAACTGCCGGCGAGGTTAATTGGTGGATAATTTGTTGAAACGACTCTACAATTGACTTTGAGCTGGTGGTATGAGCTTGGATTGTCCATAGGTTGACAGATTAAGGGGTTCAGCTCTACGCATAAGTCTATTCGGATGAAGTCATCAGGTGGCATATTCTAACTGACCAACCAACTACTCATTGAGAGGTGTTGATGGAAGAAGTTTACTTAAACGATGGTAGTCGCACAAGACGAAAGATTTACAGAATCAGAGATCGCATCGTCTGGCAGCTACTAAAATGCTCTTTAAATCAGTCTTCTTCGCTACTCTCATTTCACTGGTTATTCAAGGGGTCGCAGGCACTCCAACCTCACACGGCCACCACAAGCGAGCGACTTGTACTCCCAAATCAGCCGGCTCAGCCTCAACAGATGATGTCCCCGCCATCGTCGCAGCGCTGAAGCAATGCGGCAATGGTGGAGTCATCCTGTTCCCCAAAGGGACTACATACATGATCAGAAGCAAGCTCAGTTTCGCCGGCTGCACCAACTGCGAAGTCCAGCTCGACGGTCGACTCAAACTCTCGGATGATTACACATTTTGGAACAACTCCCGAACTCAGATTGATATCCGTGGTATCAACGGGCTTAAGTTTCGTAGTCCCTCTGGTACTGGGGAGATTGATGGTAATGGACAAGCTGCATGGGATCGTTTTGGATCAGTTGGGGATTTGAAGAGGCCCGTCATGTTTGCGGTGGAGGGCTCCACTGATGTTGAGGTCAATGGTTTTCTCATGAAGAATGCACAGAATGTTTTTGTTGATATCGGATCAAACAGTGAGAGGGTCAAGTTCCTCAACATGCATTTGACTGCCATCAGCAAATCCAGTTATCCACCAAAGAACACTGATAGATTTGATATCGGAGCGTCCAAGTACACCACTCTTTCGAACATCTTCATCCAGAACGAGGATGATTGCGTTGCATTCAAAACAGGGTGCGATCAAGTGACAGTAACCGACATCACCTGCCAGGGATCCCATGGCCTATCAGTCGGTTCTCTTGGCAAGACAAACACCGATATAGTCACCAACGTCTACGTGAGAAATGCCACCATGAAAGGCGCTACGAAAGCGGCTGGTATCAAGATCTACCCCGGTGGCCCTGATCACGGCACAGCAGTTGTCCGCAACGTTACCTGGGATGGCGTAATCGTTGATAACTGCGGTGCCGCATTTGAATTTGATGCTTGCTACAACGAAGACGAGTCCTACTGCAAACAGTATCCCAGTACCGCGCAGGTGACAGAGATCTACGTCAAGAACTTCTCGGGAAAGACTAGTACTAAGTATGCGCCTACTACAGGCCATGTATACTGCCCTGTTGAGGGAAACAATTGCCATGTTGAGTTTACGAACTGGACTGTCAAGTCGGGAACTCGTGCTGGGCAGTTTTTGTGTCAGAACATCAGCTCTGATGTTTTAGGTATTACCTGCAAGGCTCCTTAAGGCACACATCACGATGGACCGGCCATTAGGGATCAAGATGCTTTTTGGCCTTGACTTAGGGAATAGCCCATTGATCCTCACTAGATTTATCCAAATCTTCTTGATACTTAGATTAGAGGTCCCATGGAAGTCTGCTGAGGATCATGTCGGTTTTCCCCAAGCAGTTTAGTGCATTAGCACAGCCAACCGGATAGCAGGGATTGGCCAAAACCCCACCATCTCATGAAGTGCAAACCGACCAGATAATCCCCCAACAACCGACTCTTACCATTTCATGATCTCTTTGGCCTATCACAACCTCGAGACTGCCTTTCCGACCAAATCGGCCCGTAAAAATGGCGAACCAGAATCTAGCAGGTCATATCACCAAGTTCCGGGTGACCCAAACCCCACGGATCAAGCGGAACAGACCTGCCGTTTCTTGCTCAACATGTCGTGCGCGCAAGCAGAAATGCGACAGACAACAACCATGTGGTCCATGTCAGAAGCGTGGAGTCGAGGACTCATGTCACCTAGACCCAACTCCGCGACCACCGCCTGCTTCCCTGGCCAATCGTGGTGATAGTCGAGTTCAGAATGAGCTTAGGCAGATGCAGAGCCTTCTCCAAAGTCTCCTCAGCCAGCCTAACCAGGACCAAGCGGCTACATCCTGCGATACTCTAGCCGCGGGTGTGGATCGCATTCGGCAAGCCTTCAGTGGCAATAATTGCAGGGCTGTGACAGCTCCGCAAGTGGACCAACCTCCAGACATCGTGTTCGGATCTCTCGCCAAAGCTACCTCAAAAGATGTTCTAGCGGCTTTGCCCTCCCGCCACGATTCTGATAAGATAGTATCGGATTACCTTAATGCAAGACACATTGCTGTACCGTTCATTCATATTCACCAATTCCGCAGACAGTACGAAGCCTTTTGGAACAACACTGAATCTGCGAACCTTCTGTGGGCAAGCATCCTATTTTCAGTCCTCACAGTTGGTACCATCATACCTGATGACAGGGAAGGCCGCTGCCAGTCTTCGGCATTTATTTCCATGTCAGCCAGATGCCTTGTATCCGGACAGTACAGCACCGCAACTGAATTCTCAGTTGAGGCCTTGGCTACGCATCTTCATGCACGATGTTTCCTTCAAGAGGACGGCAACGTCAATCTCTCCCAGCTTCATGCGTTGACCGTTCGTATCGCCCAACAGCGGGGCTATCATCAAGATGGAGGCGACTTCTTACAGGCTCTGACGCCTTTCCAAGTTGAGATGAGACGGCGCGTTTGGTATTACCTCCAATACTACGATGTCTTGCTCTCTCTTGAGCATGGACTACCGCCTGTGATACACGAAGATACGTACTCTATCAGTCATCCAACAAATGTAACAGATGATGAGTTCGATGAGGAATCGAAGATTGTCTTCTCTAGTCCAGTGACAGAGGCCTATGCTGTGCTCCCTTGCGCATACATGTCCCAACTGTTGCCAATTCTGAGACGCATCATTTGCCACGCCCTTGGCTTCAAAACCTGCAGCTATAAGGATGCCCACTCCCTTAAATCGCAGCTTGAGACATGGTACAGGTCGATTCCACCCAGCCTCCGCGTGCATTCCGTCAAGGATACTTGCTTGACAAAAACTACTTCTACGGCTATGCACCGTGTCCTATTTCAGCTCATCTACAACACAGGAATCGCGCTAATATATCGTCCCTTCCTCAATATCATGAGCCTTGAGAATAGGTATTGCGAAACTGCGCTCGACGTGTCTCGCAAGAACGCACTAAGATCTATTGAAGTGTATATAGAGGTTGGCAAGGAGATGCAGAGTGGAGGAGGACTCTATAACGACCCACAAGTCAAGGCTAACTTACCCGTCAATGATTTCTTTATAACAATGATAATGGCACCGCTTGAGTTTTTCGGTTGCCCCGACTTGCCGTAAGTCTGCCTTGAAGGGGAGACCAATAGCTGAGACTGAAGGATTGCAGGCAAAGCCAAAAGGGCTACATTATTCATACTCTCGAAACGGCAGCACAGTTGTGGCCCACGAGATCTTGTGTCTCTTCATACGCCCTCGAAAGCTCCCGATTGCTTCAGGTCATCCTGGCAGACATATATTCGTCGACATCGATTGAGCGTCCTATTTACCCTAACGTCTCTGATCTAAACCAGGAAAATGTCCTCTTACAATGCTTTGGAAATTATGGTTCAAGAAATGGGGATGTCAGTGAATTCGACAACTTGCAATGGAACACCACTGCAATACCGGATTGGGTTTGTACACATGTTCACATGCAGAGATGCGCCACTGACAATATCTAGGGCTCGGTGAACTTGTTGACTGATTATGAGGAATTCGACAGATCAATCACAGAAGAGTCAATCATCGGCGCTTAGGGCTGTGCTGCTTACCTGTTCTGCGTGTATGGCGAGATATAGTGGGGTGTCGGAGTTGGCGGTTGTAACAGTTGCCGATTTGGGTAATGAACATGTCCGACTTTAGATCCGACGCTGCGCCAAGACGCTCAACGGGCCATCAGTCAATATTCCCGGAAACAATGCTACCATTGAGATTCCTTTTGATTTTGCACGCCTTGAAGAGGTAGCTGATTAATATCTGGGTATAAGAGGAGTGCTTGCCTCCCTCAACAACTGTTCTGCATCCAGCTAGGGACTCATCTCACATTCCAACTCAACCATCTATCACCAACACATCTTTAAAATGAGCGACCTAGCTATTCCCGAGTTCGCAACCTCTCTTGTCCTTCCCGCCTTCAACGAATCTCTCAAACTCCAGAAGACCCCACTTCCCAAGATTGTTCCTCCTGGATCAGCCATTGTCCGTGTCCTCAGCACTCCAGTACGCCCCCACCAACGCGAAGGCTTTAAAGGAAACAGTCCTCTTTCTTTCAAGCCCCCGTACAACCCCGGAGATGGTGGTGTTGGCCGCGTCGTATCCGTTGGGCCTGATGCTGTCGCTCTCAAGCCTGGCCAGCTTGTCTACATGAACAACTTCATCACGGCAAGAGATGATCCCAACACCCGAGTCCTGCTCGGTATTCATGATGGCGGTGGTGCTGAAGCTGACTTGAAGCTTTTCAACCTCTGGAAAGGCTTCTGGAGAGATATTGCAGTTGTTGCTGCGGAGAATGCCATCCCTCTCGACGAAAAGATTCTCATCAATGAGATGGGTTACTCCTATGGAGACCTGAGCTATATCCAGCGCCTCTCGGTCGCATACGGCGGTATCAGAGCCGCCAATCTTCAAGCCGGCGAGACTGTCATTGTTGCTCCAGCTACAGGTCACTTTTCTGGCGCTGTGGTCGAATTGGCTGCCCAGGTCGGTTGTCGTGTAATTGCGCTTTCGCGCTCGGCATCTAAGCTGAAGCCTCTCACGTCTCGCTACCCTCGTATTACAGCTGTTGAGCTCACTGGCGATGAGAAGAGGGATGCCGAGGCCATTGGCGCACTTTTGCCCAGAGGCGCTGATGCTTACATCGACGTTTCTCCGCCTGCAGCGACAGCTTCACATCAGCACCTCAATATTTCTATTAACTCACTGGCGCCCTACGGTCGTGTTGTCTTTCTGGGCATGATGTTCGATATCAAGATCAACTATGCTAGCCTCATGGTTCGCAACATCACGATCAAAGCGCAGTTCATGTATACCCGCCAGGAGTTGGTGTCTTTGGTCAAGATGATTGAGACGGGAGTTCTCAAACTGGGCAAGGAGGCTGGGCATGAGATTGTGGAGAAGGGGTTCTCCATGGAAGAATGGGAGAAGGCAGTCACTGTTGCAGAGACGGCTATGGCTTGGGGTCAGCAGGTCCTGCTCTATCCCTAGACAACTACCATTGCGGGATAGGATCGGTGGAGACTTCCAAGCAGCTTCTATTATAATCTATATAATCTCCTTTTGTTCCGTTGCTTGTCTGTCGCCCATATCTACCTCGTTCTAAGCAAGTCCTAATTTCCCATCACTCACCCCCAGCTGCTCAACTGTCGCGAATATGTATCGAGAACCCCTTCACGTTCTTCCCCTCCAAACCTGGCTTGAGAGTCAAGTTAGGTATCTCATAGTCACCGCCATTTTGTGGTCTGTAAGCAATAGGCTCGATGGTGTCCAAATGCCTCAGCCTTTCACGAAGCCTCTCCGCCTCTTTCTCAAAGCCAGTTTGATCCAACCTATCAGTCTGATAAACGACGTGAGATGGAAGAACCTGAAACCCGGGATAGTATAGCACCCCGTGATTGATAGGGAATAGTAAGTCGTCAATATGTCCGGCAACTCCGCGTGTTGAGAAATGCTCCTTCTTGCCCCCGGCAGTAACAATGAGCATCGCTCGCTTTCCAGCGAAAACTCCCTCACCATATCTATCACCATAATGCTTGTCGCTATGCTCGCCATATCCATATGCGAACCCCATAGAAAACACTCTTTCGACCCAACCTTTGAGAATAGCGGGCATGGTATACCACCAGAGCGGAAAGTGAATTAGGACAACGTCGGCCCAGAGTAGCTTTTCTTGTTCGGTTCTGACATCCTCGGTAAGGTTTCCTGCGGTGTATGAATCCCTTGATGCGTATGCAACCTTGAGACGGGCATCGGATACCAGATTTGGGAAGTCTGAGCGATCGACCTTGGCTTTCCATTCCATTGAGTATAGGTCTGAGGTCTTGACTTGATGACCTTGAGCTTTGAGCTCGTTCACAGAGACTTGGAACAGAGATCCATTGAAGGATCGGGGCTCAGGATGGGCAAGGACGATGAAAATTTTCATGTTAATGAAAAGTCGTGATGATTGGTGCTTAGCATTCGATATTGTCTTGGTCTTCGGTCATTTATATACGGAAAAGTTGTCCCATTTTAGTCAAAAGGTCTTCTTCCAGGAAATCTATCATGACATGATCGGCTAAAAACGAATCCGATTGAGTTGAGTTCAGCCTATCATGGCTCAGACGGGCCAACTTCGCACCGGATAGTCCCCGAGCCCAGCCAGAGGTTGATCGTGGGTAGTGGGCTGGACTATCACGTTTCTTGCTTAATTTGTCCGTTTCTCGTCCGAGACCCCGAGATAACGTTATACTATCATTCGATCCGCTCCATAAACCCACGAAACAAAACTCCACAACGAATCAAAGTGCGGACTGGAAATAACACCTAGCTGATGATTAATGAATCATTTTCGCTCATTTTCGCACTTCGGTTCACTCAATGTCCGACTATGCACCAAGATTGTAGCTACTACACACCGCTGATAAGCCACTTAAGTTCCGACTCTGAGGGACAATCAATCCTGTAAAAACCATCATGATTTTATATGAAATTCTTTTTAGCTGTCTTGAAGCCCTAATTTGTTGTCTCATCATTTCCCAGGTCCCAAACGCCTTTCCATGCACGCCCTCTCAAAAGCCAAATGGTAATGAATCCATACTCTCAATATTTTCCTCTGCTTCTTCCTTCAGACATCTTTCGCAGGTACATTTGAACTGAAACTGTTCTTGCGTATGATTTTGCCTACTTAAGAGGTCTTTATGCGTTGTTAGATCGAAGTATGTGATCATGCATTCTTCACCCTTTGTGATATCACGGGCTGCTGTATAGACCATTCGTGCTTGGCCGTCGGGTTTGTGAGTGACCTATGAGACCTGTCAGTGGCACGTTCACGGGGCGTTTCTTATCCCTATTCGCTCACATTTGGTAGGCAAGAATGGTTAAACTGGGCAGCACGGGGATACAGGGCCATTCCGTACGATTCACCTCTTGGTGCAGCGTTGTCATTCACGGGCTGAGAGCCAGTAGCCCTCGGATACAGGCCAAAGGTATTGGTCTCTTCCTTGCATAATAGCAAAAGCATTTGTTCGGCACTTAGCAGGGGCGGTAGAACAGTCGCATCACTCAGATACTCGTGGACCAGTCGTTTCCAATGTGTAATCTGCACCTCGGGCCACGAGTCGAGGTACGCACAGCACATGTCCACGGCTTTCCAGCCACGTAAGAAATGGGCCTCCCATGGATGCCGCTGTTGTGCAAGAACGTTACCGCTGTGTAACTCGGCATTCCACGTGGCAAGCAGTCGAACAACATGCCAGACCGTAGCGAAATTGTACTCTCCCTCTTTCTGGCGAAGTGCTTCTGCGTGTTTCTTCAGCCAAGAGCACTCAAAGTTATGACGGCTCTTATCCGTCGCTCGGCATGCGACATTACACCAGACAACATCCTTTAAACAGGCATGCTCACAGCGGACGGCGCGACCATTTTGCGGGACACGGCGGGAGCACGACAAATTGCTGCAGATAAGCGGTTCGTTGGAGGTCACAGAAGGGACGATAGCATATGGTATGTCTACGAGAAGAACTGTTCCTTCTCGAATAGGACCCGTGGCTCGAAGCAATCTACCCTTGCAGGGGTCTTGATCAGGGACCAGATTCGGATGTACGTAAAAGTCCAGATCGTGAGTGACGACATTCGAAGGTTTTAGCGTACTCCTTGGTGCCTTGGGGGGCAGTCGGGGTTTTTGGAACTCCATTGTGGTTGAGATAGACAGCGATAAAGAGAATGACAAGAGAAATGGGAATTAAATGAATGGGAAAAAGAATTTGCTGGCAAAGTCGCTACTGAGCATTTGTGTTCTGGACCCTCGGAACGATCGAATACGGTTAGATGAGGAGGCCACTAAGACACCATCGCCACAGAGATAAGGGTATCATTTCGGCGTAACCTTTTGCGGCTTAAAGCCAATTGCTGTATCACTGTATCAGAAAGGCGGTATGTATTTTGAGGTTAGACACTGTAAGAAAAGTACATTGTGATAAGCTCAAAGCTTGACGTGGACGAAGAGATTAGTTTTTCACCATCAACGTCACATGATTATAGTTGTCAGCTTTTTGGACGATGCTGCGCATGTTAGAGAGCATAAACGTCAGAAACTCCAATCAGTCAGTTAAGCTTCCACAGGAAAATATTTCTTTGTGGCTTTTTACGTCAACATTCGGCGGGTTTGTCGCCCCGTTAAATCGGCATTCCAATAGCCGCTTGTCGCCCTTGCATCCAAGATCTGAGTGGAGAGGGACCACATGGAAGCTAGGGATAATCCCTCCAGTGAGATTGTTTCCCGTCACACGTGTCACTAATAATAGCACAGCACATCCGGCTGCTGAGCTTCCATCATGCTTCGACAGAAAATAATGTTCTTCGAAGTTAAGTACAACCTAAACTACAGTTCCGATTTTACAAACACTCCGTGATCAATCTCTTGAGCCACGGGCTTGTAAGTCCATTGGGTCACATAGACATCGCCTCCCTTAGGACAGTCCACTCCAGATCCTTTGCCGTTACAGGTAGCATAAGGTCCAAGCAAGCTACCAACAAATTGGCCCATTCCTCCACTGACAAGACTTGCCGATGCTGTCGCGATGTTGAGAGTCTTGCCCCTGTGGCTTGAAGCTCCAAGGTTGTAGTGCGTCGCGTTGGCTGCCTCGATATGTAGACTAATTACGCCCTTCTCCCAGCCATCGGGGACCGGTACTACCTTTGGCGCAGGAACATTCTGAGCTCCTGTGGCTCGGAATCGGAAGGCGAGTTTGGACTTCTTGTTGCCGCCTTGCTTTGTAGGGAGACGAACGATGCCAAGGTCGATATGGTCGAACTGCGTGCGAAAAACGGTGATTCCAGCTTCCTGGTCGTCGGACTTGGGCTTGAAGTCGATATCAACACTGTACTTGAACAGAGTGTGAGTTTGTCGACGTCCGATGAAGGCTAGACCTCGCTGTCCTGAAAGCTCAATCTCATCTCCAACCAACACACTGCCGGTAACATTGTTGCGGCTAGACACAATATGTAGACCCTTGGGGGACAAAGAGAAGGCACCCTCTCTGGGGACTCTATGGTGCACAAAGTGAGGCGGAATCTTCTTAGTCTTCTTCAGATTGTAGTTATCCGGGTCAGCGTTGAAGGGCCCATCTCCGGGAACGTTTCGTGTCGGCTTTGGGAGGAGGTTTCCAGGCATGCGGCCTCGCACTGGTTGCAGCTTGGGCCATTCGCCCTTGTTCCATGTACCGTTGAACAAAACAGCTTCACGGCCCATGGGCGAGACTCCAGGCGCTGTGATGCGAGTAGCAAGACAGAGACCCCACCAGTTGCCCTTGGTATCCTGGAACAAGTCACCGTGACCAACAGTCTGGAAGTACTCGGATGTTCCACGGTTGGTCAAGATCGGGTTGTTCTCGTAGGCTTCATATGGGCCGGTGATCTTGCGGGCTCGAGCGATTGTAATAGCGTGGTCCTCGGCAGTTCCGCCTTCGGCAATCATGAGATAGTAGTAACCATCGCGCTTGTAGATATGGGGTCCCTCAGGCCATACGCCTCCAGTCCCGTTCCAAATGTTGAGCTCCGGGCTCAGCTCCCCAGTTTCCAAATCAAGCTCCTGCAGAGTGATGCCATGGGTAGCACAATAAACCTTTCCATCGTCGTCCCAAAAGAGGTCGGGATCAATGTGTGTTGGCTTGAAGGTAACAGGGTCGCTCCAGCTACTCTCGTCCCACGGGTTTGTGGTCTTGAAGATGACTCCAATGATATCTCCAACGCCTAGGTATTCGCAGATGACGTAGTATGTTCCCTTGTGGTATCGAATGGTTGGTGCGTACATGCCCTGCTGCTGCCCAGCAGTCTTCCAGCTAATGCCAGGCAACTGTTTCTCACGGTTCCAGACATGACTGATGAGACGCCAGTTAACTAGATCCCTCGAAGCATAGACGGGAAGACCTGGGAAAGAGATGAAAGTTGAAGTGACACAGAGAAAGAGGCCATCTTTCTGAATGCATGATGGGTCTGAGTGCCATCCCGGAAGGACAGGGTTGGTGTATGTCGAAACGTCCGTCTTGGTTTCAGGAAGAGCACTTCCCATCGCGAGAAGCGGGCACAATAACCAAGAGAAGCGCATTTTGAACCCACTCAAGTGATATCGTCCTGGTTACACCAGACATCGCTTCAATCGAAGCTACTACCCGTTATATAGGCACATTCGAGCCGTCGATCATGAGATAGATTCAGGCAAATGCGGGGGAGGAAACGGCTGAATTACGATCCCCCGGAAACAAATCGTTCGCGATTGATGCCGATTCGAGCGCTAGATCTTGACCCTTGTTGGTAGCATGACGATCTTGTCAAAGAGCGCATTGAACCTGCAGAATGAGGGGTCTTGATGCAACTCCAACCTGCCTGATTCTGCAAAATAGGCTGATTCAACGACCCAGAAAATAAATTCAAGCGTCATGGAGAAGGCGATGAAGCTATTTAGGCTATTCGGATGCTGTTAGTAATTCATTTCATGACCTTGAAGAACGCCACTTCAATACGGCGAAAGGTTAAAGGTCGAGCTGTCAAACAACTGCGCTCATTTTTTGGCCATCTCTTTCACAAAAATGCTTGATATAAAATGGTAGGATTCTTCTTCTTAACTAATGCACAATGTTATCTATTAGAGTGCGTCAACACGGCATCGATACTGCGTACTGATTCTGCTGGTGTTGATAAATTCCGTAACAAATCATGATTGATATGATGTGTTTTAACAATATGCCACTGCTCGCATCATTCCTTGGCGATTGTCCAAGGTAATAAGAATGGAGGTTTGAATACCATTGGAAAATGCCCAAAAAGCTATGGATGTCGTGAATGGAATTGGCAATCCCAGGACTCACAATTGACTACTCAATTATCCATGGCGGTCAACATGATGCGGCTGGTGTAGGGTAGCATGAATGGCACCATACCATAGTTCCCTAGTGGGCCTGGGGAAGCTTCGCGAAACAGCATGGAATTGCTTGTCGCGTCAAACAACAAATGCCTCAGGCCCTCCAATTCGATGCGATTCCACGGTCTCACAGTCTGCGAGTACCCTCGCTTGTATCCCCAGGACTAGAATATTCTTATCGATGCTCTGACAATGAGATCTGGTTGACGTCACCTGCAACCCTACCGACATGAAGAAAGTCGCCGAAACATCGTGATCCTGACCGCAATTTCTCAAGCATCTGGAAATACATAATACTTTTTCGGATTTATTACTTATTTATAATCAGTTAATGCTCTGTTTTTTTCTTTCTTGGTTTGCTTTATGCTTGGATAGTGAGTTTTGTTGACAGACGCGCAAATGTCTCTCGCCCAACACGTAACCCAGACTGAGGGCTTCGACTATGAGGGCCCAGCGAATCCCAACTATGAAGGTCCGAGTCATCCGAATGTTTCTACTGGCTTTGGGACGGGAAATTCTCTTGCTCCTGGAGATGAATGCGATCAAAGCGGTGATCGATCAGAATGGCGACGATTGAGTTTTGCGCCTGTTGAGGTTGCTAAGAAATTGCCCAACATCGCGGCCTACAAAGTCTCCAACCTCAAGCGCTACAGTGAGTCAATCAGCTGGCCCAATCGAGACACATTTCTAACATCTTGCAGTTCAAGTCGCCACTGGTATAATCGCTTGTTGGTTTGCAGCAGGTATTGTCTTTGGCTTCGCTGCCCTCAAGCCAATTCTCGTCAAAGAGGGCATCTACTCCGAACTCTGCCCAGTGGTGGACTACAGGATCCCATGCGCCGATCAGGACATGCGCTTGAATCTTTTGTTCATCTCGGCTTCAATCTCCGCCAATGTTTCTTCTCTTTTGGCTGGCGCCGTCCTTGATCGCTTCGGTCGACGAGTATGCTGGCTGGTGTCAAGTGCTCTGCTCACCCTCGGTTCCTTGATGATGGCCATCTCATTCTCGCACCCCGGCTTCCACGGATACCTCATCGGTAACATCCTTCTCGCTTTCGGTGGTACATTTATCTTCGTCTCTAGTTACCAACTCGCGAACGCGTTTCCGAAATATTCTGGACTAATCGTCGCGCTCGTCACCGGCGCATTTGATGCCTCGGCTGCAGTGTTTTTGTTCTATCGTATGGCTTATGAAGCCTCCGGCGGATCATTCTCACTCCACAGATTCTTCTATGGCTACATCTCCGTCCCGGTAGCCATTTTCGTCGCTGAATTTCTGTGGATGCCAGCGCACTCGTACCATACCTTTCCGCAACTCGAGAAGAAGATTGAGTACGCCCAAGACCGCACTCACGATCTTCACGAATCGGACATAGACTTCGAAAATGCAAATGAACTTGCTCGCGTTCGAAGTGCCCGAGCCGGCCACAGAAAAGCCAAGCTTGTCAAGATCGAGGAACTCGCTGGTGATAGACAAGAACGAGGCGAACGCGTCAAAGAAGAGGAAGGCCGTCAAGAAGCTAGCGGGGTTTGGGGTGTTCTCCACGGAATGCCAGCTCACAAGCAGATGATGACGCCTTGGTTCATCCTCATTCTGGTTTTGACCATCCTCCAGATGATTCGAATGAACTACTTCATCGCTGGTGTCAGATCGCAATATCGATACATGTTGGGCTCCGACAAAGCCGCCGAGCGCATCAATGAGTTCTTCGATGCTGCTCTGCCCATTGGAGGCGTTGCTGCGACGCCATTCATTGGGATCTTGCTCAATAACCTGAGTGTTCCCGCCACCTTTTCCGTTTTGACGGTGTTTATTATCGTGATCGGCGTCCTGAACTGCATTCCGAACATGATAGCTGGATACTTCACGGTCGTTGCGTTCGTCTTCTTCCGTCCGCTATATTATTCCGCCGTTTCGTAAGTACCATTTCAATGGCCTCATCAACTATAGTTACTGACCTGTATCTTAGTGACTACGCGACGAAAGTCTTTGGGTTCGCCACGTTCGGGCGCATTTATGGAACGGTGACTTGCATCTCCGGAATTACGCAGCTCATCCAGTCCGGACTCGACGCGCTCACTCATGGTCCACTTCACGATGACCCAACGCCCGTCAACGCGACCTTGGGGGGCGCTGGAGCCCTGGTCAGTCTTATTTTGACTATCTTCATTACTGTCAAGGGTAGAGTCTTTGTTGAGAAGAAGGTTGAGATATGGGCCAACGGTGAAAGAGAACGACTCTTGTCAGATGCCCGGAATGGATATGGAACGGGTCATCGAGTTGAAGAATGATTGATGTCTCTATAAGGTGTTTTATGAGCCAATTTGGAAGTCACTTCGCAAGGTTGCCTCGCATTTCTGTTATGCCGGAACCTTTTAATAGTTATCTGTCATGGATTATGTGTACTCACGGAAATGTGGTGTATTACCTTGAGTTCTCACCGCTTGAATTCATCAAGATTTAAGAAAATAAATAATGCAGGAGTTTGCTGGTTACGGATACTCAGGTTAAATTATTATTATTATTATTATTATTAATGGTATAGATTCTGTTTGTTATGTGTGTCAATCGGGCTGTATAAACATTAGAACTAGAGAGCTTATGAATACTAAAATATTCTTAAAATCAATATCCTCGGTGCCCAGTCGATAACAATGATGTAATTGCGGCTTGATAAGTTCCACGCGCCAATGTGTCGCCCCGAACCTCTCTCGTGACAAGCAAGCGTCCGGCCTCGCCATTTTCCCTATAACAGCATGCAACGAATCTGATTAATACATGTGAATTTCGACTCGAACCGAACATACAGCGAAGAAAGCTCCAGATTGTATGTTATGTGATAGACTTCGATGCATTTGAGTCTCGAAATTACCTGGATGTAGGGAGCCAGGTAGTGCCAATGAGCTTGGAAGGATCGAAAAGGAGCCCGTTTACTAACCTGTAATAACTACAAGACAATGTCTCGCTTAGTATACAAGCATATTTTATCCAGATGCGATCCATAACGCCTACTAGTTTAAGTCGGCCCAAGCTGAGACATCGGCCGTTGTTGCTCCCTTGCAGCTACACATACCGACTAACGACTCTCAACTCCTGAGCGACCAGAGTTTTCCATTCCTCACATCAGAGGCCGGAGTAAATTCTCCCTTTAATTTGGATATTCGAGAAAAGCCATTAAATGCTATCCCTCGCCTCCTTCGCGCTCTGTCGGTAAGCTGCTAGTCTTGGTACGCATGAAAATGTCACCACGACTCGTTTCACTACTGCTTTTAGGTCTGATCACACAAGCTGGTGCCGGGTACGTTTTCAAGAAACCGGATACAGTCTGCGTAACGTACTTGTCAACGTACTTTGTCCCTATATCGTCAAATGCCCCGGGTTCTGTACGGACAGATGACGCGAACATCACATCGCAGACATTTGATGCCGTGGCAGCTTCTACCACATTTGAGTCCGGAATTGGTCCATCCCTCGATCTTACTGAGACTCTTCAGCTTCTCGGCCTCTTTCTGATGATTCTGGTCAGTTAATCACAACTTCCGTCATAACCGATATGAATACTGCGAACTCCGATCCTACGACAGCGCCCGGGCCTGACGACCAGCTCGTTGTCTTCCGCATCGTCTCAGAGACTGATAAATCAAGACAGGGGAGTCTTAAGAGAGCGCTTGGGGGCTTCATAGGCTCTGGCTCTGGCTCTGAGATATGCAGGATGCCTCTGCGTTTAGCCTCTCTGACGGTCGCCTTCTTGACGACGGGAAACCGATTTACTATAACGGCGAAGACTAAAAGGAACTACAAGGTCAGCAGACGACACCACCTCGCGGTGCCGTTACTACCACGTTTGCCGGTGATGGTAGATTCCTTCTCTTTCGCAGCCCTGACCTGCCGAATGGCGAAGCAGGCTTCTGTTAGAGCCCAGGAACTGGTCAGGTTTACGTAACCTTCAGGTCCTCACCAACTGGCTGCGTGTCGGTCAGGCTGTCCGTCGTTGGAGGTATGCTGTTATCTAATATACCCTAAGTGTCGCCAGAAGCTAACCCTTGGTTATAGTTGATGACTGTAAGGATGGACAAACGTCTGCAAGCGCTGCCCCTAAGTCAACCGATCTACGGATCCTGCAACCTACAGCGAACTCTGCACTCACATCCATTCCTTTCAGTACAGCCATTGCTTATGTTCCTGACGATTCCTCTGACTTCACGTCGCTTGTAGACTTTACGAGTCTCATTCTTCCGTCTATGGAACCTACACAGACGCGACCTTTGCACACAAGTTCTTTTCGCTTTCCTAATACTTCAACCAATGCGTTCCCTACGGTGCCAATCGAGACATCCGAAGATCTGACTTTTACAAATATCCCTGGTGTTACATTCGCACCATCAGATGAAGCAACGACAGCTGATATCCTACCCACTAGCGTATTATCTTCCGAACCACAGCTTACCACCGAGGACGCAACATCCAGCTTCCCAGAGGCCACAACACCGGCAGTGCCAGAGACAGAAACTACCACCTCGGAACTCAGTGTTAGCGCTTCCAGGACGGGGACCGCCATCGGCATAGACACCACTACTGACATAAAGACTACTACTGTCATAGACACTACCACCGACATAGAGACTACCATCGGCATGGAGACTACTAGCACTACGACAACATTGGAATCGGCGAGCACATCAGAAATCACAGCAGAATTTCCGACAACAACCTCAGATGCCGAGACTACCACGACCACCAGTCTACCGGCTCGCGCGTGCGAGTCGTATCTCATCAACCCAACAGTATTATTCAGCGGTGACCAAGACAACGAAGATGGAGTCGAGGAGCTTACTCTTCCATTACCAGTTGGACTATACACCGATTTCAGCGATACCATCTATGTTGGCGTCAATGGACTGATAAGCTTGTTTGACAACTCGATCGCACAATCTTCGAACAATCCATTCCAGGATAATGCTTTACCATCAGTTGCCATCGCGGCTTACTGGGATGACTTGCGCATCCATGGCAATGCTGGTTACGAAATCACATACAGAGTTTACGATGATGCTGATTATCGTGCGGTCAACATCGACTGGCGTGTTATAGATGCGGACGATGTCGTCACTCACTTCATGGTAATTCTCAGGGCTTACGATCTTTCAAATCCCGAGTCAGTTTTCTTGCGTTACTTCCAGTCCAATGGAGGGAAGTCAGCCACTATAGCTGTACAGAATCTTGATGATGCTAAGTCTGAGCAATTTTCCTACAATATGGAAAATGCAGTTCCAGATTGATGCACTGTTCTCTTCTTCACTATAGGGGGGGATCAAAGAGTTGTTTATGTGCCGCCGTAAGGGTCATTTGACACCATACACTACACACCATCCACTACATGTCATACATTCATGTACTTAGTTTCGATGTAAACCAATGTCATTAGTAACTGTATTGCACTCAGCGGGAATAAGTTACCCCCAGTCAGATATTTGCAGGTAAACCGTATAAACTATTCAGATTCGTGAAACAACATAAGAGATTATATATGGCTATATCTTATAGATCAACATCACCTGAGCTCGACCTCCATCCCAAACTATACGTAACATCTGAGAACTTAACCATCACCCTCCAAAGACAGGCATCGAAGATATCTTGGGCTTTATCAAGGAATCCGGCCAAGCCGTCTCGGGCGTTCTGAGCAAACTCGCCAACCTTGGTGATGGCCCATGATGAAGTCTCATAAATGCGCTCCACTCCATGATGCAAACACTGTGGTCGCTTCACAGGAGAGTTACTGGGGTTATCGCCATTGGGAACATCATTTTCCTCTGTATCCGACGAGTCGGATCCAAGGCGGTACACAGAGTAAGCATCGTCTGGTCCGCCACACTGCTCGCGTGGGTCAAAAATGGAAGTAAACCAACATTTGTCGTCGGTAACTCGCGCAGATTCGTCTGGGACCTTATTGGAACAGAAGCATCTCGATCCATGACGAAGTGCAACAGAATATCCCTTGATAGTGCACTGGCGATTGCAAGAATCTCCGTTGGAGCTTCGGTAGGGCCCTCTGATATTGACGCGTGGAGGATACGAAGAGGTGAAGTCAGGAAGAGTGAAGCAGCCATGGGGTTTGAGCTTAGACAGTCCCGTCTCTGTTGGACGATTCGGGGTCTTAGCAGGTAGCTCAACTTCTTCAGTCTTAAGCTCGTCGTCCACCACGTCAGTGGTAATTCCTGTGTTCACAACACTCCATGTTCTCCTTCCGCCACAAGCTTCACGGGACCAACCAGGACACCAGCTCGCACACTGAGAATCATCAACCCGTGCGCTCTTGGCAGGATATGTATCAGAGCACAGGCACCAACCCCGTTGAACAGCTGCGACAGGCTTATCCTCACGTTGGCAGTAGCGAGCACATTGATCAACGCTGTTCATGCTCTCAAGCTTCTTGTGAGTCAAGGTAGCAGACTGCATACTGTAACAGCCATGTGATGTGACACGGCCTAATCTCGGCTCCTGGAAAGGCTTCTGCATATGGCCTTTGTTGTTCGATTCTTGTTGGATGCGGTACCTCCCACCAGCGTAGCCAGTCCTGTATGCCGAGAAAGTGTCTGCAGTAACACCGTAGCCTCCACAAGAGTACTTTGAATCGCCGGCGCAAGGGATCTGGCATTCACGAAGGTCTGTTGTAGAGCTAGATCGAGGATAGCCTTGGGCACAGTGACATTGCGAGCCTTTGATGAAAGCAACCCCTTTTCCTGCGGCTTTGCACGAGTCTATGCAGGATGAAGGGAGCCTTGATACTGCACCTGCGTCAAGAGGTATGCGATCTGCGTTCATGGGGATATCGTAGAAGCATCGCTCAATCTGTCTTATAGGCTTGGGCTCAATGACAGGTCTCCTCTCAGGGCCGAGGTTGTAAACACTGAACGCGGTATTGTCGCCACCGCAGTTGAAGAGGTTTGTTCCGGGACACTGGATATCACACTGAGAATCTGGAAGTTCGTCTTTCTTATCGGGGTATTCGTTGTTGCAGTAGCAGATCTGATGCCAAGTAATCGCATACATATGACCCTTCCGCTGACAAAAGCGATGACATAGCATAGGACTGTTGCCCGCGAACACTTTGTATACGGGACTTGCGGGTACTCTTCTGTAACAAGCCTGTCCGGGATGCCCATTTGGCTCCGTATGCTTGGGGGATGTTTTCTCAGAACTCGGTAACTCAGTAGCGACAGAAGGGAGAGTCTCGACATCAAGACCAAGGCCGGTGTTATAAACGGCGGTATAAGGATGATGACGAGCTGGGTTGTACTCCGAATCACGCTGACACCTATCATCACCGTCGCTTAAACATGGCATGTAGCACTTATTAGAACCAGCAGCGACATCTCTTGCAGGATACATGGTACCGCAGGAGCATTTGTTTCCGCTGATAAGAGCAAGAGGCCTTCCATCTTGAGCGCAGACCTTAGCGCATTCGCGGCGGGAGTCATCGTCGTGAATCAACACCTTCATGAGCATTGACGAACGTCCTGAGATACTGTAGCATCCCTGCGCCGTGATCTTGCCAACCTTGCCTTTGTTTGTCGCGAGCTCCTTAGATTCGGTTGCATGAATCAATGGTCCCTGTCTGTGGTGCGAAAACAGTCGATTCGTTTCGTCGTTGGCGGTGGAAGGGATGGAGAAAACGGCGTAAAGTTCGTCATCCTCCCCGAAGGCATAGTCGTTTTTCGGCTGCTTGATGCAGTCACCATCCAAGATACCAACACACTGCGCATTGCAGCGGTTATTGTCGACTTGATGGTATCTCGGGGCGGTTTTACCGCAGAGGCAGTTGACGGAACCGAACGCAATCCATTGCTGACCGCGTCGGGTACATGTGTCGAGGCACTTCTGGCGCTGAACCTCGGTCTTCGAAAATCCACCGATCACAAAATTCGTCGGTCTCGACCAATAGCAGCCCTTATGTTTGAGAGCCTTGAGGTCGGAACCCTGGGCAGCTGCCAGAGCCACCCAGAAAAGAAGAGCGGCTTGAAATAAGCTGAACGTCGCCATGGGAAAAGAGTGAATGGCGTCAAAGAACAAGAGGGAACCGTTGGGGCCGGGAATGAGGTGGTGTTTATGTTTCCGTCATCAGCGGCCGGTCTAATTTTACACGAGGGCAATCTAGACTCTCGTTGGTTACCCTTGGGTTAAATATGGAACGATTTAGGCATCATACAAGGATCTGTGCCTCAATGCTGGCTAGGATCATGGAAATCAACCAACGAGTGTTTGGCTTGGGGAGCTAAAGCGACAGGGCTGCGGATCCTAGCTGAAGCGATGTTCTTGGCGTCGGCTACCAAGGCAGCCTGAATGAAGAAATCGCCGACTCATGACACTTCTGTAGGGTAAGACGGTCTTTCTACAAACGTCACGAATAAGTTAAAAGACTCACTATCATCATAGGCATCGTAGACTTGGGCTTAGATTCAAGCTTCCTTTGTATCATAACGCCGTCAGAAAAGTCGTGTTTTTTCCACCCGTTTATGTAAGTTGGGTTTTGAAGAGACCGGGCTCCAGGGTCATCATTCGCTGAACCGTTCCATATGCCGCAGGTTATGAGTTCAAATATGATGTTCAGGTTGACCTTACGGCAGGAAGTTGGACCGCGATTAACTTCCAATTAGTTAATCTGGATTTTCTGTTACTTCAAAATCTTAAAGTTTGTCAAATTTGCCGAATCATCACCATAAACCCGAGTCAAACATCTGGTTATGCAAAGTTGATTTTTTCCCAATTGAGTATGCGTATAATTGGCGGTGCCCAGTCGGGTTTTATTGCAAGCTCCTACTTTTTACACCACATTCGATCAACCGTTCATATTCAACACCAACCTCCAATCCTCAAAATGAATCCCTTTGGCCGCCTACCTTTGGAGATTCGGGAAATGATGATATCGAATTTAGAATCTAAGGAAGTTTTCTGGAACCTTCGTCGAGCATCCCCTGTTTTCTGGCGCCAATCCCAGACCAGCAAATTACTACAAGCTTGGGACACCCTCCAAAAGGAGCTGGACCACCACCTGTTTTCTCAAGTCTTGATGCTTGTGAAATACCCCAAGATTGAGGGACCCATTTTAGAAGATGAGCATCCTTTTCTAATGCCAGATATTTTCTGCCAGGACCCGCTTTTCACGCCACAGCAACATTTGATCTTCGAGATGTACGACAGGTACCAAGGAATGCTCAACTGCTTTGCGTTGGGTCCTGCATTGGTGCCTCTATACAGGGATAAATATCCCGACGTCTGCCTTGGCAGGTTCAGCGATTTCCTTGCCAGATCTTTCGGAGAAACTGGGGAACAACTTCCAACTGTGATGCCCCCGATCGAGGACGGAATCGCATCCCGGATCGTCTATTTTCTCCTTGCCATTGATATGATCGAACAATGTCCATCAGCTTTCGTGACAAGCCCGGGAGAGCCTCCGAAACAACGATCTTTAAAAGAAGAGCGTTCATTTAAACTTGTTGATCACTGGCTATTCATGATTCCAGGAATGATTGAAGGGGATTTTGAAAGATTCTTAGGCCTACCTGAGCGACCTGAAATAGCACAATATGTTGAGGATTTCTTGGAGCAGGAAGATGAGGAGGAGGAGGAGGAGGAGGAGCAGAGAGAAGCAGAGGAAATGGTGTTTATCCAATGCTAGTTTCGTTGCTGAACGCAAGTACCCCCATCGAGTTTCTCTTTGGGATTCCGAGATAGCATCGCTATACTAAAAACTTCAAGGTCATCGAGAGAATGAGTCAATAACTGCCAGTATCTATAATAAGCTGTAGCAATAATCTATGAAAGAAAAATGTTCTCTGAGGTCATCCTTCCCGTATGAAGCAAGATCCAGGGGCAGTCATAGGTGAAATGAGAAAGAGACGATATGGTCCAAATGGGTGATTAGGTGAGGAGAAATGGACGTGATCTATGATGATCTTGACATATCTTGTGGGAAAATCTCGACGCTCTTGATCCAATGCCCTCAAACCGATCTGGAGCAACTAGTGATGCCTTGGAAGTTAGGACTACAGGTTGTTTTCATGTGTGTTGCTTGTGTTATAAATCAGTGACTTAGGCACGCTTTTTTGCAGCTAAGGTATATGGTCGGGAGTCCCAATCAGCTCACAGAACTTGGTTGTAAAGGTACTTCTCCAGGATTCATTTCAAGGAAACACCATACATTTGTGTGCTGAGGGTCTTCTGGCCATCGGCGTCATATAGTTGGCTGATTATTACCAAGGTTCATATGCAAGGTTTGACTTTGATGGTTGAATAGTAATTTATGGTCGGGAAGCCAATAGGAATCCTTTCACAGTAAGTTTCTCTAGGTTTGCTAATGTCTGCCTCATGAAACCAACCAAATAAACTTTGAGAACATAGCCGTGCACGAAGGTGAGATCACAGCCAATCTATAAATAGTTCTCTAGTTATTCAACATTCGCGTCGAAGTTGATTCTTTCACAATATCGCCTTGCTTCTCCTCAGCCCCAGATGGCACCCTCCACCACCATCATGAAGGATATTTCCGCCAAAGACCCCTTTTTTCTCCTCCCTTCCAAAGTCCGCGAAAAGATCATAACAAGCCTTGATTTCTATCTATGTTACGACATGCTTTGTGAAGCTTCAGTAGTTATGAATCACGAGCGGCATACAAACAAGTTGACAGTTTGTTCGGATTATATCCTTGGCAAGTTTGATCACTGGAATTATTCCTGGCATGTTCAAGCCGCTCATTTGTGCTGTCGCCTTTCTGACGGCCACTTATCCGGACAAGATGTGGATGACTATTTCAACGGGGATTATTACAAGGTGAAACTCGCCGATCCCTTGCTTTCGACAAAACCGGAAATAGTTTACGAGGTGGATGCACTTTATGGACGTTTAGGAGACTACTTGAGCCTAGGTCCCGAAATTGTCCGTGCATTTATCGAAAGACATGTGGATCGAGATGTCGCCCACTTCATCGCCAAGGCGTACGGATGGTATGGTGAAAGATATCCAAAGACATATCCCTTGACTGCAAGAGAGCATGACCATGTAACGTCCTTTCTTATTCTTGTTGATGTGATGGACGTTTTGGAGCTTTCTGGTCCTCCCAATCCGAACGTATGTTACAGTCATCAAAGGCATTTCAGCAGAGGAAATCAAAGTGCCTTTGACTTTGCATTGTTCCTGGCTGTGCAGATTCAACAAAAAGCAATGCAAGATGAACAATTAAGGAGAAGGAATGAAGAAGGCCCCCAAAAGTGGCAACAGTCAACGAAAGCAGATATAGCTGGCGGGATGCTTGGTCATGGATCGGATGAGGCAACACAGGAGAGGAGTGAAGAAGAGTGGGTATTTGTTTAATCATAGACTTACTTAGACACCGAGATTCGCCTAATGCATTTGCTCTGCCAGTCACTCAATCAAGATCTGACCCGGTATGTAGCCTCCTTGCCTATCCAGAGCTACGAATATAAAGGCTTGATTATAAGAAAGTGCCTGTCCTGGACCCGCAGAGCATCACTTTGACTCTGGCGAGTAATGGGTGTGACAAGCCATAAGGTTAGACTTCAGGCAGTATAAGCTTGTAATTGGAAAACGGATATTTGCCACGATATATAGTTCTTGGAAGCGAAAATATAAATAAGTTCCCTGTGGGAAAAGTTCCTTGTTCCAAACTCTTCATTTTCAGGCTCGCAAAATCAAAGGCCCAGCATGTTCCAGAGCGAGCTCGTGTCTCAGGGCGTCGGGGACCTTTTCAAACACCTCGCTTCCGAGATAAGAGAAATGATTGTCACCTACCTTGATTGCTACGAAAATTTCGACAGTCTGTGTCTAGCTTCACCTATCATGAGAAAGGAACGGCGGACAAGTACACTACTGTTAACATCAGAATACTTGGAACAAAACTTCGGCGGCACACATGACGGCGCTTTCATCGAGGCTCATATTTACTCGTTACTTTCCAAAGATGGACTGTCCGACGAGAACTTCGCGCTCTGGAAGAAGAGGAAGCTCTCACACCCGCTGTTTTCAAGCCGACAGGACATCGTATTCCGAATGAACGCTCTGTACCACCGCCTGATGGACTGTTTCAACTTTGGTCCCAAATTTGTCCCTTGGTTTATCAAAACATTACCTTACAGTGTATTCGCTCACTACGCTGCGGCGGCGTTCGGGAGAAACGGAGAAAGATTTCCGATGTCACTGCATGATGCAACAGACGCCAAGAAGGGGCAGGTCTTTTTCTTCTTGATTGCGGTAAATATGGTGGGAAACCCATACATATGCGAGCATGAGGCTTTCCGTCGGCAGTACTGTGAGCAAGACATGGGATTAAAGGGACAGGAGATTGTCGTTTGCAAGACCAACTTTCCCATCTCGACTAAGGAAGGGGAAAATGCGCGAAGTTTTATGCAGGACCTTATGTCCGATGCCTACAGAGTGGAGATCTATGGAAGCAGAATTAAGTCTTTACTTGATCGGCGTCGATTGAGGGATGACGGAGTTCTAAGTTGAGTACGATGCACCCCGTTTCTAACTGGCTTCTTCTGATAGTTAACATAATCCAGCAGCCTATCTTGCCAAGCTCAACACGCGATACCGGCATCAGCCTAACCTCAGGGAGCAAAAGCATGGGACTTTAGAAGAGGACGCTAGAATAAATTCAGTAAAGACACCCCTAAACTTAGACTAGATTGTCTAAATCTTTTCATCGTTTAGGATAAAGGTCTCAAGTATTCTTGCCCCCCTGCCTAAGCAGAAACATCCAAATAATCACCCCGTACTCGACACTGCCGAGCCGAATCCAAACACCCCCTATTACAAATCATTTTAGCAACCAATAGTCCGGTCCGTCTTACAAAGGAGGGTGACATGGTTTGAACCAACGCAACATCAATCGTTGGATAATTGGTTGTTGTTGAGCTACCCCGCGTTTCTGACGTTGATGGCACAGCAAAGCAGTTGGTGATAGTTTATCTTATACCGGAATAGGCAATTCGCAATGTGCTCTAATGGAGAGCTGACCAACAATCTGTATCATCTCCTCAAGATGACGGTGGTCACGAGGTTGTGTGCTTGCTGTAACATAAGAAGCCGTTTCCCCTCTTTTGTGATTGTGAGGTCGTTTCTCCTCCATTTCATTTGTATTTCCTACTTTTTCACCATTTCAAAGCCTCAAAATCTTTCAGGATAATAAACTGAACTAAAAACAACTCACCATGGCACCTCAAACCCTTGCGGAGAAAGCCAAGGCCAAGCTCCAGGCTGTTCTAGAGGACCCCAACAGGAACGATTCATCGTGTACGTGCTCGCATCTGGTTGCTTCTCTTTGATCACCCCTGACAAGTTGTTTCAATAGCCTATAAGCAGAGAGTAATGACCACCACGACTCCTGCGACCGGATCGGACTGGACCAACACCTGGGTCCGACGAAATAGTAACGACCGTCGGGCCAGTGTTGGAAGTGAAGGTTCAACTGGATCACCTGTTCGCCGCAGGTCAAGCTTCCAAGAGTGGCTATATCCTTCAGCTCGTTAATGATGTTTATGATACAAGTTTGCGTGGTACGTAATGATGCTGTGGTTTCTTTCATGTCCTCTACTATTTAGGTTTGCAATATGCTTCAGAACTGCGTCCCTTTTTCAGAAGGTTCGTTGGTATTTTATCACTTCCGGTGGGAACCAAATTGCACTTGATATCGGATGGGCTACGCGACAATGTTCTTTCTTTTGTCACGAGACAATTGATCACGACGATGGCTAAAGGTAATGAAATTACTGTATATATAGGAATTATTGGATTATTATATAACCAAAAATCGAGATTGTGTTAATGTACATTATATATCTAAATGCATTTCGCTATTGAACATCTATCGTCATGCCAAATCAGTTTAGGTTGATCGGCAAGTGAAAGGAGCATGAGCAGAACCATCGGAAGTAATGTCGATCTGATAGAATGTTAGTTTGTTGAGCAGAAGATCCATGGTAGAGGTAACTTACGATATCCTTAATGGTGGCATATGTGCCAGCACCAAGTGTAACAATTCCGATGATAAAGGCCAGGATGCTTCCCAGGCTCATCAACATGTTCTTCTTGGAAAACCACTTGCCCTCGCAGAGCAAGACAAACCACATGACACCGGGGATCCAGAAAGAGAAACCGGAGACGAAGAGAGCCGAGGCCAGAGAGAGCAAGTCGGAGAAAATGGGGATAGCCTCAGCGATGACCCAAGCGATGATGGTGAAGATGGTCACAAGGGTGATCCAGCTGACCCAACCCATGGGGGTGTTGACATATCGCAAAATTGAGTCCTTGAACATACGGCCATGAAGATATCGGAGGGCAACGGTAGAATTGATCGAACCGGAGATAAAGATGACGGGTAGCGCGACTCCAAAAGCGATCTTGGAAATAAGTGGTCCGGCGGAGAGCAGCGCAGGCGATTGCACCGAGGGTCCGATAAAAGCGTAGCAAAGGGCTCCAGTCAGAGTGTAGATCGCAATTTGGATGAAGCACGAGGCGTAGATGGACTTCATGTAATCGGTCGGAGTGTGCATCTCGTCCATGAAGGAAAATTGACCGATTGCGAAACTGAAGGCGAAGATGATGTTGCTGACAGCGACGAATGCCTCAGCGAAGTTCAGGTCCTCCTTGGGCCAAGCAGACCACTCAACGCCAGAGAGTCCACCGGCTGAATCGCTAGCCTGAATACCGGTAGCAATGACGGTAATGCCAATGGCAGCAAGGATAGATACGAAATCGATGTATCCAAGAATGGCGACTTCAGTGAAAGACGGAGGGATGGCGAGGATGAGAAGAATGATAGCCGAAACAGCAGAGAAGACGATGGAGCAGACGTGTCCGCCGTTGATGTCGATGAGCGCAATGCTACCGGTCAAGGCATGCGAACCAACAACCATAACAAGCTCGAGAACAAGGGCAGCACCGAAAATCTCGTAGCCAAAGCGGCCGAGAAGAAGGCGTCCGGCATCAGCATAGTGCGCCACGTGGGGGAATTTCAGCTTGACCTGGCCGACGATGTAGCTGGTAAAGATGGAGACAAGACCGAGAGTGATGGTGAGGAAGACACCGGGGAACATGCCCAGCGTGTGATAAGCAGAAGGAAGACTGAGCGCGCCTAGGGCAATAGCCTCGACGATTGTGACGACGGCGAGTCGCTTCCATCCCAAGCGATGGAAGTGAGCATTTCCTTGAGTAGCGAGCTGCTTCTGCTGGGAGACTTGGATGTCATCCGCTGTCTCAGGATCATCCATCATGTTGGCGGGTTTGGCAGACTTGGCCTTGGGCGAGGTGGTAGCCATTGTGTCGTGAGTGAGTAGAGGAGTATGTTCGGTGGGAGGATGGGTAGAAGAGTGGCTACTCATATGACCAAGGAACGGTCTATGGGGATGACTGCCGCCTATAAGGTTAAGCTTTAGGCTGCGAGCACCAAGGTAGAAGAGTCGAGAAATGTACGGAATAGGTAACCGACGAACGATGGGGAAGGATGACAAGAGATCAAACAGGGTCTTCGGGGGACGTGAGACAGGATAAAAGTATTTAAGAAGAACGAAAACAACCGGCTAGAAGAGCTTTGAGACGGGAAAAACGGCGCAAGGCGAGCCATGGCGCATGTTCGGTGTATCCGGGGTATCCACCTCCGAAAGATCGGACCCGGCACCATGTCGCGGTTAACGTGACGATTAGATAACAGCGCCTTTCTCCAGGTTTTTATTCCATTTAAACTCGTAATTCATTCATGTCATGCCGACTCCGGAGTTAACGGTCCCTTGTACCATCTGATCTCAGAAACTCCATCGTTCCTGGTGAGAATTCCAGCTTCTGAGAGAAAAGGCCCGAAGGCAGTTTGCGAGCCGCGCTCGGAGTGGCGTACGAAAAACCCGTAAAAAGCTTCCAAAAGGAAGACGCTTGACCCGAAGTCGTAAGGTGGTGGAAAGAATCTGCCGGTTGTGGGTCTGTATGACATGAGACCCCTGATGTTATTTTTACGTGCATGAAACGTGTCATTGGTGAGAAATCCCGTGAGGCTCCGTCACCGAAAAGGCGCGTGTGGATATCATCACGTTATGATATCCTAACAATAACTCTCTACGCGTCGAGATCAAATCTCGACCGACCCGGACAACGAGATTACTCCGGGGCCCCAAACTCTCTTTCTGATGAGCAAAAAACATGTTCTCTACATTCAGAGATAACGCGAGAGGTGTTGTCTGTCTTGTTCGAGCTAACTGCCGTCTTGGCTTGCAGCAATCTCCACCGAAAAAATCCGGGGTGAAAAGCTCTTTTATACATCGAGTCAGCCTCATAAAATTCTGCATCAAATTTTACTCCACGACACCCTCATCTCCGCCATCAATCGCTTATCTGTGGGGTTACTCACCTCGTTGACTAATATGAATAATGAGTTTGCGTGAATTGTTCTGGGGTCTTGACTTGTACCCCAGAAACCGCCGTTGGCCTCAAACAACACGTTACGGTTCGACGGCGAGTTTACCCGCACTGCACCCCAGAGATCAGGTATTTCTCGGGATGGGGGAGATGAGTTTAAGCTTGTTTGAACGGGCCGTACTGGAGGGTAGCTGGATGGGTAGTAGGGTAAGGTAACTTAAGAGGAGATACGTGTTTTGACGGTTTTTATCCTGCCAAGGGTTGTGCCATACCCTAGAGGATGCTTCGTTGTCGTTTTTGCCAGAGTAATAGGGATGGTATGGAGGCTCGTGGACTGTATTCCGGGTGATCTCTTGCCACGTAGTCATTTCTAGATTCTAGATGTTGCATTACATACTCCATACCTTTAGGTTTGGCCTCCTCGCTCGTCTCGCATTCAGCAGCTGTCATAAACTTGGCTCCACCCGGTAGTTAAACTTGTCCGTACGGATTATAGGCGTGATCAATTTTATCTCTGTTTATTTGACTGCTTACTACAGCTTTCTCCCTCTATCTAAAGGGCTGCCCGAAATACCATTATTCTGAGCCCCGATGTGAAGCCCCCAGCGCCAAAATGCACTTATGAGTTGCTAAACTTTATAGGCTACCTAGACAATAAATTCAGGCATTTCATATTCTGAGCCTGACGTGGCCAGTCAAACTATACAACAAGATAAGAAAAAAGCCAGATAGAGTGCAAGCCTCAGAATTTTAAACTTCCCTGGGCATGTGTTCCAGCCACTATGCGCATATTGCCTTCCAAAGCCTGAAGTTAAATGGGATTTTTGTTGTGTTGGCTTGATATGTCTCGTTGAGATGTTATAAGCTTTAACTATCATTCTATCAATGAATCATTATGTGATCCAGCCAAGCCGCCACAGCTCCATGTCCAACCTTACTCTTGGTCACAAGACTGGAGCAATCTGGCTTTGGCCAACACGAAAACCAGATTGCTTCTCTAATTCTCAAGCTGCATCGTCTTCGCCCCCAACTCCTCCATATCCTCCTTGCTATAAACGTGCGGTACTTAGTCCCCTTACTACTTTGCCTCAATAGGCATCAAGCTGCACATATAATCCTTGCTACTTTACGCAAGCTCCAGTGAAAAGTATCCAGTTGGAGATATGTTTATGGTGGCTTTGCTTGTCCCTGAACGTAAAACTTTAATAAGAGAGTTTGGACCACAAAGTCACATATTCATTACAAGTATAAATATTTAAGTAGCACCCTTACTTTACTACTCTACACTACTCACCCCTGGCAACACAGTCCCAATCACTCACTCTTGTGCTCAAGCGAATCCCTATAACAAATTTAAAATGAGGCCGGCAGGACCAGACGAAGTCAGCGATTTGCTGAAGTGGCGGCCACTCATGATTCTCAACAAGACACTCTTAGGACCTGCCTATGTTGAAAATGTCGTGTCTTGCTCACCAGCACTTATCGCCTCCCAAGGAGGCAAAAGACTGCCACTTGAGGTCTGGGACATGATTATCGACTTCTCGAGCCGCTGTCAGGAGAATCACCGGTTTTCTCTGGTGCGGCCTAAGTTGCTACAGAACGGCGCGCGAGGCGACGAACTTGTCTGCGAGAGGTATCAACGCTGGTCTCCCTTCGGTATCATCCAAAAACACGAGCATATCGAAATGTATCGGTTCTTCTTGGCGCATTCTGACAGATTGTGTCATCCCACCATGGATTCAGTTTGCCCCAACCCCTTCTCCTGGCCACTATCCCCCAAGTGGTTGCCCTCCGTCTTACCCAGGGCTTTACTCGCATCAAAAACCAAGGTTCTCCATGTGGACCTTACGGTTCCAGATATCATTAGGCATCTCGAGGACGGTTATTGTAACTGCTGCTCTGGAAAACACGTGGTCGGGTCCGATTTTGGAGCTGTAGCCCAACATTCCTGGTTTCAGCCGTTGCTTGATGTACCTATGGCACTGCTCTTAACAGCATTTGTGATTTGCCCCCTATGTGTCGGGCCGGAGTATGGGCGGAAGTGCATTGAAGTACAGGAATCTATGCCTTTGTCTCGGGATGAGGATAGGTCATGGCTGCTTGATCGACTGGAAAGCTTGGGCTTTAAAAGGCCACGTTGGGAAGATGTCCCAAATTCGATCGAATCCTATTCCGGGAGGAGAGTTAGGGTCACTGCCTTGGACAATCTGAATATCGCTATATGATTTTTATATGGGCAAAGGTAGCCAGCCAGTTTAGGGTTAAAATTGAACAGACCAAGCTCTATGAAGCCTGTGAACGACATCAATATATACGACAACCTTCCGCATTCTTATTCTGCAAAGAGATAATACTATGAAATTAAAATGGACTGGTTTATGATTTTATCAGGATGGAATAAACAATATATTTACTTAATTGAGGCAAGATTTGGCCTGAGTTAATGGTATCCTTAGGTAAAGTGCTAGGTTTGTGTACCATCAATAGCCCCCCAAAGAGAGGTCAAGGCAACGTTGCGGTTGCTTGAAACAAGCCATGATTATTGAGTGACTGTTAATCTTGTTCTAAATGATCCGGAATGTTTTATGCCGAGCTCCGTAATACATAAGACACCGGCCGAATTTGGCGGTTCACAATTCGTGGTACAGCCACGGGCCGATGACGAAGCCGGAGATGGATATCACGCAACCGCATGCACCCTTATCAATGTTCGGCGATCTAACTTGATCGAAACAACCACCATTACCGATCGAGGGGTTGATTTGCATAGTCTATCTTGGTCCCTGTCATCATTGCTGGGGTTGAGTGGTGTCATTCTTTTATTCCGAATACTTTATCTTGACGCTTTGCCGCTCTTCAACATCATTTATCATCTCCTCTTCAGCTGCATTTGAGTCGCACAAAATTCGGCAAATCTTTTGACTTGCCCGGCAGTTGAAACACTCACCACAATGTCGGAATCAGTGGAAAAGCACACGCCTGATGCCGCAAATGCTGAGGCGCTCAATGAGGCTCCGATTAAGCGTGAGTTCACCTTCTCTAGCTTGATGCTTATGCTAATGTTTACCAGCGAAATGGAACCGCTCGCCAATTTACAATGCAACCATCCTCGGCCTCTGCAGTTTCGCAGCCCCCGGTCTCTGGGGCGCAATGAACTCCCTCGGTGCAGGCGGCGCTCAGAAACCCTACCTCGTCAACACCGGCAACGCCCTCACCTTCTGCCTCATGATCATCTCATGCTGGTTCACCAGCGGCATCGTTAAATATGTTGGGATAAAAGGCGCTCTCGTCATCGGAACCATCGGCTTCGCTCCCTACAGCGCAGGTCTCTACCTGAACAACCGTTACGGCGTTGAGTGGCTTGTCATCTTTGGCGCTGCGTGCTGTGGTGTTTCGGCGGGTATCTTCTGGGCGGCCGAGGCAGCGATCGCGATTGGATATCCAGAACCCCGAAATCGAGGACGGTTGGTGGCATATTGGCTTTCATTCACAAGATTGGGACAGATTTTGGGTGGCGCGATTAACCTTGGTCTCAACGCTGATCGGAGCGAAGCAGGAAAGGTCTCGTACAAGGTCTATCTCATCTTCATCGCCCTTCAAGCACTGGGACCGTTTGTTGCGTTGCTTCTCAATAAACCCTCCCAAGTCCAGCGCGCAGACGGGAAGAAGGTTGACTTGAGCATCCTCGACCATCCATGGAAAGAATTCAAGGCCACCACCCGAACATTCCTCAAAAAGGAATTTCTGCTCCTCATCTTCTGGATCGGCCAAGGAGTCTACTCTGAATCGGTCTTCTTCACCTACATCGCTCTCTGGTTTAGCGTACGAGCTCGAGCTCTTGGTTCGTTCGTGTCTGGCATCGTCGCAGTTATTGCAGGAAACCTTCTGGGTGTCTGGCTTGATCAGAACCAAATCGCTCTCAAGAAGCGCGCCCGATATGCTTACGCTGTCATCATGACTCTCCAAGGAGGATGGTGGATCTGGCTCACCATCAACGTCACCAAGTTCAAGCGCGATGGGCCCATCTACGACTGGAGTGATCCTGGTTTTGGTGCTGCATTCGGTGTTTTCGTCTTCCTTGTCACTGGGTTCCAGCTCAACTACAACTTTGCCTTCTTCATCATCGGTCAGATCTCGAACAATTCGCAAGAGACGGTGCGGTTGTCTGCGTTGTTGAGAGGTACGGAGTCGGCATGGCAGGCGCTCAGCTACGGTCTTAATGCTCTTCCGATCATGGCAACTGTGGGAAGCACGTATATGAACTTTGGTATTTGGGCGGTTGCGATTTTTCCTGCTTGGTTGGTGATCCGGCAGCTGGGTACAGTGGACGGACAAGCAAACAGTGACACCGACGAGACGGTTGTAGTGGAAAAGGCGTAGTTTAGACGAGATTCTCCATGGCGAATTTGGGTCTCTGGCACTCTTAGACTTTCGGCATAACTACCAATTGAGACACCTGGATGAAATCTTATATTTATCCTTGACTGCAAGTCACCCGAGGTCGTTCAGCCGTTCTTCCAGTGTGTTATGCTCGGCAGGAGGTAGTCTGGCGATGGGACTGGCTCCGAGTACTGAACTAGAGTTGGGGCTACCAGTGGTTAGTCTTGAATTACTTAGAGGACTGGGAAGGTTACTTACATACCGCTTTGGCATGGGAAGCCATGAATTTGGCCGTTTCGTCCAACAAATCCACTTCAGCCTGCGAACTGATTTCAATTCCGACACGACCTGTTGAGCTCACAGTCGCTTGGCATTAGGCTGCCTGGAGATCCCCCGTTGCGCCACTGTGGCCTTCATTTATCTGTACCGAGATTAGCTACCGAACAGAAAACTGTTTCGGTCCAAGAATCTTACTCATTTCTGTTGCTAAGAAGCTACTGGAAGAAGGTTAGCAATAAGTTCATGACCATTGGGCATAGTGTCTGACTCACGTGCGGGATTTTGATGGACTACAAAGGTAGATTCAGTCCTAATTCGGGTTGTCAAATGCGGTAGTGGTATTAGTAATAGTGCTTGCCTCGCGCGTCAGACGTGATCATCATCAGATAGGCCTGTAAAGCTTACCTTGGGCAATTGTGTTAGGTAGCTGGTATACTGCCCGGACCGACTTTGATTAGAGAGTTATTTTGAGTTGATAGACCCCATAGCTGATGGCTCACATCACGCGCCTCACACATGCTTGCCTCGCTTGAAACATGTCAGCATGGATTCAAGAGAAGGGCATCAGGCCAATTCGTACTTGATGTAGAAGATTTACTACAAGGATGTCAGTCTTCGTCATTCTAAAGCCAGTCATGCAGTTACTCACTTCGGAGGTGGGCGCGACACCCTCGGCCGCGGCACCGCCCTTCTTTGATGTTAGTATAATACACCTGCTTGGCAGGAACATACTTACAGCGGCAGCGCTCTTCAAGTCGACCACGATCAGCAAGTATACTGGTAATCTGTTACTTACGAGGTTCTCCTGAAGGAAATCCTGATTATTGTCAACATGTGCTGTTGCTTATACCAGGGTCCCAACTTACCTCGGAGGAGGCACTGAAAGCCTCCTCGGCACCCTGTTGCTGGAGTTCGAAAGCTTGTGCGCGGTTCATTCGAAATGTGTATCAATATCGCTACACACCGCAATGTCGGGGACGGGGCGTTGGTGGTCATGTCGTCCTTCAAAATGTCAGACTATACTTTGACTGTAAGGTGGGATAACATACTGCCTTGCGCTTCTATAAAAAGCAATCCTGGTTAGCATTAAGAATTTGAGGAGGTGACGGAAAAGTACTTACTTTCCCCGCGACGGGGGTTGTCTTGGGCTTCTGAAGTGTCGTTAGCATATTGTCGGTGAGCCTGGTGAATGATAAGTCCTACAGCAGCCTTCTTTCCGGAGTTGTTCTGGACTTGCGTTAGCTGCTGACATATGGTGGTACTCTCAAGCATGTGTAGAGAGGCTAGGAGTGGACAGTTGAATACTTACGGAGTTCTTTCTGCCGGCCATGCTATCGCTATGTAAGGAACCCAGAATGTCAACGGCTTATCAGTTTGGATTCAAACCTACTTGATGGTTGTTCAGCTAGGAGAAGAGTCAGCTTGAAAACTTCTGAGGGACTCCGAGGAGTTGGACGTCGATCGAGGGGAGGGACTCACAGATTCGGGAAGGAAATTGAGCTACCACAGGCAAGAATGTTAGCAGGCTTTTCATCTCTTCCCAAAGCCAAATCAACTCACAGCTTGTTGATAAAAAAAAAAACACCTATCGCGAAGAACTACGCGTCAGCGGCCAAGGTCTAAACCATAGGGGGCGGGGACGAGAATAATCAGACACGTACGCTATTTTCAACAGTTAGTGCGACAAAACCAATATCTTGGCCGTTCTGTTCGCAACGCCCCGAGAAAAGAGAGATACTTTCCGGCGGCGGCGGTTTGGCGGCGGCGATATTGAGTGTTGTGCTTATTGTGTGAAGTGCGAGAAGCAAATTCTTTCTTTGACGTGTTTGCTTTATATACGTCGTTTAGATATCGTACCCAAGTATCAACGGATGATTGACTGCGGCGGGCGAGATGCGGATGAAGACGAGGAAAGGTGACAGAGGATAAAATCGGAAGGATCAAAACAGTTTGTGGGCACGGGCCAACTGGGTGTTACACAGGAAAGGGTACGAGGTGAACGCCTGCTCACTGCACTGTAAGATTCAGGTCAGCCATCAGTCTCAAGTTAGATCAGCTGAATCTTGCCCTGGTGTCAACATTTTTCTCTCGAAATCCACTTATCCTAAGCAAACGAAGTTTAGGTAAATTTATGATATTTTAGGTCAGTTTAGGAAAGTTTAGGATCCATCCTTATGATAATTTAGGATAACTTTAGGAGACACTTTGACGAATTTCCTTTGGCCCTGAAGTCCAGTCTGTGAGGTTTTTGCTCACCTACACCATGAAGATGGCCCCTGACACGTTTACTTTGGTGTCGGCACCCATGCCGCCTGGTGTTGCACGACAATCATGTTGCTGGTAGTAGTCTTAATGCACACAGTTACCACCCGACTTCTGCTTCTCTTTCACGCTCTCGAGTACAGGCCGGTACTTGCGTACACAGATGTTGTTGAAACCTTTGACTGTAGCCTGGCCTCAGAAGGAACTTTGGTTCACGGTTGTTGCGGTAAATCAATGAGTTGAGGTCGTCTAAGAACTATTGAGATCAATCCACCCCGAATTTCAGTCGCCAGTACAGCCTTTGCCAACCTGGTATCACCGCATGTGTTTCCGTCCAAGTCTCGCAATTCATGTCACAGCTCATCTCGCTTTTACACTTGAAGCCAGTCAGTTCCTATCTGTTTTGACATATGGCATCGCGCCCTTACCTCGAAAATCGCCACGTCTTGGCCCCGTAATATCAGTCGTATTCATGCTCTCGAGTGCAAATTCGCGCTTTGTTTGCTCTAATTGACACAAGAAGACTGCTGTTAGTGTTCATCGAAGACTTGGCGAGGGAATCAGAGCAAACTGACCATGATGGAGCTGAGGGCATTGATAAATATGGCACTTAAAAGATAGCCCGGCGCAGTTGTCTGGTACACATGATTAATCGAGGATTGACAGTCGAAAGGCGTCCATACCCTGAAATCGGACTTTGCTTTGAAGCAATCCATTTCAATCTTCAACCTGATTATGATAGCGTGCGTCCTGCATTGTAAGCTCACGGCAGTGACGTAGTTACTCACGTTGTAGGTGTTGGGCTCGAGGCCCTTGGTCTCGTCAGTAGCGTTACGCAACGTTAGTACAACATACAGCAGTGGAAATAAAGAACTTTACGTACAGCGGCAGCCTCCTCTTCGAGGCTCTTTCGCTATAGAGTCCAATAAGTCAGTTACTGTCAGAACACACCGGAGTTGTTGCCTACGGCATCCTCGAGCAATTTCTAAAAGCTGTCAATTTAGATCTCTCAATTGGGGGATCAACTTACTTCGGCGTCGGAGGCCGCTGCGTCGGCCTGAGCCTCGACCTCTTTCTTGGGAACGTGATATTTATCAGCGATACATTCCCAATGTAAATCGTGACGAGTACAGATCGCAATCTCATCCTCAAGGACCTAAGTGATGCGGAAAAGATTGGTTAGAACAGCATCTAGACGAATGAATCGTGGCACTCACAGCGATGGACTTAGCGTCGACCTAGAACTCATGTTAGTATGCGAGAAATATTGGAGCGCGAGTGTGTTGTGGTGCTACTTACTTGACAAAAGATATCGACTTCTTCGAGGCACGCCGCAAGGCGCGCCCGCTCAGCATGAATCCACCGTGAGCAATGTCAGTCTTTTCACTTTGATTCACCCCGAGGATGACAACGCAAATGCAAGCTCAAAGTGAGGTGGGGATCGTACGTTCAGATCAGCAACGTTGTACTATCTGGCCCTATGTGTTAGAACCCTTCCGGCTCACGGTTGTAGGTAACCTACAGCAAGTCGAAGACGTTTTGCCTGTATTCTCTGTCAATTATCTTATCGTGAACTTTGTAGGAGTTCTAAACCATCGTAGCTTGGCGACAGCTTCCAGATACTAAACAACAGGAACGATCAGCAAAGGCTTCCGTCGATTTGCATGGAGAGACTTACGGAGAGCTCATTGTCGTAGTGCTGAAAGACGTTTAGTTGCCAGAGGTCATTAGCATACGGATGGGGTAAAGCTTATGGTACGGACCTTGCGTTTGGGCAGCAGAATGTCTGGAATACAGGTCTCAAAGCGACAATAAGGGTAACTTACAAGTCGTTTGGGCTTGAGAAGCCCACACCAAGGGGTGGTGGGGGAGGAGGAGGGGGTCGAAGCCGAAGCCGCAACCGCAGCCGAAGCATCAGGAGTCATATTGAACTGAGTCATGTCAGGGGCATTACAAGGTCAATATTGACGGGACAGGACAATGTTGAGTTTGAAGTCGGATTCGGACGTACATGTGAGAGTTTTGTGGCTGGTCGAAGTGTTAGTTACTCGACGACTCAAAGAAGCAGACTAAATCCGTTGAGTTGGATGGCAGTCAAACGGGGAGAACTCACAAAGTTTGTGCTGGAAATGATCTACTCAAGGCAAGTATGTATGTTAGCAGGCTGCTTATCTCGTTCGAACCGCAAATGAAGTTACGGCTTGTTGACAAAGAAACACCTATCGCGAAGAACTACACGTCAGCGGCCAAGATCCAGCGCAAAGGAAGATCGGATATCAGTAGTTATATACGCTGTTATTACTAGTTAGTAAAGGAATATCGTATCGGAATGCCCCGGGAAGGGGGATACTTACCGGCAGCAGAAGGTGGCGGCGTTGTTGTAGGAGGAGAAGAGAGGAGAAGAATTTCACGATACCTTAGATATTTCTTGAATCAACACCTGGGCACGGGCCACCATTGCACAAAAACCACAATAGCTGCGTACTGGTTCCCATTTCTCACAGTGTGGAACAGATTTCGACTCAGGCTAGAGATATTTAACTACAAAGTCTTCCAGAGGCCTTGGTCACTTGTCATCTGGATACACAACACCCTTTGATACGGCTGTCTTTCATTATTTGTCTCTACCTTTCTCTAAGTTGCAAGTTTTGTCCTTTCTCCTTAGTATAGTTGAAGCAAAACTTAGCAAAAAGACCCCAAACTGATCATAAATTATCATAAAGCGTGGATCCCAAAATATCCTAAACTATACTAAATTATCCAAAGTTTGACTAAAGTACAATAAACTTACCTAAGGAATTTTATGTCCGAGATTGAGATAACTTCAAACTTCTTTCCATCGCCGAGACTGGAAGAGCGTGCCTTGCAATTTCTACAGTGCATCAAACCTGAAGCTGGAAGTTGTAACACACAGTTGGTCTGTGCTCACGGGATATTTTGATCTGTGTTGTCAAGACTGCCCCCATCCCCTTTTCTGCTCTTCTCCTGCAACATCCCCATCACCAAATTAATCATCTCTCCATACTCTCGGTGGCATGCAAAACGCCAACACGTTTAGATAAAGCAACCAAATTCTTTGTTGCACGTGCAAGAAGCACGACGGTCAACGTCGCAGCCAATAAAGTCCTTGGTAAAGACAATGACTCGATCAACCAAGCCCGTAGTATCCAATGCCTGCTCTCTGAGACCTCTTATATTCACCTCAGAAAGGACCCGAGATCCTATGTTGCTAATACTGGTATAGAAGGGGCCCGAGAAGAAGACTGCCGTAGGAAACCTCGATCCACAGATTCTCCGCCAACCAATATACGGGCGACACTTTCAGAACACCAAGGCAACCCCCAAGCAAGGGGTGAGGGTAAGTGCTTGGCACTCAACTCTTACAGGTTCTTGATGCTTACCACAATTGTTTGTTTAGGAGCGCAAGGCTGTATGTTATCCCAAACGACCGACAGATTAGTGTTTTGAATGCCACTGACAAGATTCAGTCTGAAATGACCGACGAGGCTGACCCAGCCGCCCCCGTAAGTGGAAAGATTGTCTAAACAGTAGTGATACTGACATGTTTGGATAGCCATCTCTTGTTGCCTCAGTCCACTCAACTGAGGCCCCCTCCGGCTGTGACCCCGACCTCCCCTCATTTCACCACCTCGAAGACGAGTACCTACTTAACCCAACGACATCATACTGCTTCAGCGGGCTGTTCTTGACTCTGGATACGGACATATGATAATGAAAGGCAGTGAGAAAGCTCGTGTGTTTGCAAAAGTCAGGTTAGATTGGTTGGGTATTATTAGCAGTGGTCGCCCATCGGATGAGATCTGGTCACGTTGGTTTATCAGGCGGAATCCAAATTGAATTTAGACTTCCTTCGACAGAGGCTACATCTCCATATATCCTTGCTGCTTAGTGACCACTGGGGGTTGGCCAGTTGTTTTGTTGCCCGTCTGTTCGTACTTTGCCAAAGCCCCAGTCACTCAGTTTAATAACTAGGGCCAAAACGAAAGAGAACGGAAACTTCTATTTCGACCTCACAACATGACGATTACCCCTATGTAAAGATTGCTTGTATATATATATATATATATCTGTAAATATGGAATGGTCCCGTTGAAGTGAACTCAGGGCGCGTCAGTTGGGTCCCTGCACAGTTGTTAGTCTTCAGCTCAAGCAATTTCGAAGATAGGGCTACTCACCAGTCTGTAACCAAATGCTCATCCAAACCATCCAGCTCCTTCATATCAGCCTCCGAGATTTCAAACCCATCAACGCTTGCGTTCTCGATCATACGCTTCTGCTTGGTACTCTTGGGGAGAGTGATGAAGTCATGTTGAAGCCCCCACCTAGGCAACGTCAGTACAAAAAACGCGGTACGGGTTGGAAGCCATACTTGACAAATATTTGAGCAGGTGTGACGGAGTACTTCTTGGCCATGTTGACAATGGCAGGGTGATCCATGCGCTCGGCACGAGCGAGAGGGGCGTAGGCCTCGATGGCGATGCTGTGTTTGGCACAGGTGGCGCGGATTCCCTCTTGGGTGTTGAAAGGGTGAACTTCAATCTGGTTGATCACGGGAGGGATGCGAGGGTTGGAAGCCATGAGTTCCTCGATCTTGAGAGTGTCAGTATCTTCAATGTGCAGCAAGAGACATGCGACTTACATGAGCGGAGCCAAAGTTGCTCACACCGGCAGCACGAATCTCACCCGCATCAACAGCATCCTCCAGCGCCTTCCAGCTCGTAAGTCTGGCTGTCTTTCCACCATATGGGCTGTGGAGGAGGAATAAGTCAATATATCCCAAGCCTGAGGCCTCAACGGATTTCTTGACAGATCGTCGCACAGCATCATACGACTCGTCGCAGCTGGCGAGCTTGGAGGTGTACCAAATATCCTCGCGCTTCAAACCAGCCGCGTTCTCACTACTGGCGAGAAAGTCGCTGATGGCTTTACCGGCTTGGCGCTCGTTGTGGTACATCTGCGCGCAGTCGAAACCGCGGTAGCCGGTGAGAAGGCCCTGGCGAACTGCATCAGTGGCTTCTTTGGTGGACATCATGTAGAGACCGAGTTGGATGCGGGGAATGATGAGGCCATTGTTGAGCTGCGAATGTTAGCGAGCGTATTGCACGACTGGATGGATCGTACCTTGGCCGTGGCGGCGAGAAGTGAGGGCTGAGAGGCCATTTTTGCGGAAGTCTTGGTTGATGGAGGAAGCGAGAATCTGAGATGGTGATGATGTCAGGACGTTGCGATCTGATAAGAATTGATGGGGCCGACATCGCTGGGTCCATCAGTGGGGGTGACGTAAGAATAACGACGTCGCATCGTAAGAATCGCGAACTTTAGCTGACAATATTCCAAAAAGAAGAAGCAATGCTTCAGCTTTACTCTTATTTTTATCATGGTATGATAGTGATTGTCTCATTGAGATGATGGCGCAACGAAAGCTAGGCCTGATTGTCACACGAGCATGCGGTTGCACCACATGTAGAACTGCTCCGTAACGTCCAGATCAACAGCCTCATGTCAAAGGCGGATCGGATAAGCTCAACTGCCGAGCTTGAGGTCTTGCTTGCACTTCAGCCGTTGCCGAAACCGGGGGCTGGATTAAGTTCGAAACTTCAAAGGCGGTGCGACATCCGACTGCTCAACGGTCACGTTCGAGTTACATGCTTCAAAAGTTTGTTATTCGCATTTTTGAACTGATATGAAACCCAAGAAAACATTCTCCAGATGCACGACGTTGCATAAATGCAGTACTCTACATGTCACCGCTGTCAATCGCCCGATTGTCCTTTCATTCCCGTCGCACGTCCCCTCTTTTGTTGACCACCAAACTTCACAGTAACGTCACCTAAGCTCAATCCTCTGAAAGCATCTTCTCCACTCTTCTTCCAACCGTCACACTCCAACCATCAATCTTCTTGTTCCAAAGATCCGTCAAGTAAAACGTGATGGTCAGCAGAACCACCCAACCGATCGCGTATCCGCCCGTCTTTCCGAAGCTGTCGAACAGTCTCGGCATAATCCAAAAGCCCAAGCTATGCAACACAGGTCCGTGGACGAGATATAGTGAGAAGCTAACCTTGCCGAGATACTGCGGGAGGCGGCTTTCAAGCAAGCGAACGAGCACCGGACTTCGCAGGATGCACGCAACGAGGAGCACGGCACCCATTGCCTCGTAGAACATCCATCCAGACAGCGGCGTGTAGTACTTGGGTACCCAGGTCGAAAGATAGGCGAAGCCCGGCGTGTACTCAGCACCAGAGTCAGGGTACGACAAGAAATACAACGCCAAGACTATACCAGCCCATCGCAACGCCGTTCCCTTTGTCGTCCGTTGGAAGTCGCCTCCGCGACCCTTCGCGCCCGTAGCCGATGGCAGCACATCTGATGAACGTCGAACATCATGCTCTGACAGCAACATACCGCCCAAGAAAGTCGCCATGTCCCATCGTCCGATGAAGAGACTGTATGCAGAGAGGAAGCAGCCGATTCTCGTTCGCCATTTCGCCTTGATGGCAGCTGTGCCGAGAAGGAAGACGTAGATAACCATCGAGCCACGGAACTCCATCGGAATTGTGAAGGTATGCGGGTCATAGCGTGTATGGTAGTGACCGAAGTTGAACGGGTTGGCCCACTCGGCGTAGGATCTGGTAAAGTTCTTCATCGCGTACGTCAAGTTCGGGTGGATGAAGGGATGCTCTTCCCATGAGCCTCCCATCTGAACCCAAGTAAGGTTCAGTGGGTTTGTGGCGTTGGTGGCATTACCGAACGTGAGATCCAGATCGTCTTCGTCATCGAGGTAGCTGAGAGCTGCGAGTCGCTCCATACCAGTGGTGTCCTTAACAGGCTTGGTGGAGTTGGTGTTGTTCTTGGGAAACTGGGCCTCATACTCGGATTCCAAGGTATAGAGTTGAGACGGTCCATATGATCGCGTTGTGTGATTGACGCAGAGGAGCATGTCCGTCCATTCTGTGGTGTTTCCTTCAGGATATCCGGTGGTATTGCGGAGATACGCAGTGGTTTCTATTCCCAAGTAATTCGCGATACCTGTAGCTCCTCTCACAGCGGTACCATTAGCACAGAAGTGACCCTCGGCCAAATCGGCATGAGTAATTGTCGCATTGATGTAGTGAGAGTCAGGACCCTTGTAAATGGCGAACTCAGACTTGAAGACACCGATTTGAGCTAGCACAGCGACAAGGAACATGCTGATGGTGGGAGGAATGTAGAGGCGAAAGACACGTCGGAAAACAGATGAGGCAAGCTTCTGATAAGCAGTATCAAGCTTGCGCTCCTGGATCAAGCGGAGAATATGGCGGCAAATAACATAACCAGAGATGGCGAAGAAAATGGCAACCATAGCACGTCCACGATGCAAAAGGCAAATAATTGGTAACGACTGCAATCCCCAATACGGCTCAGGCGCACGCGGAGGGAACGCGCCATAGCCTAACATGATGGCAGGCGTCCATGGCCAGAAGAAATGATAATTGAAGACAAGAAGACATGCGATTCCGCGCAAGCCGTCGAGGCATCTGATCTTGTCTCTGTTGAAGCGCGAGGCTGGGGCTGACGATGAGGGCTTATCTTCGTGCTCGGAGCGAGGCAGCAGATCCGGCTGTTGCCCGCCCATGCTGACGGATTGTCGTGATCTAGCGATTGGAAGCATTCATGCGCGCGCAATGAGGGTGGCTTCAATTGGCGCGTGATGAGGGGGAATGTTGTGTGAGAGTTTGAAATGACGAGGTGAATCAAGGGAGGCTGAAGTCGTACAGAGTGTCCTTGATACGATCCATGTTCACGATGACTAAAGTGAGGTAAGATCTACAGACGGTCTAGCCCCTTGTGGTAGCGGCGCCACAAGAGAGTTGCGCCGCAGTAGCCACAGCGCAATTTACTCTTGTAGGGTAAGCTGCCACGCGACAGTTTAGACTTTGCAACGCGTCGTCAATAAAGTTCAAAACATTGGACTGAACATGAGGAGATGTTCTGCAGTTATAACAAATCGCAAAAAGATGTAGAACCAGCAAAAGAAATGCGTAATCAGGGAATCGAACCCTGGGCTCCCCGACGCTGCTCGAATGGCAACGGAGAATTTTACCACTAAACCAATTACGCTTAGCTGATTTGTTTCAAGTTGGCGAAGTTGGGGTTCTTGGAGGCGACAACGGCTGCAGCTGGTACGAAGCTCTCCTGTAACATTCTCATTCATACCCCATGTCCGAATAGTCATAGAGGATTATCTGTTGGAAAGGATAAAGATGCAATTTATAAGGAACTCAAAGACTGCTCTGACTTCCATACTTGTTTTCCTAGTTCAATTGAGTCTTTGACCTGGGATTTGTATTAAGGTCAGACAAATCGCCACTTACCCGGCACCATAATATAATTCTTCATCTACAACAGTCATTTCGATTATATGTTGCGATCAAAGTGAATCATCTTGTCCTCCATATCGCTAAGGATACATGTTACTGAATTGAGAAATAGCAAAACCAATTCTTTACCAGCTGCGGGCCAAAGAGCAGCGGCATATTAATTGAACAAATGCGTACACTAGAACGATGAGAGACGCAGCCCATTGAGCAAACAAGATACGCGATACAAGATTGGCCAAACACTCAATCAGCTATTGTGGTACGGTGTATGTGTTGGGCAATCAATTTATCACAGGCTGGGGTTTGACGATGAGGCATTTCTGGGCAAACACAAAAAGTCAGCATGGATTTGACGCGAAGCCATTTCAGGTGACGAGAAGCAAAAAGAAGAGGTTTGCCGTCAGCAAGACTCGAACTTGCGTTTTCAGTGCTTTCAATAGCCACAAACTGATGTACTGACCCCTATACGATGACGGCTTTGTTGGCTGTTGATGGGACCCCGGCCACTTATTTTGCACTCTGATGTTCTGCGACCCACAGCCATTCAAGGCCAAAGGGCTTCATGACGAAAATATCTCCCTTGTCTCCATTCGCATGCACTCGATATTTTCTGTCGTCGCACACCATATGTCTGGTTAGGCAGATACCTCCGCTTATCGAAACCAGCATGAGCACTTGAAAACCCTTCCTTACCATTAAACTTCTTGTCTTCAGGTCTTCATGGTACTTTTCCTAAGGTCTTCATATATCAGAGGTACAGAGACTGGCTTCTGAGAACCCACCAACATTGACACAATATTGTGTTGCATCGGTAGTGACAAGTAATCAGCACATCCTGCTATCAAACCCGTTGCCATAATCATTCCGATCTCCACGCCCTTGGGCACGTTTCATCTCGTCTTCCCTACGTATACTTGTGACATAACTGCGGAAGCGATTACACATTTCCAAAACCTTCTGGAAATGGGCTTTAGTGACAACTGTCACCAATGCAGCATCATAGTCCGGATCCTCTTCGCTTTCAAACTCTGCCAGCGTGATGGCTGTCTGCAATGCATTACGAATGTCTCTCCCGTTGAGGTTCGTCTCGCCGGCGGTGTCAAGAACCCATTTCTTCGCGACTGGTGAGATCTGTACCTTGCCAGCGCATTCGCGCACCAGCTTGCGGAAAAATCCGCCCCAGACCTTTCGCCTAGTCTCCTCGTCGAGGGCCTGGTATCCGATAGCGACGTGGACTCGTGAAATGAAGGCATCGTCGATTTGTCCAACGCGGTTGGTAGTCAGAAACAGTAGGCTCTTAAAGTATTCCATCCGTCGAAGGAAGGCTGTGGGTGAAAGTTTAGTACCTTACATCGCTGATAGTGAGACGAGCGCTAAGCAAGGAACCTACCTAATACCAGCCCGTTTCGAGCGAGGTCTCGATTCTGCCTTCGCTCGAGGAAGATAACGGCTTCATCGACAAGAAGAACTGCGTTCCAGGCTTCCGCAAGATCAAACCACTTCATAAGCTCGCCTTCCACGAGCGTCTCGACTGTGCCGATATCAGCCACTGTGAGAGCAAGGAGTGGGCAATAATCAGATTTGAGATACTCTCATCCGATGGCAAGGACTCTTGAACGTAATCGAGAGAGATCCGCACTATAATAATATTAGCGTCACTGGGATAGTATTCAGGGGAAGTATTTGAGCCTACTCCAATGCTTGCGTCTTAGTCCATATGCCAGAACGTCTGGACATAGCAGAAGGAGTTGATGCTCGGTGAGCTGTTGAACAACAGAATCACCAGCCTCTGCGTGAAAAGCCTTCGGGGAAAGATGCTCGGGTACATCGTCGAGCCATACCTGCAATCGCTCCTGGTTCACCACGGCGTCGTTGCTGTTGGCGGGCCTAGACTTTTGATTTGCGGGACGATTCTGAGTACCTTGTGTGGTGTAGAAAGACCTATCGTTGTTGATGAGAATTCCATCATACTCCCTGAACCGATCTGAATACTCATTGACCGGGAGGGAAAGGGGTGGGGACATGTTGGATTCTTGCCCTCTTCGATGGTCGATAACTACCTTTCCTGTGTACTATGGATGCGTCAGCGACATATGAACCATTTCTCTGCTATCACATATCTTACATATTGGGCGGTTTCTCGAATCGGGCCCTTGTAGTCCACTAGGAGATTGCCACGTTGAAGGGCCTTGAAGAAGATTGCAGCCCGACGTAAAATTCTCCCACGTCGCTCGCCACCATCATGTACATCCCAAATTGAGACTGGATACACTTGAAGTCTAGTGACATCTCGGAATCCAGAGTAAGGGGGTATAGTTACGGAGAAAGAGCCCTTTCCGAGTCTGGAACCATCACTCTCAAGCCGCCAGAGGTCGACCAGCCACGACCCGTCACTCCCAGCCCCCCAAAGCTTAGACACAGAGACATCTGTCCGCCTGACGCTCCGCACAACTGCAGCATGAGTTGATCCTTCAATTTGTACATACACATCTATCCCAGGTTTGAGAAGATACCAGATCATGCCCAACTCAACCTGCGGGACGGAGTTGGAAAGGTGCTTTTGACAGGTCAAGATGGACTCAGTGTAAATTGGCTCGAGGAACTCCATCAAATGCTTTGCATGGAGTACCGTTGAGTGATTCTGCTGACCAATACCTTTACCCTCGGTTTTATAGTCCGTTGTCCTGGTACTTCCATTAGCTATAGCTGCGATGGCATCAAAATGATGGAATAGGACGGCAAAAGGCTCCTCAATCCTCATCTCTCCACTTTTTGAGTCATCCAACAACATCTGAGGGAAGGACGGATAATATTGAACGAGATCACTAAGGCCTTGAACAAGGAACGGAGATTCTACCACCAGATGTCGCCGGGAGACATGCTTTGGATTCAGTAGATCAAGACAAGATGAAGTCACTCTTTCCGGGAGCCTCTTGAGTCTCAATAGATTATACTGATCAATTTCTGCCTCGACAAAGGTTTCGATGGTTATGACGGGTCCCGTCCACGCCTCGGGTTGTGGAACATCCTCATCTGTCTCAGCTGATGCTTTCGTGGGAGGAAGGCCAATAGAAAACTCAATAGGCCGATCATCGACGTAGATTAGGTCAGGTCGCTGTAGACGGATGTCATCGCCACAAGGTTCTCCTAGGATCTGGTAGACTTTAGCGTTCCAAATAATGGCCGGCTCGGCAGGTGGATACAGTGCATCTGAGTCCTTAAGTTGTCGGAGCTTGGGTAGATCAATCACAAGGTCTCTTTACATCCCACTACGAGGGACCGTTTCTCTCTCAGAATCATCATATTCCAAGCCAATGTCCCAGTTATCACCACGATAATTGGCGTATGGGGGAGCAAGTAAGTGGGCGAGACGCTCCAGCTGATCCACGATGTGCGTGAGCTAGGCCCGAGATTGGTGCATGTCTTCATAGACAACCTTCAAGTACTGGAGGACCGGTCCGACCAAGCCTACACCAGAGACTTTCTAAGCACTATAGTATCACTGTGTCGCCTGAATGGCGGGAGCCAGCTCTTAGAGATTGCTACCGCACCGGATACAAGCGAGTTGATGTTCAGAACCAAGATCTGCTTCACTACGGATGGTTACGTGGATGGTCTGGCGCAGGCTGTAGAGCTGCAATTACTTGATAAGGTTGAATTTGACCTGGAAACAACCGAGCCTACGTCGATCGAGGTTGGTGGAAGATTGGAACGGGATTTGTGAGGGGAGAACCCATTGTTGTATGGACGGTAGAATTGTTGCCGCTTGTTAGAAGGATCAAGACTCGAGCAATAAAATTGATGTACTTTGCCCTAAACTGCAGAAAGATTTAGGTAAACTTAGAGGATACTTAGTGGGCCCTTAGACTAGCTTTTGGCACAATGACCTAAACTTAGAAGTACTTTGCTCAGAGATACGTAACTTAGGTTCTTTATCCTCACACAAACACACACTACTCTCTTACGTACTCAATCACGAATAGTACATATCACCTGCTGATTGAATCAGATGAAAATTTACATACCTATGTAGCCCTAAGCGTCAGTAGCATCGCCATCACCCGAAGACTTCTTCGAGGGAGCACCATCGTCTGAGAACGAATCGGTTTCCAAGGCTTCATTCCACTTGGAACAAGTTCCTTCAGGAACAACACCTTGCTTCTCCAAGTCCTCGAAGACATTCAAGATCCAGCGCTGACAGAACAATGGAGGGGCTTGGCGGACAGCAGCCTTGATCTTCTGTCTATCCTTTTCAAGGACCTGAGCAATCAAGTGACGCTTATCAATGCCATGACTTTCAACGCGCTTAGGCTCAATGGTAAATTCATATGGCTTACCGTGCATGGGTCCGCCAGTTATATGATAGAAGATTACATGAGTGGCATTTTCTTTGGCAAGCATGAGAATCCAATGTCGAGGTTGACCTTGACCTCGCTCCTTTGAAATGACTAGATAGAGGTTGAGCGTCCCCATTTGAGGAAACTAATAGAAAGATCTGCAATTTTAGGCTTTTTAAAGGTTAGTAGTTGGTTTCTTGTATAGCAATGAGCCGAATATGACCGTAGATTGAAAGTGAAAGTGCACACGGAGAGAATAGTTATGGCATCCCTCTTACTATAAGAACTTTGCGGCTTGAGTGAGTGATATTCCAAGGAAATTTTCTTTTATCTGAAGCTCTGTTCTACATCTTCTTATATTGCAAGACCTTTTCTCACGAACTGCAGTCTGCCGTAAGAGCGATGGCACTGTCAACATGAATCCATTGTGAACAATGGGATATGCGGAAGAGCATCATTCATCGTTACTCCGAACCCAACAGAGATAATGGACAGGCACGAGAAGCCTCTTTTTTGAGTAGTAAGTTGATATGAACTGTTTGGAAAAAGAGTTTTGAGAGCCATTGCTTGATGTCAGACTCTGTGAGTCAAAGTGTCATGACATTGATACCCATCTTATAACAAACAGTAATTACTCTCAAGAAGTTTATGTTTCCAGTGTCGCAGACTGAACCGGTATAAGCTGGCACGAGCTGAGAAGCCCAGATAATCTGAGATTACGGTCGCTTGTTGACTCTGTTCATCTGGACCAAGTCCGACCAGGGCTAATCAGGTGCACATCATTGATGACCATAAGACACTGTGCCCTGGAGCTTTGGATAAAGCACAAAAGTACTATGAAGAATGGGAACCTTCGAGTCTCAAGTTCGATCCTGAAGTAAGTCATTCTCCAAGATTTTATGACAAAGATCTTGATACGATATCGTCATGAGCTTGATCATCTTGATGTTCCCCACTAACAATCCATTTAGACTCCGAAAGCCTTTCAAAGGGCCAAGCCTGCCTCCAAACACTTCAACATATGCCTAGTCGAGTTGGTAGCTGTAGCTCTACATCAAGTAGCAGTCTGGCTACATAAGCTCGAACCCCATCTTCACCAGGGCGATATTGACGCTGTCACATACTGGGAGATGCCGCTATCTGAGACGATGGCTCGATTTCCGCCTGGACCAACTCTTTTCAGCCACCACGATTATCTTGACGACGATATATACCCAGAAGGGGTGGCAGATATGGTTGGCTACTGGGCCGAGGATCGCATTCTGGGCGGCGTAACTGTGTTCGATCGATGCCCCGAAAATCCGGATGAGATACCCAACATCTACTTTCACCCATGCCGCAAGAGTCAGACGATCAGGGTGTACCAACTACGAGATGAGCAACAACAGGCTCTCTTCGAATTTCTTCTCCAGGAAGAGCCGGGATCATTACCACCACCTCTACCGATTCTTGGCGACAAGCAGAATCGCGTGAGAGTCGACGCACCGAGAGCACTCACACACCATCATATCTACAGAGATATCTGGGAAAGAAGGCCATTGACTATCGTAGAAATGAGAATATTTGACAGAAGACCAAAAGACGAGCCTGACTACCCCGGGGTCGGCGCTATGATACGTCGCATCAATGCACAGGGCGGCATTCCGCTACCGCAGCCTCGCCCTCGCTCTTTGTCGCCGCCGATGAGGGAGGATGCTGATGAGAAGAATTATAGAGACAGGGACTAGCTACACGGCCTTGGAAATTTTTGCGGTCCTCTTAGCACTCAAGAAATGGAGCTATCGCCTTGACATCGCTTTCCTTTGTGAAGGATCGGCATATCATCCGTGACGCCCTTGATCTCACTCTCGCAAAACTCCACGTTGAAATGCCCACTGAAGATCTCCTTTCCAAACCCATCCGATGGAACACCACTCTTCTCTTCCTCAACACCTTCTCCAAAAAGATACAAAGCATCCAAACTTCCAGTTGCGATACTGATATCTTTCCCGTCGGGGTGCCAGAACAAAAAGGAGCCGCAGTCGCCGCAGAAGCCCCGCGCGATATTTTCGGACTTGCGATGTCTTTTGATCTTGTCCTCCGAGTCACCCTGCCACTCGATGGCGGAGACGGGGACTGTCAAGGTGGCGAGGAAAAAGCTTCCTGTTTGTTTGCGACATTGTGTACATTGACAAATGCACCCTAAAGAGTCTTTGGAAAGGTCGTGATCTTTGGGGAAGGAGATCTTGTAGCGGACGCCTTCGCACAGACACCCACCCTCGAGAATCTTGGATGATGAGTTTGCTGACGATGCCATGATAACTTCTTTTTGGACTACGAATAGTAAAAGCCTTGAGTACTGAGAGTTGAATTGGAAGATAAAAAGTAGAAAATGTTCATTGGGTTTAGGAATCGCCGCTCGCAACCATGACGACATGTAAAGCGGAGGGCATGTCAACAGCGCCCTTCTCCTTCGGCGTGCCACGTCACACTGTCATCAATAGAATCATTGACTTTATTGATGATAATTGTAAAATCAAATGGTATTTGTCTATCAAAATCTAATCGTATGTTCTACTCTATCGTTTCATCATTCATCAAATATGTGCTGTATGTCTTTATTTGGGATGCATTGGGAGGTTCTCTACAGCCCAAGCCCGCTGTGCATCAATGTATTCCTGAGAGAAAGGATAATCGTTGTACCCAATCTCTGATCCTCGAACGTAAAATGTAGTGCGGTCGTACTTGGTCAACTCAACGCCATGCTTGACCCTCCAGACGAAATCGGGGTTCGCAATGAAATGGCGCCCGAAAGCAACGAGAACGTCCCACTTGCTGTAGTGCCCATCGAGGACCTCAGCCGCTGACGCAGGGCTGTAGTTACCGGCAACAATTACAGGTGAGTTATTGTCCCAGATGTCGAGGATGAAGTCGAGGGTTTGCGCGTCAAGTGAAGAGTCGGTGTCGGGAGCAAGCAGCTTGGCGGGGTCACCGCGGGCTTCGACAAGAGAGAGGTAAGCTAGAGGACCAATCTTCTTGACTTCGTTGACGATGTAGGAGTATTGTTCCTTGATATCAGATGACTCGGCTCCTTGGAAGGAAGCATATGGTGAGAGGCGAAGAGCAACGCGCTTGGAGCCAATCTCGGCTGCGACAGCCTTGACGATCTCGAGCAGAAGACGCGCTCGGTTCTCAACAGAGCCTCCCCACTTGTCGGTTCGCTTGTTGACGGAGTCGGATGTGAATTGGTCAATCAAATATCCGTGAGCGCCATGGATCTCAATCATATCACCACCAGCATCGATGACACGTCGAGCTGTAGCCACGAAGTCCTTGATGAATCCCCGAATCTCTTCCTCGGTCATAGCCTCGGGTGCAGGAGCACCCTCTTCAATAGGCACAGCGCTAGAAGAGCGATACTTGAAGCCGCGCTCCTTCTGGTACTCGGGATCAGCAGCTCGGCCTTGACCCCAAATTTGCTGCGACCAGAGCGATTTATTTGCGTGAACACCGCCAATGACCTTTTTCCAAGCAGCGACTTGCTCGTCTGTAACGAAGGCGGGACCTTGGCGCATACCGGTGTCTTGCATCGAGACGCCAGTGGCCTCTGAGATGATGAGGGTGCCGGGCGTTGAACCTCGCTCGGAGTAGTATCGCTCCACAAAGGGCTTTGCAACGTGGTTGTCGTCATTGCGGTAACGGGTCAGAGGGGCCATGACCATGCGGTGTTCGAGTTGGACATTGCCGACTTGGATTGGCTTGAACAGCCTACTGTTGGGAGAGATTGTGATGGTTGTCTTTGTGACTGTCATTTTGAATGTGAATGTTGGTCAAGTACAGGGCAATGAAGAAAAGGCAAAAGCGATGCTGGAAGGACAAGTTCTATGATTCAGAGTTATGCATGGTGGAGAAGCTAGCTGGAGCCATGGTGTCTTCTTATACTCTGATCGAGTGAAAAGTTAGATTGAAGATCAACGTTATTCTCATGGTCACCCTGAGGGTTGCGACATGCGATTATGTCATTTTCTCACTGACTCGTTGATTTCCAACTCCGAGACCCCGATGCTGGCAGACCCAGTCGGCGAACCCGATCCAATGGGTCAAGCTCCCCTGGAGCACTAATGATGTGGCAAATAGGAACATCTCCAGACAAATTGCTCCCCACCTCATTTCGATCCTTCAGGAATCTTGGAATGTCGACAATCGCGAATGGGTAACTCCGATTCGAGGCGATGATCTTTTGGCTTATCAAGAGCTATTCTCGGGACCCAAGGGTATGACGAAGCTGGGGTTGCTCATGCGCGGTAGGGTCAACACCATCCCCGAATTGGACTCTTGCTTCCTGGGATGCAGCCCTGACCAATAGGATTGGCTCATTCTTCGACAGCAGCATCGTGAGACAACGCCAGAATGTGAGGCCGTAAGCGCAGACTGCATGGTCATGGCCTTCGTAAGCATGTTGCAGGTACTCAATCACCACGAGTATATATAACTGGGATGGTTCCGTCAGTAATCAGAAGATCAATCCAAACAATTCAGCAATTCAATAACAACTCACAACAGCTTTCAATCAAAAGTTCACCAATACCACCTCTGTTTTCACCTACAAACACACCTACACAAAATGTCCCCTGCTCGCCGTGCCCTCATCAGCGTCACCTCCGCTTCTGCCACCCTCTTTGACGGCAAAGAGACCACCGGCCTCTTCATCAGCGAAGCTCTTCATCCCTACAAGGTCTTGAGAGCTGCCGGATTTGAGGTTGACCTTGCCTCGGAGACTGGCACTTATACGCCCGACTGGCTCTCTCAACAGCCTGACTTCCTCAACGGCGATGACCTCGCTATCTGGAACGACACCAACAGCGAGTTCCGCAAGAAGCTCGACAATATGCCCAAGGCCTCTGAGCTTGACCCATCCAAGTATGGTCTGTTCTACGCCTCAGCTGGACATGCAGCTCTGATTGACTACCCCACTGCGTCTTCTCTCCAGAACATTGCGGCTCAGGTCTGGGCTAGCGGCGGAGTCGTCTCGACTGTTTGTCACGGCCCAGCCATCTTTGCCAATCTCATTGACCCTACCACCAACGAGCCTTTGATCAAGGGAAAGAAGATCACCGGCTTCACCACTGAAGCTGAGGACACGATGAAGATCATGGGCGAGCTTCGAAGCTGGGGCTCCGAGTTGGTCGAGGAAATCGCCGCTCGCCTTGGCGCAACCTGTAAGTACTTTTTTCGGGCGATGACTGAAGCTTTACTAACAGTTTGAAGATGAACGTGCACCCGGTATCTGGGATGACTTCCATATTGTTGATGGTCGCTTGGTCACTGGTCAGAACCCAGCCAGCGCTACTTCGACTGCTGAGGCGGCTGTAGCTGTGTTTGAAAAGCTTTGAGCTCCAGAAGTGCGACCGACGGGAGGAGGAGTATGCGGGTCGTCGAAGTTTGTCGACAGAGATGGCTCGCGTGGCTGTTGTCAAGTATTTACTCGGTCATCCAAGAGAACAGTATGAACAACGAATATATTTGATGTGCCATTGGTTGGTTCATGCGTCTTCATCTGTGTAAAGGCGTCTGGTTTGCATCGGTGGGAGCCCAAACACTAAGTCGCAGTCATATCAGTTGTAGACCCCGAAATCCCCGGTAGAAGCATGTCGAGATCAGCCCAAAAGTCCACGTTCATCGCCATATCTAGAAGATCGAAATCTCCACCGAGTGCATCAAACTGATTGGGAACTGTGTTCGCCATTCCTCCTTGAACAGGTAGATTATACAAGAGGGGATTATCCATCGTTGCCACGGCCGTTGGGCTTGATTGCACCTCAAGCTGGGCCATGACGGACTCGATGTTCGTGTGCAGGGTACGGACGATGACAGCGGCTTTGGAGGCAGCATCGAAGCTATGAGCGAAGATGTCGAGAACAGAGACAGCGACCTTGATGGATGAGCGTACGGCGGGCGCAAGCGGGTGAGTCAGATACGCAACAGCAAATCCGACCAAGGTCATCGCAGCGCTCCACTGCCACTGGAAAGCTTCATGCCAGCCGTTGAGTATTGATGTCTTGGACAAGACTTGGTGAGTTATGTTTGTGAGCTGCATCGCATGTTGAGCGCACTTGGCTGCCATTGCGGTTGCCGAACTTCCCTGTTGTAGAGCGAAAGATAGGAACGGACGATGGAGACCGATACAGAGGTGGTGATACTCAAGTTCCAATTGCAAGCGCTGTCGCTGAAGCCACTGTGGTGCAAACTGCTCGATATCGAGAATGGAGTCGTCAAAGGAGTAAGGGCTGCCATTTTCCCGGTTTGACTTGAGGGCTTGGGGGATCTGCTTCGTCCACTCTGTGAGAGCTACTGTTCGCGGGCTCCAGGCATTTGCGAGATCTTCCATTGTTCTTGGGTCATCATAGACGGAGTTCCCATCGGCTATGTTGAGCGTGTGCCCGAAAAAAGCTTGATTGAGAGCTCTTGCGGTTTGGTACAGCTTCGTGCGCTGCAAGTTGAGACTCAGCCATGTCGCATTATCTCCGATGGGAGGAAATGCCGAGCCTGACTCAATCGCTGCCTCAAGAGTATCGCTGGGTAGTTCAGGCATGACGTACGAGTCGCGAATGAGGAACGGGCGGCCGACTTTCATACCGACCTTGGAATCAGCCTCGAAAACGGACCACCATAGTCGTCGTCGGAATTCGCGCTCGCGTCGTGGCATCGTGGGCGGCGGATCCAAGTGCAAGCCCAGCATGTAAGCTGTCCGGATTGCAAGGGAAATGGTTGTGTCGGCCATGTTGTGAAAGGATCCCCCGCAGACGTACAAAGCGCAGAGCAAATGGCATTGAAGAGTTGAGATGGACGGGCTCTCGACTTCGCAGGCCAAGAGAGTCTGCGCTCTTCGGTAGTACCATCGGCCAGCCATCGTTGCATCATTGTCTTCGAGGATATTGCCTTGCTGGCCAGATGGTAGCGCCGATGTGTGATATTGCATACACATGGCGAGTATGATGTCCACCAATGCGGATGGTCGTCTGGGAGATCCGGCCGGCACGTCGACATATAGTGATTGATAATGCGCCTTGAAACTTGCCTCATCAACCACGGCATAGATGCATGTATGGTAGGTCTCCCAATACAGGTTTATGAAGAACCCTTCCTGGACCGGGGTGAGATAAAAGCCTTCCTCGTTGACTCGCGTGAGTGGCGCCAACAGCCGTGAAGAATCTTGTGATACCGTCGACTGGCCCAACTGCTCGAGGTTGCTGGCGAGGTGAATAAGCAGGTGGTCGGCTTGAGCGCTGAGAAATGTGCTGAGTCGATGAATGAAGAAGTAAAGTGACGAAGGTCCAAACCAAGCGCTGTGCGGCGACCGTGCTGGGCGAAGGTACACGCCATCCCAAAATTTTGTCTTGGTGCTTTCCTGAGTCGGCGGTCTTGTGAGAGCTGGCGATCCGCCAGGCGGCGTCGGTTCCTGTTGTTGCGAAGCGGGCGTGTCGCTATTACGCGCCTGCAAAAGCTGAGCTTCCAGCTCTTTCACTCGACGCTTCAGTTTATCGATCTCATCTTGCGCTTGAGGAAGAGTCGACACAGTAGGCGAATTATTGTTGCTGCACTCACGACCGCGCGTGCGGCAGTTGAGGCATGGAACGCTGGTGTCACATTTTATCCGCTGGAGTCGACAGCCGTCACAGGCTCTGCCAACTTGTTGTCTCTTCCGCCTTACAAATGCTCGCGTTTGTTGAGCTTCAGTCGCTCGAGGGTCTGGTTCACTCATCAGCAGGGAAAACTGAAGCACACAAAGCTTCAGGGGTGGTGATATGAGTTCAAAGAGAAAATGCGATCGTCAGAGAGCGGCGCGCTCTCATTTCACTGAAATCGAGTCATGATGAGCGTGAGATGAATTGAAGCCAAGCATTCTGCTTGCTGCTTATTGTGGGGTGCTGTGATTAGCTAATCCGATTGCTGCCACTGCGGAGCACTGAATGCCTGGAGCCTGGGCCTGGGGCCTGTAGACAACTGAGAGCCCCTGAGCATGGGATGCTCATTTGAAGTCAGCGTTTGCTAGATTCTTCAAGAACCAGTTGTGAACTGCTACTTGTGAGACATCGCCTTGTGGAAGACACTTGATGTGTCCTGGGCCAAGAAAGAATGCTGATGTTTTGCTCATCCTTTGGTCATTTCCGCTGTCGGGGCGATACCCTAGCGCGTTCCTTCAACCTTCGATGTTGACGTCGTTGATCTTGCGCCGAACGCCAGGCCCGAGCAATGGTCGGGGCCTGGAAATCTGCTCATCGCTCTCAACCAACATTTCTTCGTCGTCAGATTCAGTCCACTGGAGCCTTCTTCTTGGTCGATCAGCTCTGGCATTCTGATTGATGTCCGCCCCAACCAACGCGGATGCTACGGACATATCCTTGGTGAGCATCCCAAAATCCTGAGCGGCACAGCAATACTGACTATGACAGGCCGCTGCTTTCGCGGCCCTGAGCGTTGAATTTGTGGTGCACCCTTTCGATACTCTCATTACACGCATTCAATCCCCCGAATATGTACCCAAATACCGTAGCCACGAAGGCAAACTCCAGCCGGCGCTGTTCCGAGGCCTATATCGCGGCTTGACACCAACCGTCGTCACGACCATTCCGGCATCTGTCACTTTCTTCACCATCTACGAAACAGCCAAGACTGCTCTTCAACCGAAGGAGGGTCTCAGGCCTGGGAGTCTGTCTCAGACAGCTGTTCATGCCGCCAGCAGCGCGCTGGCTGATATGGTCGCCTGCGCCATCATCAACCCGTCGGAAGTCCTCAAGCAGAACGCGCAAGTTGCCAGATTCTCAGAAGGTGGCGTCCAGCGCAATCCCATGTTGGCCTCGCTCAAGCACTTCGCAAGGCATCCCCTGAAGCTATGGACAGGTTATACGGTCTTGGTAGCTGGAAATCTGCCACGTACTAGCCTCACATTTTCCATCTACGAATATCTGAAAGGCGCCTGGCTCAGGAGATCGAAGAAGTCCGAGAGCATAGCGGAACAAGTCAAAGTGAGCGGAGTCACTGCTGGCATCGGCGGTTCAATAGCCTCGCTTCTCTTTGTTCCTATTGACGTCGTGAAAACCAGGATGCGGTTGCCGGAAGTCGCTCCTCCCAGTCATCATTTACAGCCAGAAGCATTGTTCACGTCTTCGCTAAGCCGCGAGAAAGCTAGAAAGCCTGCTGCGAGAGGCCCTATTACCATTGCCAAGGGCATCTTGATAAGAGATGGGATTTCAGGGCTGTTCAGAGGGGCAACTGTCACTTGCGTAGCGGCTGCTGTGGGGAACGGATTGTTCTTGGGTTGTTATGAAGGGCTCAAGTTGCACTATGCCCGTGAAGCTTCAAAGAGTGAGCTCATCCAATAACGATGGCCAGATTGGCTTAGTAGGAATCGGCAATGTATGGTGCGTGATGCGTGGATTTTCGTTTCTGGACATCGGTCATGTTTGTTCCAGATGTTTACAAACGATGTGTAATATAACACAAAGACACTGCGCGTTCTCCCTCTTGATGTCTGATGCTGAAATCACGAATCGCTGTCGACGTAATCTTTAATAATGCCCGATTCTCTCCACGCGAGGAAGATGAATCCTTTCAACGCTATGTTTCCAAGAGAGCAATCCCTGGGTTCAAAGTACGTTTACGACCCGAATTATCCCAAACGCCACTGCCGCCGAACGTCCAATTCTTGTCGACATCAACTGTCTTCTGTTCAAGTCCGACGTTTAAATGATGGTGGCTGCACAAATACCATGATTTTAATTAAATCGACACAGTTTCTTGAAGAAGGGTTTCAATTAATCTGGATGGACAAATCACGGACAAGAGATCTTCTCATTCTCAGGTGAGGAAATAACCATGCTCGAAGTCGGTCTGGAGCGATGTACAGCTTTGCCCATTTTAGGGAATAGCACGCGTGCAGAAGGGAGAGTGGGGTTGGGACCAACGGTCCGCCTCGCACATCGACGAATCTTATATGGGCTAATAACCCAACGACAGACTCTTGGAGGTAACTTGGAACAAATAGCTCTTTTTCGTCTAAAGAACGGCTTTAAAAGGCAACAATAGACTATTTTCCCTTTCTGAGGCCTACCGATCTTGCAAAACGCAGAGCCAGGCTCATACCAAGCATTGTTAGCGCTGAAAACCGTTAGTGACAATATCAACTCTGTCGCAAACCTCGCACATGGCACCAATGATTATTGAGCAAGTCTAACCGGTATCTGTACCATGCGCACTAAGTATTGCCCAGAACGAGATAAGAGCCAATTGATCCCCGCAGACTCATTTCCTAATGATACCCTCAACCTCCGGTCCTTGGATTTTGATCACAACTCATTTATCTCACCACCATCATATCAACCTCGAAGAAAGAAGTATCAGTAATCCAATTCTCATGGCCGGAAATCTTTTTGAAATCAGTCCCTCTTTCTCACCTACGACATGGCTGACATGAAGTAATGTCTAACATTCATTCCATAAAATCTTCAGCTAACAAAATCAAGAATAGTCCTACCTGAGCCCGTGATAGAAGACGTGGATGAACCGGAAAAGGAAAGCCATGTACCCACGAAGAATTCATTGACAGAAGACCGAAACATTAGTGGCAACAAAGCACTGTGGCCTCTCAAAAAGCTTGATGCTTTCATTTCGCGATTAAATCGATTGATGCATACCCGGGAGAGCCATGATGCCCTCATCTTGTTCCTGGCCTACGCAGCACATTTCGTGGCAACGGCACTCGAAACACCTTTTCCTGGCAGGCTTAAAAATTGGCTTCTCAGACTTAACAAAATTTCACTGAGGATTGTCCCGTCAAGAGTTTTGTCACTCTTATCGGCTTTCAGGATTTCTCTTGTCAAAGGGTCGTTGTCCGCCAGCAAACTTCTCATCGCGGAACGGGTCAGGGCATTATCGAATATTCTGGACGACTGGCAAATCATCACCAGATTATGGGGTTTACTGGCGACATGGGCGGATGCAAAAGAATTCCTTGCCAGTTTGGCATCCGAAAACCAGAGCAAGGAAAAGAAAAGCAACCCACGGAGGTACCTTGCTCTGACAGCCATAAAAGCGACATATATCTTTGGACTATTTGGCTACTATGGAACGGAGAACCTAGCATGGTTTACAAGACGCGGCGTCTTCAAATGGTCAGAGAAGACTGAGTCGAAGCTCATGGTCTGGTCTCTCAAGTTTTGGGGTGTTTATGTTATGTCTGGGATGGCACAACTGCTATACGACCGATATGAAAACAAACGTACCGGAGAAGAGCTAGATGAAGAGGCAAGGAAAGAGTGGCGGAGGAATTTTGTTCACCTTTTTCTTTATGGCCCACTAACGGTTCATTGGATACGAGAGGGGGGGCTGTTTCCGGAGACGATCGCTTCATTCTTGGCGGCTTATACAGAGTTCATAACGGTCAGGGGGCTATGGAAAGAAACAGCAGAGGTTTGAAGAGAATGGGCCAAATTACACCTAGGTTTGAGGATTTAAGAATAATATAGGACTGCATTAGGTGGTTCGGAAGAAGGGATGTGAGATGCTCACTGTCGGAATAGCCATAAGTGACAGCCTATGAAAAGTCGAAACTGCTTCTGCTATCTTGCCGATTTTATGAATGTGGAAACACGCAGCTGTCCAAGGTTGGTCCGGTCAGCTAAGACATGCCTATGCAGCTAATGATCTGCAGCCACCCCGATGAAGCCCTTGTCCCAGTCAATTACCATTGTCAACGCCACGTTCATCACCGCTGAGATGACCAAGGTTTGGCTAATCTGAAGATAGGAAGTACCAATAGTTGACCTAAGGCCTTTGAGAAAGCGGCTAAGGACTCTGACAAGCAACACGTCGTCTGCGTACGCCACATGCAGGTTGGTTCTGTCCTACTGGAAGACACATGCTTGGCATTATCCCAACTGCATTAGTCTGTCTTTTATAAAATCAGGCTGCGAGGAAACTTCAACCATTGGTCAGGACCATCGTGTTAACAGAGAAAAGAGATATCTCGTCACCCGGAGCCTTGTTTAACTGGTTACAGTAGCCCTCGAAGACAAGATAAGATAGACATTTTTCAGCTTGCAGATCAGGCTCTGGTATATCACCAATCGCGTCCCCTGTGCTTCAACCACATACTGCGGCATACCTCCGAGTGATATTCTCATTGGCTCTTCAGGGCACTGAGTGTGTTCTTCTGCTTGTGAATCTCATGCACCTTTGTAATTTATTGTAACGCCACCAATATCTATTTATGGACGAAGCCCGAAAGAAGAGCCTGAAAATGAGGGCCGCCTCAGTTTCCTGCTATCAGTGCCTTTCTCCTGATCTTTCGCTTTCTGACTTTGTTCCAGTTCTCCCCGCAGCCTCAAAACTGCTCTCTTGAGACTTCTGTAAACGTATACTTTGCGAATAAAAGTCTATCAGTAACTTTACTCATCAGTTATTAGATGGCTGACGTCTATTACGCGTTGAATGGCGGTGGCTTGACAGGCTCCCCTCCCGACCCCGCAATCACTGAGCCACCAGAACCTTACGACAAAGACATTCTCAAGCGTCAGAATGTAGGCACTTATGATGTTTGTGGGTACTATTCTATCCCAGGGCAGTGTAAGTACTCAAATCTCTTTAAGAAAACAAGCTCGGCTAATTATGAGACTGAAGTTTGGGTCGCGAACTACTGCTATTACTCTGGCGTGTCAACGACGACCTGTGCAACCAGCAGTAGCCACATTGGATGCGATGGATATATCAAGACAAGATGCTTTACCTCATTGACTTGCACTTCGACATCATCGGATGAGCTATGCTGGTGGGTGAATAACACTAGATTTGTCGTGTCCTCACCAACTAACGCCCAAGCAGCGCTTCGGGATGTGTCACGGCGATTTCGACTGATAGTGACGGTGACGAGCTCACCCTCTACCCGTTTTGTACGACAAAAGATATGGAAGTGACCATGTATCAAAATCTTGAGGGCGTCTCGGCTACCATCGAGACGTCGATAGAGTCTACTTCCGAGCCTACGAGTTCAGACGGCGAGTTGACCGCAAAGACAGGAACGACAGGAGAGAGCAAGACCCAAGAGATCACTTCATCTGCCGAATCAAGCTCTTCATCTGGCCCAGATTCCTCTTCGAAGTCTTCTGCCCCCGTAGGAGCCATTGTAGGCGGTGTTCTGGGGGGGCTTGCCTTGCTCACCTTGATTGGCTTCGGTCTCTGGTTCATACGCCACAAAAAGCGTCAAGCAGGTAATGGATCACACGTCGTTGCGGCGACTGATCAGCCACCAGTCGTCCCCTATTACCAGCAGCAGCCTGTCACTCACGCCCAAGGCGAGGTGAACTATCAGCCTCTGTCATCGGGTATCTCGCCTGAGCCAAAGGCGTACTCGCCTTCTTCCAACATGCGGCATTCAGCCTTCAATGAACTTCGATCTTTCCATCATGATAGCACGAATCCAGCTGGGTATCGCTGAGATATCAAAGAAATGGCAGGTGAAGTGCACAAATATTTAGTATGATATGATGGGATTCTGGTTAGCGAAACGGGAGGCAAGGCTGGCGGAACGCCAATGACACATGGGTTCGGCGGGTCAATATACAGGGACCTGCTTAAAAAACAGAATCTATAATATGACGCACGTTAGTCCTAATCATGACGAAGTTTTGCTCGAAGAAATGGGTCTATTGTGCATTGAAATAGAGGTCATGCTTTCAATATCTGCCAAAACCTTAAAACATCTGGTCAACTGGCTGGATTTTAAAGGTGTGACAAGATATTTCTCCGGCCCCGAACTTCATATGATCATGCCATTGACTTTGAAATTTGATTCCCAGGCCTCAAAGTAACTACTCCTGTGGAAAGTATTCTCAAGTTTTGAGATGCACATGAAGGTGGCTGCTGGGCTTAACCTTGAGCGAGATCTGCCCGAGTATCCACACGAGTCGGTACACGGTTGTACAACTTGTAACCAAGTTCTGAGTGGTGCTCGTCAGTCGGAGCGACAGCTATCAACTACAAATAGGAGATGGGGTCCATACTTTACCAGTGATACTGCAAATTTTGGCCATTCCCCTAATACAAATGCTGTTACAAAATTTAGATTATGACTTTTAGGTTTTTATCTCCTCAAATAAGATGAATCCAATTCCTCAGCCGAAACAACCCCGCTCAAAATTGAGTTACTGAACTTGAAGTCCGGATTTGTCACGATTGGAGATTGTACTGATTGCAATGCGCCTCATTTTTATCCTTGCTGTTCTGCAGGGCGCTGTCCTCGCCCAAAAGGCTCAAACGCAGACCAAAGAATTCTGCGAAACGAGAATGAGCAGAACCCCGGTTTCTGATACACCCAGAGTCACCATTAGCACGAAGGTCAAATTGACCGCGAGCAAACCATACTGCAATCGGAAAAATAAACACGAAACCTTCAAGGTAAAGCTAGGTCCTGTCACTAGCACCGTTGTTACCAGGTCTATCTATACCAGGTCGGTTACCGCTCCCCAAAAGGTCAAGACACTCACCATCACAAAGACCCGTGAGTAAGATGTGGTCATTATCTTTCTATCTCATCCTGACGGCCCGCAGTCACCGAAACGGCCGTGACCACTCCCACTTTCATCAAAACTGACACAAGAGTTTATACCACCACGTCAACTCTAACGTCAACTGTTACAGTCCCAACGGTCTCTGGATTTGTCCCTTTTGCCTTGGTATCAGGGTCTGCTTCCCGAAAACGAAGACAGTCCAAACGAACCTTGCCTAGGAAGAATGCTTGGGAGGACAATATGCATGTTTTGCCCTCAAGATTCTTTCCTCGTCAAGCCAAGCCCAAGTCGCTAAAGGACCCATGTACCATTCGAATCGAATCCGGCGATAAAAACCATCCCGTCCATCCAACTCAATCCCGCGGCGCGGTCGCGTGTTATAAATCCGTTCAGATTACCAAGACGGTGCTTTTCAAAAGTTGTATAGCGTGGACAAAAACGATCACACTTGATCAAAAAACCGTTACAAAGCATGATATCACTAGAGGATGGGTCACGAGCACAGTCACTGAAGCTGATACCACAATGACCGCGGACGATACTGCAACAACAACCTCGACACTCACTAAAGCAACTACAACGAAAACCACGACGGAAACTGAAACTGGTACGTCTCTGATCCCTTGTTTTGTGGCCAGCAACTATTTACTAAACCCCATCGCCATCTAGTAACTCGAACAGATCTCGCCCCAGCCGAGAGTTCCTGGGCTGCTTGTAACGCTGACAATCTCGTCAATGCAGCAAACGGTGGTCATGGGATCAATGCAGTGAATATTGGATTGAATAGGTACAATGTTCTCCCGCTAGTCACTCCTTATGACTGTTGTGTTGAGTGCCAAAAGAGGCCAAATTGCATCTTTTCCGTTGCTTATCATCACAAGTGCTACCTTGTCATTGGTACAGCCTGCCTTCCAGACCATACGTTTGACACAAGCTTTACCACATTAAACAACCTGCACCCTGAGAATGGACCTACGCTGAGTAATGGCCATTGTGGCCGCATCCGGAACGCTGGGGATGCTGGGTGAGCTGTTCAGGACATTTATTGCTTGAAAGGAACATGATGCCATCAGAAATACATACCCGGGCATGTCCGTCTTTTACTGCCTTTGAACTTGATAAACAAACAGGGTGTCATGAGTGCCTCAGATGGACGGAATGTCGGGCTATCGGGCTATCTGTAACAAGAGTAGTAAGGAGACTATTATCAACATATTTCTTCCGTATTGAATCGTCGCCGGCGGCCAACTCCGAGCGTGTTCTCCCAAAATACTGATATCCGTAAAAAAATCATTATCACAATTTCCACGGGACTTCGGCACACAGTCCCCACCAGCCGGCTACTAACCGGTCGTAACCTCTCCATTCGCCTCCGTTGAACTAAACTGTACTTGGAAAGACCAGGCGACATCTACCGAGTCATCGAGTAAGAGTCTCCGACTTGATAACAAGGGCGGTTCTGAAATGAGAGTGAACCACGTCCTCGGCTCTGACAAGGTTCGCCTAATCTTTGCGCGCGCGCTCCAGGTTCCCCAGAAACCCCGGAAGTTGGAGATAAGACGACTGAGAAGGGGGAGATATGACCGAGAAATTGCGATTATCGATTGTCATATAGTTTGACTAAAGATTGGAGGTGCCACGCGACAACGGAGGTCGTGCCGCGCCCTATCCTGGTGGTGCAGATCAAGACTAGGCTATGGGAGCGTGTTTATTCTTAAGAATGCGACTGCACCCATGCGATATCGCCTCCTCTCACTCTGGCAACGTCTTCCAATCCCCTATCTTCTTTCCCCAAACTCCTTACTTTTCGCGGCCGCTAGATATTGACGGCGCCACTGACAGTAGCGAATGACCACAAAAAGCCCCCAGCAATACACAAACATCCTTCTAAAACAGGAGCACCGGACCTTCATCCTCGCGTCCCGCCTTGATCTTCGAGCCTGAACATCGACAAAATGACCGAGAAACACGATATTCCCGACAATGCGTCTTTGACACCCTCCCAAGCTGCTGGCAAGACATTCGCCACCCATCACCTCCACGGCGGTGAACAGCTTGAGAAGCGATACAGTCCTCTTTCTGTCCTCGCTTTTGCCTTTACCACCACCAATTCTTGGATGGCCTTTGCATCAGGCATTGCCATACCGCTTGCTTGTGGTGGAGGACCCTCGATCATCTATGGCTTGATCGCTGGCGGCATCATCATGGCTACCATCAACATTGGCTTTGCTGAATTGGCCTCAGCGTTTCCTTCGGCTGGTGGACAGTATCACATTGTCTTCATGGCCTTTCCCCCGTCTACCCGACGCGTTGCTGCATTTTATACTGGTTGGATCTCCATTATCTACCTGATGGCCGCGACAGCGTCTTGCAACTTCTTCGCTGCCAGCTCTGTTTTAGATCTTGTCCAACTCTGGCACCCATCATATAGCATCGAGGCCTGGCATACGTATTTGATGCATATCTTGCTGTGCATTATCGCCTTTGCCGCAACTTCGCGGTTCCCTGCTGCCATCGGCCGCTTGACTACTACCATCTTCTGGCTGTCCTTGGTCGGTTTCATCGCTTCAATGGTCACTCTTCTTGCTGTTAGTGATCACAAACAGTCGGCTTCTACTGTCTTTAAGGATTACAAGAACGTCAGTGGATGGGGAGATGGCTGGGCCATGATCACCTCTATCACTGCCTGCCTATGGGCCTACAGTGGTGTTGATGGTCCTACCCATCTGGCAGAAGAGGTGCCGAACCCAAGTAAGAATGTTCCTCGGGCTATTTTCTTGACCATCGGCCTCGGTATCTCCACTGTCGTTGCCTGGACTATCGCCCTTATGTTCTCCATCAAGGATGTCGATGCCATCATTGAGTCGACGGTACCTATTCTCGAAGTCTACAACCAAGCTCTCAACAACAGGGTTGCCACCACCATCTGGTCTGTCTATTACATCGTCATGTTCTACGATATTGTTCTAAACTTATTCATCTTCTCTGGTCGAACCATATGGTCCTTCTCCAGAGACGGAGGTGTCCCATTCTCAGCATTCCTGTCACATCTCAACTGGGCCAGTCCTGTTCGAGCTACTGCAGTCATGCTTGCCCTGCAGATCATTATTGGAGTTTTGTACGTTGCTTCAAGCACTGCTTACAACAGCTTTATTGGTCTTACACTGTTCGCGCTCAACATTACTGTCACTCTTCCCCAGGCCGCGCTACTTGTTCGTGGGCGTAGCTGCCTTCCTGAGAGATCTTTCTCACTTGGTAAAGCAGGATATGCCGTAAACACTGCGGCTACACTATTTGTTGCATTGTTCTCTGTCAGCTTTTGCTTTCCTGCCTTCATGCCTGTCACGGCATCTTCAATGAACTATCTTATCGTAGTTATGGCAGTTGGCCTGGTATTTACCACTGCACTCTGGTTCGGTGGTCTTCGAAAGGCGTTCACTGGACCCCAGATCAGTCTGGAGGGCGAGGATCAGTAGAAGAAATATTATCAATTTGTCAGAAAGTGGACTTGATGTGCGCGTGTGTTATTTCAAGCTAGCTATACTTAGCCTATGAGAACGTTTGAGTTTATGACTTTGGATTGCAAGTCCTTTTCTCGGCTGTGATGGATAAGTAACCCGCGATCAAAGATTCAAGATCTTGATGGTTGCAGTCACTGAGCAAATACCTCTGTCTTGCTGAAATACTCATCGCTATTACATAAATAGAATAGTTTGGTTACTCCTGTATTCATCAACTTGTACAAAGCGACCTTCAATGGTTCCTCCGAACCACAGACACAAAATCTCAGCTCTCCCTAACTCCGCACTCTGCCTCCCGACTCTACAGCTTCATGACATACTTTCCCTCCAACTGCATTTGTGTTAGCTAGTCACAATTGGTTGTATGGTTTTGAACTTACCTGTCCTTTGGACATTTGCTCCATCAGACCCTCAATATCTTCGAGATCAGCCCATTTGATCTTGGGGATAACGAGTCTTCGCTTGACAAATTGCAAAGCCTCAAGGATATCAGCCCTCGTCCCCACTGCCGAGCCTTTCACGGTCCAGCCATTATCAATGAACCAGAGCGGGTGGAAGGAGATCTTGACCTCTTCTGGCAGAATCGACACACACATCAATGTGCCGAATGGTCCCAGCATGTCGAACGCCTTCTGATACGCAGCAGCAGCCGTTGCGGTGACGACGACGGCCTTAGCTCCTTGACCATCCGTCAGATCCTTGACTTGCTTTCCTGGATCTACACCAGACAAAGCATCAACATAATGTTCAGCGCCTTGAGATTTGCAGTATTCTTCTTTCCCAGGACCTGCGTCAACAGCAATGACTCGATAGCCCATTGCGTGAGCATACGCAACACCTAGAGCTCCTACACCGCCACCTGCGCCGGAAATGACAACCCATTGGCCTGGCGTGAGGTTGCAGTTCTTGATAGCCTTGTAAGCTGTGACACCTCCGCAAAGAATAGGCGCGATCTCCTCGTCGGGAATATCATCAAAGGTTGATGGGATACGCGCCAGATAACGCAGAGGCACAAGAGTATACTCAGCAAAAGTGCCGTCATATGCTTTGGCAGAGTGCAAAGCCTCAACGCATCGCGTCTCGCCCTCATTAGCAATGTCAACGCACATGCTGCAGGTCCCGCAAATATCTCTGATCCATGCTATTCCGACTCTTTGGCCAATCTGAACGCTGGAATCCAAGTTGATAATGTTGGAGCCAAGCTCTGCAACTTTGCCAACGCCCTCATGGCCGAGAATCTTCCCCACGGGTCCCATATGACCCAGGGCCATGCCTAGATCAGAGCCGCATAGACTGGTGAGTGAAAGGCGGATGAGGACTTCATTTGGACCGGGGACTGGCCTCGGGAGTTGCTTGATCTCAAATGTGGGCTTGGCATTGTGCTCCTGTGATGACTATTGGGGTTAGTATTCAAGGCCATGCATAATGGTATCTACGGTAACATACGGTAAGAACAGCAACTTTGTAAGTATCCGAAGTCATTTTAGTGATGATCAAAAGGCAAATGAGTAAGGTTACGATTAGCTTTGTTGAATGCGGAGGCCCCAGATCTTAAGGGAGAGCAAAAAGTGAGTGTCTCAGGGAGGCTTATCCAGGCTTGGTAAATCACCCCGCGCCTCCGATATCGTAGAATCATGAGAATTGTCAATCATGTTCTTCTGCATACGGCAAACCTCGCTGTGGCCGGCGGCCACGTCGGGACCGGGTCGTTTCAACATTCCCAACTCGGCAAAGTGTGCGGAGATGACGTCCCGGGATATCGTCATGGCACTTGTGGGGTAAGCCGCTTCCTACGCAACGTTATCGGGCGGAAGTAGACCGCAGATTACGGACGCTCTTGATTGGAGTACATCCAAAGTCATGGAGCTTGGTTGGATATTGCGTGTGAGAAGTACCTGGGCTTTAATCTATTACCCCACATTACCACTTCGCCGTCCCACATGGGGCATCTAGGCCCGCGTAACTTTAACCTCAACCAAGCATCAATCTTGCTGACCAAGTCGCTCAATTTTCTTTGGTATCCTACTATAAAGAGGGTGCAAAATACATATAGTAATTGACTCCGAAGTTAGCATCAACGAAAATGAATCTCCCTCCACTGAGGTTCGTCAGTACACTCGAGACCTAATAATTCTCCTTTCATCACCCCAGACCAGTACTCTCTCCAAGACACTGGTATGTAGCGTTTTGAGCTTTACGAAAGACCATAGGGATATTCATGCCTTGGACGATATACCAAATGTCGTTGGCCTCAGCGATCAAGGGAACCAATGCCATTATTCCTTGAGTTGTCATCGCAAGTCGCCGATCCCCCGATCGCGGGAGTGAGCGTTTGACGGAACCTCCAAGATAGAAGTCCGTGGAAGAGACGGAGAGGTCGTCTTAGTTCCCGCCTTGCTTCGAAGTCTTTCGCATAACATCAACAGATCATCAACATAATCGTCAGAAGTTGGACGTCCACGTACGTGCAAGGGTCAAGCTGAATAGTCCAAGTAGCTGTGTCACTCATGAGATTACCCATGGTCCGTTCAGGCTAAAACTCCCGTTCCATGGCCATTCTGGTATCGCAAAGAAAAGGGAAGCAGTCTTCAGCCACAGTATTATCATCTCTTTCAAGCCAGTACAGAAAATATTTTGCTTCGCGAAAGATCTTGTCTATTTTTCGAACTTGCTGGCTTTTCTCTCTCATCCGTTTGGTTGATACATACTGCATCAGACCAGAGAGACCTGGATCTATCATCCAAGCAAAATGAACGAAGTCCCAGCTCCAGATTTGTCGTTACAGGAAGTGAGGCACTATCACAAATAATCGTAGATGTGATATCCGAGCAACCCCAAACATAAGAAACTGGCTCATAGTTATATTCTACCTCGCCCAGCAATGCTTCGTTCAAACTGCAGCGGATTACAACATTGCCAAAGCCCGTAATACTTTTATCAAAATAACCTATGTTCTAATACTAAAAGCATTAATAACCAAGAAAATATAAGCTAATTAAGTTTATAAGATTACTATATAGTAACTTCAAAAATAATACCATCACCGATAAGATCATAACTGCTTCTTCATCGAATTCCGGAGTTCGATCCATCATGCTCTCACGCATCGCATCTGCAATGCTTTTGTATTCTATTCCCGGGTCACTATGGTCAAACACCCTTGTGATCTGGGATGCTTCAAACGGTCGGTCGCTGCTAACAGAATTAACAGGGAACTTGGTAATACTCTTGAAAGATGCTTCATGCCCAATGCGGAAGGCAAGATCTTCTGCAAAAGTGTGGCAATGATTGAAGACAATATTGTAGCCAATTTTCGAGTCTACTTGGTCTTGCACTAGCTTATTTGCTTTCAATAGATTGGATGTTAACCACTCAACCTGCAGTGATGAACTGTGATTCGTTTCGTACCAATATTTCCAATCTCTTCAAAGGAATGATCGGTAAACCCGTAGTATACGGATTGCCACCCATTGGGTAGACCTTCATATTCCTGAGGGTCCTTCTGCGCTAAGACCTTGTCCTTGGTGCTTGTGCCAATGACCACGCCGTCATGTCTGTCGTAGACGAAACCCGAGGATTGCGCATTGAGAGGTTCTCCGTTTAGATGCTGGCCCACTTCCGTTACTACCACCCTTGCGTGATGGAAGGGACGCAGTGAGCTGCTCGTGTGTTTGGTTGGCTGGTACTCGATGAATACTGCACGAAGCTGCATTTTCACATGCATGTCAGCCGCAGCAAGAGCTCGTGATGGATCCGACATTTGACTTACTTTACGCTGTTTCTGCTCTGGTGACTCGTTTAGCTCGGTAACCCGGTCCCTGCTGGGTACTTGGTTGGCGATTCCCATCTTCAGTGAATGGCTGCTGTGATTTGATGAGTGTCGATGATGTTGTGCTGAGCCTATATGATGCTTTGGGTATGGCGAAGGGTAGGCATGATATACGCAACAGCAAGGCTACATGGCTACCGGGAGCTCTGAGTCAATTATTTATAACAGTTCAAATCCCCCGCTCCATCGCGGCCTGGTTAGCCAGGGTCTGGTTTCAGGTCTGGTCAGTGCCTCAATGCCTCAGCACAGATTAGAATGAGCTGCACAACCCCAGTCGTCCTCTATTAGGTTGCATCAAGCCAACAACAATGCCCGCATCGCACAACCTAGAAAGCTATTATTGGATACGTGTGGCCTCATTTATAAATTATAAGCGCCGGATGACTTCCGTGGTCACCAAGACGCGTCTTTCGGGACCTACGCATGCCACCGCTGCTCAACCTGCAGGATTGTGGTGTGGCTTGCTTCAGCTGAAACTTAACGCCAGCCTGATTTCGTCCCTCATTTACTTCTCATGCGAGGACTCTCCCCTCTTAGTACTTGTTCTCATGCAGCTATCCTGCATTTGTCACATCGACATGACCTTCTTGAGAGCGCTGCAGGCTGTGCTCGACATGGATATCCAACACTCACGTGTCGTTAGGCCATTGGTGCCCGCTCTATGCTTCGGCAGAGATCATGCCCAACAGCCTTCCGGTAATCTATATAGCGTCCCGTAGATCGATCTGGTGTCTTGTGTCAATTCGTCTCCCAGTCTATCAACATGGGCGACATCTGCGAATCATATTACCCATCTGATGAACACCACAGACGGTTTTGGGACGGCCAAAGCAATAAGGACGAATGTGGAGTGAATGTTCCTGATGGCTTCCCGAAGACTTTGAGCTCAACGCTGGCCTGGAGAGGCGAAGACATCCAAGACAAAGAGGCTCAGTGGAAGGTCAAGCTCTCTGACCAAGATGTTTCTTCCATTCATAACGCCGTGAAAACCTTTGACGGTTGGTTTCCATAAAATTCAAGGTCTTTATGACTGTCCAATTGATCTAAGCTGACCCTACCGAAGAGAACTCCCATGATCTTACCCAGATTTCTACCACCACCTTCCCACTCCCCATCGATCTATCGCGACGTTTGAGACATATCTCGGATAATATCTATAACGGAACTGGGTTCCAGATACTCAGCGGCCTAGACCCGTCAAAGTATTCTGCCAGACAGAACGTTCTCCTACATGCGGGCATCAGTGCTCATATTTGTCCAGAGCGAGGTTTCGTGGACGTCTTTGCCAAGCGACCCGTTGGTATGGCCTCCTGAATTCACAAATTTGAGATTACTTGATGCTAAGTTACCACAGGTCATGTAGTCAATGTTCTAAATGACAGTGATGGGCCTGCATCCATGGCTCCAGCATTTAGTGATGGCCCCCTGGTAAGTTGCTTCGCCCGCTCATCTGTCGAGTCGAGAGCTGTACTTAACCTCGTTAGTCATTCCATACGGACCATTGCGAGGTACTCTCATTTTACTACCAAGAGATGTCTCCAAAAGGCGGGCAAACAATCTTGAGTAGCTCATGGCAAGTCTACAATGAGCTAGCCGCGCACTCTCCCAACGTACTCCATACGCTTGCTGAGCCATGGGTGCTGGACTCGTTAGTTTTTCCAATTCTATTGCGAATTATAGATACGCGATGCTAAGATACTAGATTCAAATCTTATTCATTGCAACCGCCACGAAAGGTGTGCTTCCTCTCCAATTTAGGCCCCGAGAATATGCCACCGGTGCTCTTCCGATATTCTCGCTATCCTATCCTCGGTTGGCAGCGTAAGCGAAACTCAGAGCTACCAGCACCAAGCCAAAAGCAGATGAGAGCCTTGGACGCTGTCCAGTTCATCGCACAAAAGAACGCCATGTCCTTGCCAATTGCTCGGGGTGACATGATCTTCATCAATGACTTGGCAGTCTTTCATGCTCGCGGTGAGTTCAAGGACGGTGACGCAAGTATGAAGAGACACCTCCTCAAGATGTATCTTCGTGATCCCGAACAGGGTTGGATGGTGCCTCAGTCTCTTCAGGAGACTTTCGGGGCGAGATACACTCGTAAGCCCGGCGACCTGAGTCCAGAGGTCTGGGACATTGACCACGAACCTGGTTTGGAAGAGCTTTCATTTGTCAATGGTTAGGAGCAAAGCGGTTCATCAGAGTCTGTAGCAGCAAGTTCTCGTTTCCATTTGTCTCAGATCACCATTATCTCTGGCCCAATGGCTCAGCCCAATCAGCCTCAGATCTTTTATGACTATTAGCAGTGCTTGTCTTGCATAAGAGCTGTTTCTAGAAAGTTTAACGCCTCTCGCTCACGTCTAGAACCTAGCTTCCAGCGTCATCGCACTGTAGCTTAATCGACTGCCCCCCCGAAGATGCGTGAGGCAGAGTGATGAAATGTCCTAGAATTATCTCAAGACTCTTTGCCTTACCTTTATCTGGTTGCTAATGTCAGACTTTACTTGGAGCTCGTAAAGAGCCACGTCATCTAGCAAACCTCCATGTTATAAGTGTTCAATTCTTATCATCTCGAAGGGCCACCATGGTGGGCATTCAGCTGCTTCAGCCACCTCAGACCTCGCTTAGAGTTAAAATCATTTCAAGTATGCCATTCGAGGGAAAGCAACGTGGCTCTTGAGGCTTTTTAGCCCTAATCTCCCAACAATAGGGCCCTACACCAAGCCTCCATAACGATTCGAGACGTTACAATTTTAAGCTCGAATGGCTTCACTGAAAGGAGACTGTGATTCGATGTGGTTGCATACCACGTAACAACTGACCAGTGACGTCTGTCTCTAAAGAGAGCGCCACATATGACTGGCTTCGTTGGTGTTCTGCAACTTAGCTCCTGATTGGGTGCTAGCTACTAGCCATGGCGTTGGACGCACGAACGCGGATTCAGCGTGGCTTATTCGTTGCTAGTTTTTACGCGTTTGTGAGGCATTGCTATGGTGCTAAAATTCCAGTTGTGCAGATGTGGCTTATCGGCTAGAGCTTGATTTGAAGCCATCACGGCGTTTGCCGTTGCAGTGTCTGGAAGAACTTGGATTTATATAAGGTCTGGATACAGATGCTATTTAAGACAATTCACACAATCACAGTTCAGTTCTTCAGCTACAAACATCATCTCGAATAATCCGCTATCATGGACGCGCCCAAGTCTTACTATCTCTACAATCCTTCCGAGCCATTGGCAGGAATTGTCGCAGGCCTTTATGGTGTGAGCTTCTGTATCACTCTCTGGCAGATCATTCGGAAGAAGGCCTGGGTATGGCTTTTCATGCTACTTGCTATTGCGAGTAAGTCAACATTTGGACAAATGCGAGGCATGTCAGTTAACCGTCGATGCAGTGGAGATCATTGGCTACGCAGCTCGAGCCGTATCCGCTACCAAGCCGACAGAGAAAGGACCATACGTCCTTCAATTCACACTTGTGATCCTACCCCCAGTCTTGATGGCCGGTGTCATCTATGTTATCTTCGCTAGAATTGTCTTCTGGGTTGTTCCTCCGGAGTCGAGAACTCTTCGATTTCTCTGGGTGCCTGGTAATTATTCATCGCAGCTAAGTGACAGAGATACTAATACTTGATAATAGCTCGTTTCATCACTCTTCTCTTTGTTGGCTTCGATATCATCTCGCTTCTCCTCCAACTCGTCGCTGCAGTCCTCATCGCAGGCACCGACCCAACCGATCCTGATGCGAAGAGCAAGCTCAATCTTGGCAAAACACTTGGTCTTGTTGGTGTGAGCACTCAGATTGCTGGCTTCGGTCTTTTTACTGTTTCCGCCATCCGATTCCACTTCGCTGCGAGACGGCTTAGCCCCGACTTTGCCAAGGACAATCAGGAGAAGCATGGTATTGTGAAGAAGTGGCAGACCCTACTAATTGTAGTTAACGTCTCATGCCTCCTCATTCTTGTAAGTCAAAATGTCTGCGTATTCATCTCTCGATTACTTACCACTATTAGGTCCGTTCAATCTATCGTGAGATCGACTTCGCTGGTGGCAAGGACGGTACTACCCACCAGAAAGAGTGGTAGTAAGTAAAATTGTCCTACATCCTCGAACAAACTAACGATTATACCATAGCTTATATGTCTTTGACACTCTTCCCATCTTACTCGTCGTCTTCCTCTACAATGTCTTCTTTCCGGGTAGCTATCTCAAGCCCCTTGGTTTCAAAGTGCCCAAAGAAAACCAGGGCGCGGTCCTGGACTCGGAGGCTGCTAGCAAGCAGGTCTCGACGACTGCCGAGTCTGTATGACATGCGTCGTTCGTACCACCAACAGCTCAGGTACCCAGCCGCTTCTGGTTGGTACGGAGAGTTTTATGCCTACTTTTCATGAGATGTCTTCTTCGAGTTTGTTATTTTATCACCATATGCTTTGAGTTTCAGCAAAATATTTGGTTTTATGCATACAGATAGAATCAGTTTATACATTTCGATCATCAATGATCCTCAATTCGCCGACAGCTTGTCTTGATCCCGATTACGAATACGCTTTTTAACGAACTTAGTTGTTATTAAGCTAGGTGAAGCAAATTACAGGGGTTTGGCCAAGATATGGACAAACCAATCGTGAGGGGCAGCTCAGCTAATAAATTGACGATGAACTGCACAGCGTCAACAAAGATTCATAGTCGGTACGATATGGCTTTAAGTGCGAGAACATGGACACTGTTCTTCCAGATGACTTGATGCAGCCAGGCTGGATGGATCACCAACAGGGCTGAAATACCCATCGCGGAAATCATCGGCTATGCCAGTCATTGACGTATGCTATGGTTGACGTTGAAGCGGGTACTAATCTCAAGCGTATTCATCATATAACCCGTCTAAAGCCGAGCTACATAACTCATTATTCGGATAACATCGTCGAAAAAGCAAGTGGCGCGGAGGGAGAGTCAGTCCTCCAAGATGTATGCCATGTTGCGGGCGTGAAACATAACAGGCACCGGGATAGGTTCGCATCCAGCTCACACCAGTATGGATGTGTCAGAAGAGGTACATTAGCCCTGAAAGACTTTGAATTTCATCGCGGGCGGCAATGGCTTCATTCACGTTGCTCTAGATTTTCCTACAGATTCTCCCTTTTTGCATCAGTAAAGATGTATAAGGTTTTCTGCCATCACTTCGAGTGCGCAAGCACTAGAGTCTGTCGCCGATGAATGTTGGTGAACAGGGCTGACAACAAGGTCCGTGCCCCGCCCCTGAAGGTGAATCTGGGGTTAGCTCTAGCGCTTCAACAAGCCAGGTCAACTCAACTCAACTCAATTCTTATGCCGACGTGGGGAAACGCGGAGTCATCCAGAAGCCGAATAAGAGCAGAATGTCGGTCTGGACACCAACTTTACCGTGCACTACCACGGTTGTCTCAACAAATCCCGAACGTAGCCGAATTCCTGCCGCGTAATTGTCACCTAGGTGAGTTAACCAAGACCTCCTGGTTAACCCGACGCAAGACGCCTGAGTTTAGCGCAGCTGCATCGCTCACCGCGACGACCCACAAGGTGAGCTTACGCGAGGTCTTATTGGACCTGCGACTTGATTGTTTTCGTGATCATGGCAAGCCTTGGATGATTTTGTTGAGGAATGCCTTGTCGGATGATGACGGGCTGTGTGCTGTTGTGCTGTAGGGCCTACAGCGGTAGTTCAGCGCTTGTGCACGCCAAAGTGTTGTGATAGGTCGCCCTAGATGGCTGGTTTCACGGTGTTTCGGTGTCTCGGTATCAAATGCCGTAGACTATAATAAGAGTCATAACCTAGAACTCAATGACCTTCTAATCTGATTCTTCAGCTTTTCCATTATTCTCAATTGATTCAATTTGATTGTGGATTGTCAAAATGACGGATGTTATGAGTATTAGGGAGCAACAGCGCTGTACACTGCAGTACTTTGCTGTTGACCTTGCGGCTGCGGCTTTCGCTTCTGCTTTGGTAACTCCCTGGGTGACAGCCATCGATAAGTGAGTGCCATCTCAGCATATATCTCAGTCCCTTGCTATCCTCGAGGTGTTATGAATACTAACGAATGTCGTTAGGCTCGTCTTCAACAAAGCAACCAGCAACACGTCCATCAAATCATCCATGCGAAAGTGGGCATCCAAGCCCAAGGCAACATTTGCCTCTCTCTTCATACCATTCCTCGTCTACTTCGGAACCTACGCAACCGCCAACATGTTCGATTCCTTCAACGCTGTCCAATACGACTGTGACCCCTCCATCGTCTGCTCATCTCCCGCCAAGTTCGCCGCTACCACGACCGTCAGTTCAGGGCTGAGTATATTCAAAGACGCGTACTTTTCGAGAATGTCTTGTGGCATTTCGACTCCTCTGCTGAGCTATGCACTGTTTACCCTGCGAGATGCGGTGACCATATACGCTTCGTTCAACCTGCCTACCATGATTGCTCCCAAGCTTGCCGAGTTCCCCTTCGCGTCGATTACCCCGTTTGCCAACATTTTCCAGTCCGATGATTCAAGGCTTAAGATGGCGCAGTTGTTTATGCCAGCTGCTTCGCAGATAGTCAGTACTCCGATTCATCTGCTCGGTCTGGACGTCCATGCTCGTCAAGTTCGCATGACGATCAAAGATCGGATTAGTGTTATTCGGCGCTGCACTGGCTTTGCTACACCTTTACGTATGATACGAGTCTTACCTTCGTTTGGTATTGGTAGTGTCGCCAATACTAGTTTTAGAAGGAACATGATGACTCGGGTGGTTTGATTTGACTTGCGGCGGTTTGAGATGCTGTAGTTTCAACATGGGAACTCCAAGGAAGCCTCAACGCGGAGAAGTCTTATTATTTTGCGTTCATAAAAGTCTCTTATAAATTGGGAACATCTTTTCAGGTCTAAACTTGCAGCGCAGTAAAACTGCCAATACCATTTTCCGTTGGTTGACCATCATGCCTGCACCGAGCACCTTACCTAGTCCGGTGAAATCATCGAGCTGTTTCATGGTCATGCAACAAGCATTATCTTTGATCCTCTTCCCTCGATTTGTGGATGGGCATATTGAAAGTACATGATCACAAACTGAAGGGAGCAAAGGTTTATGGAAAGCTAATGGTTTTAGAATGCAGTAATTTTCATCTCTTACTATTTAGTGCCATAGTAGTCATCGAATACATGAATCAAACGCTAAAGTCCACTCATTCAATGCTATGTATATACATCCTCATGCCTCGTTCTTTTTTTCCTTCTCTTTCTATTTTTTTAATTTGCTTAGAACTTGTCTTGGTTGGCGTTCTGCATCAACATGGTGTTATCAGGCTTGTACTTCTTGGAAGCAAGGTTGACGTTGTACTCAACATCGAGAACAGCGCCCTTGGGTTCATCCTTGACAGGCTTGAAATCAAGGAGGAGATCGTCCTTGACAGCGCAAGCAGTGTCGGTCTCGAGATAAGGATCATCGTTGGGGTACAGCTGAGCAGTCACACCGAGGTAATCATCGTGGGTGACCATGATGTGAATGTGAGCAGGGCGGTAAGGATGACGGCCCATGATCTTGAGGAGCTCGGCGGATGGACCAGATGTGTCGATGGCGTACTCTGTGGGCTTGAGGCAGTAGAACCAGAACTTGCCGTCAGCGTCAGTGCGGAACTTGCCGCGAAGGTTGTGGCGCGATTGGTTCTCAGGGTCGTGGGCGTCGTATTTGCCGTTGGTGCTGGCTTGCCACATGTCGAAAACGGCGTTGGGGATTCCCTTTCCGGTATCAACGTCGCGGATGACGCCGTGGAAGAATGTGAGTTGGCCGTCCTTGGGCATGTCTTGGACGACGCTGGCACCGAGGTCGCGGAAGGGGGTCTCAGGAGACCAGAAGGGGCCGAGAATGCTGGAGGATGTAGGGGCCTTGCCGCCTTCAGTGACGACCTTGTGGTTGATCTCATCGACGAGGCTGCGATTGTGAGCGATTGATCTGGCGGGCGCAATTGATTGGGAAACTTACGACTCAATTCCGAGAATGTCGCAGACGCGCCATGTCTCGTTGCGGTTCTTCTTGTAGGCCTGGCCAAGAGAGTTGATGTAGTTGACGCCGATGATCCACTCGTCCTGAGTGAGCTCGACCTCTCTGCAGAAGTCGTGCATGTGACGAATGAGAGAAGTGAGGATGACGCGCTGGCGGGGGTCGGTCTCGGGGCTCATGAGGCCGATGACATGGTCTGTGAAGTTGGGGTCGAACTTTGATTGCGCCGTGGCGCCGTTGGTGCCGTTTGTACCGTTGGAGGCCATTGTTGATGATGATTGGAGGGAAGTGTCTGGGGAATGATCTGGGGTATCTGGGGAATGGGTGATGATGAGGGAAAAGACGTTTGGGACAGAACGTGGAGGTCGCGCCGTTAAGTATGAAAATGAAATGTTGTTTGCCGTTTTCGTAGCCGGGAGACTTGGAGGGGGCGGGGCCGTGGATCATGGACGCCAACGGTAGCGGCAATTCAAGTCGGCTCTCCACGTCAGAATGACCATTGCAAATACTGCCTCTCGATTGGCCCGTCTCCTCTAGCACAATCTTGGGGTAAGAGATTCGAACCGGGGGAAATATTCTTACCCGCAGGTGCCGTACCAAGATGCCGATTCCTCACCAAGCGGATCTTTGTTTCTCCAACTTTTCCCACCTTCTGGATGAATAGATTGCCGACTCTTCTTACCGGATATGGTTCTCGTACGATTTATTACCGTTTTCTGACTGGTTTGCTGTCGCGAACCACTTCACGTGCATATCTGATTACATCAACCTCGACAAGGCCATTCTAGAGCCCACGGCAAAGATTCACGGTACGCGCAGCTGGACAAGACAATACCCAGTTTACATCGATTCGAAAACATCAGATCATATCGTATCACAAGAAATATCACCTTCAGAAACGACACTGACCGAGACAGCTCAATCGCAGACCAAGCTCTAGGGTACCTCATCAATTGACTCCGGGGGTCCCCGGCCGGTCAACCTGGGGTAGCGGCAATCATGCCAGGGTCCTGGGACTTAGTCAACGCATCAGCCTTATTAAACTCACCGGGAATAATGTCATGCCGTTTCTGAACCAAGAAGGCCTATGACGTTGTTTACATTGGGAAAGCGTGCTGTATTGACGATGCCGAGGGCACCGTGACAGGGCCCCAGTCATGGATGCGGGGCATTGAATGACCCGCCAAAAACCACAAATCCTAGGGGAGGAAAGAAAACTCAGGATCTTCCATGATCCTAAATGGCAAAAAGACTTAGGTCAACTTATCTAAACTTAGGATACTTTACTAAGTTTAGGGTAGCTTTTACTGAATTTATTTTAATATCTTATATTAAGTTAGTGTTTTCTTACTCCCTGAGGACAGCCATGAGTATAGATCTTGGAGTAGTCTCGGCGGAGGCGAAACAATTTGTGAACAATTTCGGTTATAGATCTCAAGCGATAAAACTGGTCGGAGCACTTGATAACGCCAGGGGCTCTTTGATTTAGTAGTTTATTCTGGTACCCATAGTCAAGGACCGAAGTATAGCTCCCTAAGGCTAATATAACTCGTCAAAGCAAAGGTCTCAAACAGCACCAGCATCACAAATGCCAGAAGTTACAAAGAAACACCCTCGCTAACCATCAACCACCTCTCCTTCAAATATCGGCTTCATCCCTCGCAGCAAAAGACCCATAAACTCGTGCAAACTGCTCACCAAATGCCTTGCACAGCTGATCGAATGGCTTGGCTGTCAAGTCCATACTGAAAAAGTGAGAAGCATACCATCGTTGAACCGAGAGTATAAAGAACTTCCCATCAAGACTTGCTTCCGAGAGGCCAATTCTCAAGATACACCCAACCTTGAGAGACTCAAAGAGTTCAGGATCACACGTCGTCAGTTGGTGCTGCCACCACTTGCAGAAGTTGTCGAGTTCTTCCAGCTTTGCTTCTTGTCGCTCAGTCACTTCTGGGTCGGGATCCGGATGTCGAAGACCATCGGCGCGAAAGTCGAAGTGGCAATCGTGACGAAGAATCGATGTGCTGTGCACTTTTGTTCGTTGGTCGCTTGAGGAGAAGCTGCGGGCAATGATCTGATTTCCAACCATAAACACGCGGATGTATCCCCATTCGGAAACCGAGGAATAGCACTGCTGGTGAATAACTCTCATGGTGGATCCCTGGGTATAGGGCTGGCTATGAACAAAGGTGTTATAGCTCGGGGCTGTGCTATGATGCACGTAGTCGTCGCGATCACTAAACGCGAACCTGACGAATTGTGACCCCTGTATCTCATCAAGTTTGCAGGGTCCGGTGGCCAAGCATGTCTTGGGCCTGTGACGGTATGGTTCCGGTGTGGACTCTTTTACTGCGATAGAATCCAATGCCTTGACATCTGCAATTTTGTATCAGTAATTCCAGCTCTCGTGGTATGCTGGAAAAACACTGATGTTGTCAAATAAATGCTGGAGTGCATCTATGGCTTCATAAAGAACACGAACTTCAGGATGCAGGCTCCAATCGCGTGGGTGAAGCGGAATGTAGAAGATAATCGGCCGGTTGTGATCGCAGAACTGATTACCGAGAGAATTGCCTCCTTCCTTGATGAGGCTCATGATCCAACCGAGAGTGCAGTACTCAACCGTCATGCGTTGAGATCTTTCGGCCCAAAGCAAGGTGACAACTTGCTGATGAAGAAGGACAACGCGTTCGTTCCAGGAGGGCTGAATCAGCTTTGGTTTGAACTTTTGTGATCTCGTGATACGACCAGCCAAGTCGACGAGACCATATTTCTGTTTCTCTTTGGGACCGATATTGCTGACAAGTCCAGGACCCAGATCGACTTCCAGTTCCTGAAGTCTTTCGGGCGTCAAACTGCCTAGGACGTCGCCCGCTTCAAATGATCCAAGAGCTGGGTCGCAGGGGATTCTGCAGTCGGGGCCCTCTTCACCTATATCTTTGTGGTGGCTGATGGCAACAAAGATGACATGAACCCCGGGCTCGTCGTTTTCTTGTCGGGGTCTTTTCGACGGCGCGGAAGCCGCTTGTGTCGTTGGAGGTGCGGTTCTTTTTGTCGCCGACATTTCGCATTTGAGATGATTGAGAATGCAAAATCAGCTTGTGTGGAGTACGCGATATCGAGGTGTTGTTTGCTTTGGATTGAGCGCACCTGCCTCCCTGTGTGAGAGGGGGGACCGCTGAGTCACTGACCAAAATCACCAACCTGAAGCAGCTGGCTTATATTGAGGACCATCAGACATTGGAATTGGACGCCAGCAATAGATGATCTTAGTTCCACGAAACTACAATAAGACTTGCTAGTAAACTAAGCTTTCTGTCACGTCCTACGTCTCAGTCTAGGTTTACAAAATCACGAAACTGGTGCGAGTTCAAAGCCAGGGTCATCTGGACCGACTTGATTGACTTCTTCGGTCTGCTTTTCGACTCCAGAAGTTGTTCTAATACATTTAGATAGATACAATCAATCAATGATCCCGTTCAAGCCACTGGTGGCATGCCTCATACAGCTTGAGAAGCTGGGGTTCAGCATCGTAGAAGTGATCTGACAGGGTCCGATCAACACAGCTGAAGAATCGAAGTAGAGCAACGACAGTAAAGTCAGCGTACGAGGCTTCAAACGTTAGCAACGAAATAATCAATTGGTCCGAGGTTGATCTTGTTCTTACGATGGTAATTCATCAGAAACGGTCCTGGGGTCTCAGCCAGTGCCCCTCCGATCTCGTGGCAGATGGCATCAAGCTGGTACCAAAGCTGCTGGCTGACGTGCTCACTGTAATATAAATCAAGACTCATTCCAAATCTTTTTGATCGCGTGTCTGCATAATATTGCCGATCTGATGGCACAAGAACATTCTTGGGTAGTAAATGTGCCCATAACGGTCTGCTGCTTATCAGCAGCTTCTCTACTAATTCTTCGACCATAGCGGATTCTTCTGAGTCGAATTGAAGTGACGGCGAGCTAAAATGCTTCTCTAACTCCTCGGCAATAGGCCTTGAGCCCATGATACCCCTTGTGGTCTCTCCCTCCTGCAAAAGGATGCAGGGAATGGTATGTGGGCTTAACGGCGGCTCATTCGGTTTCACGCTGAGCTGGTGTCAATGATTGATGTAAATGAGTTTTGGGACCATCAAGACCTCCTGAGGCTGCATATAAATACTGAGGTTGGAAAAATCAAGCCATTCGGTTGTATATGGCAATGCCTTGTAATTGAGGACGAGCCGGGCTACCGTTGCACAGTCAGTCCAACACGCGGCCTTGATGTGAAGGTATCAAACCTTTCCAGACATTTGGAGACCATGATTTTCGTGTTATACTTGGAATATCAAAGAGGGTGATCAACGGACGAGATGCCATTTTTCTTTTTCTGTTCTTTAATTTGATGTCCTCACTGAAATGATTCAGCCGAGGTTCTTTGATACAAGTATCAATTTCTGTTGAGGTTGATCGTCGCTGACATGGAATCGTTGAAACTTGTCCCAGTTGAGTTAGCTCCTTGACTCTGGCATCAAAAGTGGATCCAGTCGGGCAAGTTTATGTCATTTTCCTCAGAGCAAGGTCCGATCGCCCAGATTATCTCCCCGTTCTTCACTAAACATCATTTTATGCCTTGCGCTTTGTGCCTTGCGCCCTGTATCTTGAAACCTTTCTGTTCAATTCCACTAAGTCCCTTTCCTCTGGTCTTTTCTGAAGCGAGAATTATAATTTGTCACATTTTGCAATTGCCTTCTCTCTGAACCAGCAAAAACAAAGCAGCTTACAAACGTGGAGCTCTTGTGTCGCAATGTCTCCTCGCTCTAATGAGCCACCCAGCCCAGAAGCTAAGGTAAAAGCCTATTCGGGTCTCTTATGTCAAATTTGCCGTGTCCCTAACATTAGACCTAGGAACGTCGCGCACGTAATAGGGCAGCACAGCTTAAGTTCCGGAAGAAGAAACAAGAAGTCGATGAGACACGCTGCAACCGGATAAAGCACCTTGAAGGCGTGGTTGAGAGAATGAGCACTGTATTGGTGGGCTTTACAGACGGTCTCTTACGGCAAGAAATAGTCCAACAGAGCCCTGGCATGATGGCGAGCATTCAAGGCGTTATCGCCGATATCCTTACACTGGCCAATGAAGCCGGAGACCCCGAACAGGACCCCAAGGCTCCTAAGGCTCGGGGGAGAGCCACTGAAGCCGAATATAATTCTCCCAAAGACTCCGAGCATGATCTTCCTAGTTCAAACCCCAGTATTAAAGTTACCACTACTCCCGATGACCCGACGACTACCATTTCCCCAACGCCCCTTGCAGACGACTCCCCCATAAATATACCCTTGTTTGAAGACACAATGGTGTCGCTACCGGTTGTTCCAACGGTATACACCCAAGCAAACTACCCACCATCTACGATACCGGCACCTCTCAGCCCTCTTTTGTGGACATCCTCATTGCCCCCCCTGTCCCTCAATTCCTTCATTTGTCGTCTCACATATTCATGCTTCAAGGTTGGCTGCCTTGTTCTCAGCCGATCGATCGATGCACCACTCCCGCTATCAGAAGAGAGTCGCATGTTTGGCTCGACCCTTCGCTACCGCGAAAGGGATGAAATGATCTTGAGAATGCGATGGCTACTCGGCCCCGGAAAGCATGAACTCCAGACCTTGGCTGAGTTGCCATGGGGAGGGAGATGGTGGGATCAAGAGTTTTCCGGTAGCGACCTTGCGAATTATGCCACGAATGTCGCCATGGTTGACTCATCTGCCCCCCAGTTCCTCAGCGTCCTTGGTGTTGAGAAACAGCTCATAGCACTTGGCGCTCGCTTTGTGGATAATGAGACCATCGAGCTGGACGCGAGTGCCTTGGCGATATTGTCAGGGAATCGCCTAGAGCCTAGCTGCGCGCAACCAGAGAGCTGGAGTTTTGTCAACCTTTTCCCATCAAGAGATTCACGACCGCAGATAGACGCACCGAGAGTACGAGTCAGTCTGGATCTGCTTATAATGAACTTGACGAAGATAGCGGTTTGTTTGATGAAAGGCCCTGGCTTTCCCAGACAGGCATTGAGAGGAGTGATTGAACAATCAGTGATTACGAGGGAGATCAATCCAGGAAGGCCCAGTATGGCCAATATGGAATCATCGCTTTGTTACTAGACTACGTAGCAGTACCTGAGTATCTATTTGAGCATCTTGTCTAGCTTCTACATGAACTGCCCTGTAATATTCACTCTTCTGATATTGCGCTTCGTATTAGTTCGGGGCAGCGAATGTCGCCGGACAACAAAATATCTCGCAGAGGCCAATGGAAAACATTGCTCATGGAAGCTCATATCTCTGATTCGAAGGAAACTTAGTGCCAAGAGGAACTCCGTCGAGCTCGGCACATTTTGGAAATCTCCCCACGTCCTCGGGGCTGAAGTGCTGATGCGGTGGATCCCCGTAGCTGTCTTGACCTGGTCTTTTGTCGCTTTCCGTCATGTTACCTGGGGACGAGCCTTTTCCGTTCCTCCTGTTTCTGGCCCTCCATAAAAAGAAGGCAGCCATTGAGATAGCCAAGGCAATGACACCGAGCACTACTCCGACGCTTATACCAGTTATCTTTCCCGATGCAAAGTTGTTTCCGCCCGAGGATGATAATTCTGAACCAGCGGTTGAAGTTAGGTTGTCTTCAGATGAGGTTGAAGATGGCACCTCGCTTCCTGTTAGCAAGGGTACAGAAGGAGTTAGTCAAGATTTCTTGGACAGTGTCTCACTTTTGAAGCAGTGGTGCTGAACGCCTTGTCATTCACGCTTGACGCACTTGTCATAAGCCAGTGCTGTCGACTCTGATACGGAGTATCGTCAATATCTGAACTCATAAACACTGGCCCATTAGGAATACAGTCGAGATGGAATTTGGTTCCATTATGGACATTGATGAACCTGTAAGTATTGTTTGACTTCCACTCAGCAACATCCCACTGTTGTGTTTCATCGTTGCTTGCATCGAGGAGGCAGGGTCGAGTTTTCGTATCTTCGTCAGTAGCGTCGCTCGAAAGGCAAACAGCAAGTTGCTTATCTGCGCCGGTCTGTGAATATCTGAGTATGTATCTGCCGAGAGTTGAGTCCACTGGTTGCTGGCACCACGTATGTTAGTTGGTGTCCGAGGTTGGGAAGGGCGGCTCACAAATTGCCAGTATGCCTTCACGGCTTGATTATCTGTCTTCACCGGCCACACGTGGAGGTTGGTATCGTTAGCCTTTTTGTCCTGGTTTGTTTGAAGCATCGCTTTAAAGTCATTCCTGTAGTTCGGATCCACAGCCTGTTCTGTAATGTGATACCAGGCATTTGGGTTGAGGCTGGTGGCCGGTATGGGGTCTGACATCGCCAAGGCCTTCTACTCAGACGACTCTGAAATCCAACAAATCTATGAGAAGGCTATATGACTTGAATTATTCGGTGTGCAAGTTCTGTACAGCGTGAAAGACAGCAAGACCAAATTCTTTAGTATTGCCAATCTTGTTAGTGAGTCGGGTTGTTTGACATAAGACTGCCCGAATCTTAAATTGCCGATCAATTCAGCGAGCCAGGTCAATCTCCGCGCCCTTGCTGACTTGACTAAACCTGGATTTTGATTCAATAATCCATAGTTGCACAATTCAATGCCCCCTTATATATGCATATCGCTCTGAACATGATATCGGTGGTACGAGGCATGGAATCAGAAAAAGCACAAAGCACAACGGTCACAGAATCAATTTGCAACCATGGAGTTGATACAGCTCTCACAGCCTTCAAAGTCCCTTCATTTCCCTTACCAAACTCTTGTATTTGCCACCGTATGGGACCTTGCCTCCCTGAACATCGTCTTGGGCCTGAATAGCGAAGCCTCAAAGCCCTTCAAAGCCATCGCTACCGCTTTATGGGCCTTCACTGCTTACTACGTAAAGAGGATGAAGAGCTCACCACGGTCTATGGAGTAGAATTTGGCTTCGATTCAAACTTTACTGCAAAGGTCGCATCAGCCGGTTTACCGCTCTCCGTTGACCTTCAAGATGGCTATGGATCTCGTCTTCATGAAGCAATCACCCAAACTATGTAAACAGGAGCTCATGGTACCAAAATTGAAGACATCATACCGGCTCGCGGTCTAGGTCAAGGAATTGAGAAGTCATTGTATCCTTTGGACGAACAAATTCACCGCCTGAAGCTAGCAGTTCGATCCGTAGCTGACGCAGGCCTTCCTGATATTGTAATAAACGCCCACTGTGACGTGTTCGCTTTGCAAGACGACCTCAAGCTGAATCACGAAACGTGTATGAAAGAGGCAGTGAAGCGTGGCAAAGGATATCTAGACGCTAGAGTTACGACTATCTTCTTATAGCGCGGATATGGTGCGGGTTTTACGGAAGGTGACGTGCAGACCGCGATACGCCTAGGCCAGACTCGGGCAGCACTCTCAGTGTTACAGCTGGCTAAGCTAGGGGTTGCCAGAATCAATGTTGGATCCGGCCTCTTCCAGATAGCCATGAATGCTGCCAAGAAATCCGCCATTAGTGTCCTTGAAGGCGGGCTTCTGGAGGAAGTTTAACTATGTGACTTTTTGCCTTTCAAGATAAAGGATATAGTTTGCACATTATTTATAGTGATATGCTTGATAAACCGTAATCCTTTCGCTCGGCATGTATTAAAGTTCAATACCTTCCTTCTATTAGGATAGAAGAAAACATGGTCATCTACATGAGACTTCGCGTAGTTAAGCCAAAACGTCCCAAGGCCTACGTATGTGAACATTCAGATATCCGTTTCCATACGCGGTGTTGGCTCCTCGAACCGTTCCGTCATGAGTGCATTTGTCCAAAGAAACGTATCACTTCGAAGCGAAAGATTACTTGCTTCAACCAAGCACTGTTCATTCGCTTCCAAAGTACTGTAAATTAATATCCCAACTCCATCCTATCAATACATTTCTTCTTCGTCGTGTCCCCATTCATCGATGGCATGAGCATTTGCAGTCAAGTACTGTACAAGAAGACCCTCTCTTCCTTTTCACTAGATTGATTCTAAGTAACTTGTTATTTCGAAGGCTTTTGGCTTAGGAGACATTTTTGACTTACCAACTTTGGAACCTTCCTCGACATCAACATCTCCGAGAGCTTCCCTCTTCTTTGCTGTGGCCTTGACACCAGAAACTGGCATCTCAATGTCCTTAGTGACAGTGGTTCCAGTCTTGGCACCACCGTTCTTGAACTCGTCCATGGAGATTGCAGGAGCAACAGTGGCCTCATGATACTCGTCGTTGAGTTGCTCCTTCTCGTGAATGCGATTTGTAGTGTGAATGACCTTCTGTTGGACGGTTTCTCTCTCGATCACGGGCTGGATGTTCTCATGGAGATGGCTGGGCCGATATGTAAGATTCTGGTACATGGACGAGGCATCGGTTGGTACTTACTGGTGAATGTGCTCGTTCTCCTTCGTGGGAGCATACTCTCTTGATTGAGTAGTGTCCTCAACGTTCTTCTCGTTCTTGATCTTGGCAGCTTCTTCCTTGGCCTTCATCTTAGCCTCGTTGTTGCGATGGTCGATCTCCTCCTCGAATTCATTCTCCTTGTAGACGTGCTTGGTGGGCAGTACATTCTTGTCTTTAACTGGCTGGATGGTGGTATGGTAGTGGTCCTGGTGGACCTCGTGATCGACTTCAGTATCAACCCTCTCATGCTCGTGAGACTTGACGTCTTCGTGCACAACGGGAGCTTGCTTCTCCTTGTGAATGGTGGCATCGTCAGTAGTCTCGACGGTCTTGTCAACAGTCTTATCGAGGCTCTTGCCGACTTGCTTGGTGGCTGGCGCATTGGATTCGTTTTGGTCCTCTAGTGGAACACCAGTTACGATGTTCTTGACGGATGAGGCCAGTTTGCCGAGGGCGTTGGGAGGAAGTTCAGAAGCCATTGTGAATATTTGAGGATTTTGTTGTGAATTTGAGTGATTGGTGAGTAAATTGAACGTCAGATGTCAGAATATTTGTGGTTCAAACAAGCTGTAGAGCTGTCTCTTAAGAGCTCTGGCAGATCAATGAGCTCATGCCGTAGTCCTTGGCAGCGTATGTGGCTAATGCTGTCATCGTTCGTCATTATTTGCACGATTTTCTACGATGCAAGATCGATGACGATGCATTTAAACATGCAATCGATTTACTTCTTTTATGTGCCTGAATCTGCCAGATCTACCAATGGTTTTGATGCTGGGCCGTCCTCTAATTCTGTCACTCTGAATCTCAGATGCCCTGTCATTCTCGCCTTTTGAGTGGTCATAGTGGGGAGCTTACGCCACAGTGATGTATCGACTACGTAGCTAGTGTCACCAGAACCCAGGTTTTTCGTGCAGGAGCCGGATCCGGTGCAGTCGATAAGGTAATTCAAGATGTCAATCACTCTTGTGGCGCAGAATCTTACTCTGAGCTCCTCTGTTTGGTTTAATTTGGGGAACTGCTAGATCAGGAATACCTGTTTTCCAGTTGAAATTATGAGGGAAAACTTGTACTTGTCATCGCGAGACCAGCCTCGGCTGCCACTGATTGTCCCGCCAATCAAGCTCAAAGCTCCCTGGAGATTGGTGGGGCAAACATGTGCTCTTCAAACTTGGCTTTGATCATCCAGGGTTCGACCGCACGTCATTGGGCAGACAAAAGCCAGGCATGAGCTTGTTTTCTCTCATCAAGATGCTAAAATTGACCTGATTAGTTATTTGAGACATGAAGAAGAGATTGCCGAGTTCTTAGCCTGGTTCTGATCCGTGGAACTGGCAGTAGCCGCAGCCTAATCTTTCGATGACGGTTACATCAAGTACTCAATGAACTCCTTCTCATGAGTGCTTTTACTCCCATTGATTGTAAGCAAGAATAGAACTATTTTCATCAGAATGGCGATGTCGTTTGCCCCCAGTCAACTACATAGTACGGCTGGCTTACGAACGCTGTGTCACGTCTCACTAAAACTTAAAAGCGATCTTGATGTCAGGAAGATTTGTTTCTACTAGGCATTCACTCTTTTCAACAACGACATTCTGCGGAACTCATGATATCAAGCCATTGTTAACTACCAAAATTATGTCGAATCTGATAAGATTCTATGTAGTTCGAACCAAATACCGCAGCCCCAGCTCTAACTGATAGACACTAGGCTTCGTCTGCAATGGCCGTCATATTCACGTCTCCCGTCTTGATGAACTGCTTCTCCTTGGGCAACGAGTCCAAAAACTTATCCGAAACCTTCAGATGATCCTTGACAATCTGTTTGGGTGTCAAAGCCAACCATTGTGCCACTGAAACATCTGAGAACTTGGGCGCCTGAAGAACCTCGAGAAAGATCAAGTCCTCTGTTCCAGTATTCTCAACATAGTGAGAGTTTGCAGCAGGTATATATCCAACGCCACCAGCAGTGAAATCGAAGGTGCGGGCGGATGAGGCTGCTTTAAAAACGGTGATTCTACCGCTGCCCTGGAGGAAGTAACTCCACTCGTCAGAGGTAGTATGCCAGTGGATCTCACGGAGTGCACCGGGCTGAACGACAACAAGGGCGGCTGAGAAGCCTTTGGCGATTGGGAAGGTCGTAGGGTCAATGATCTTGACAGAGCCTCCGGGTACGGTATGGGGCTTCTGCTGAGACCAATGGTACGTGTATGAGCCATTGCCAGTCAATGCTCCAGCTGAACCCGTCACGTTTTGTTTCTCAATATCCTTCGGTGCTGGCGTTCCGTTGAAAATCTGAAAATTCATAAGTTAGTATGTAGATAGATGCTGGGGTAATATACTCACATAGAGCTCATCCTTGGGGATGTTATCAAAGGCCGTTGTCTCGGTCTCAAAGTTCTTTGCCAGAACGGAGACAGGGTTTCGCAAGAACAACTCAGATACAAGGAATGTCTCATCTTCAGAGAAGGTGCCCTGATCAAAGACCAGCAAAAACTCCACGCCCTTGTCAAAAGCTTGGAGACTGTGAGGTACGCCAGCAGGGAAGAACCAGACGTCGCCCTCGCAGAGATCATCGACAAAGCTTTTGCCTTCGTCATTAACAGCAGCGACACGCAGACAGCCCTTTGTGACCAATGCCCACTCATTAGCGGTGTGCCAGTGAAGCTCGCGGTACGCATTCGGAGCAAGACGCATGTCGACTCCAGCCATGGCAGTAGCAGCAGGAAGGACATCCTGGTTCTGCTGTCGAGCCCATCCGGCGCCAGCTTCACTACCAAGACGGTTATGAGAAAGGCCAAGCGGCCACATGGCATTGGGGACATCTCCTGCATCTGTACCAGGAGGAGCAAAAAGATCGGGGTTGAGTCTCTCATAGTCGTAAGTTCGGGGACCAGGATCTGTGGCACCGAGCTCGCCACGGATTGGCTGGGGAACATCTACACCATCAAAATCCAGATAGAGCCCGAGCTTGGGGTCAGCTTCCTGGCCATTGACAAGCTTTGGGTCTTTGACGATGGCAGAATCCTGCTCAGGGTCTGGAAGAGGAGCGTTGCCGCCGAGCAAGCTGGAGTCGCCGTACAGCGAACCGCTGGTCGAGGTGACTGTTGGTGTTGGAGGCTTGACTCCCCCTACGGGCCCTTTATTCTCCCCATAATCGCCCATTCTGATAATTATTAGTTTTTGGTTTGGCATCTGGATGAAGTGAGTACTCACTGAGGGGCAGGGAGGGCTGAGCCTGGGGCGATTGAAAGTGAAGCCACCAAGGCCTTGAAGAAGGTGCTACGATGTACCATGTTGACTGTGTCCTCGAGAATTAGAAGTTGTTGCTTGTCTTATTGACTTAGATCTAAAGATGCGGGTTGTGAATGGAGAAGTCCAAGACAGTAGCAGGCTGTTGCCTCTTATAGCATTTGCTCTCAACCCGCTCCATGGTTCTGCAAGTGTGGGATATCATGGTCGATACTATTGCCTAGAATGGACGATCAAAAGCCTCTCATGGCTGATCACTTGCATTGACTGTGAAGTAGGGTTAACTCCGAGATCACCGAGATCCCGAAGTCATCATGGAAGCATTCGGTCCCGACGGAGCATTCGGATAGGCAGTATGTGTAACACAAGACAAAAGTTCCGTCAGCGCAGCCCAATTGCCAGAGTCGATGATGGACATAAGAACTGACATGCATGAGGGTCGATGCTCGTTATACCCGAATCGCGAAATTGTTAATGAAATCCATGCTTCTTAGTAATGATGTAGACAACCCCGAACCAGTAGAATTCGTCGAATTATGCCCTCAGAGTCGCACGGAACGGCACGAGAGGCCCGGGATTATCTTGGCATCAGAAGCCGACGGATGTTCGGCACTTGCATTACTCAGCTTTCGAGGCTTACAACCTAATTACAACGTATACACAGCTCTTGTATTGTGTTGCTTCTCAAAGTAATGTCGTTGATAGATTTCATGCGCTGCCTAGTAAACCAACCCATCCAAAGCATTTATATCAGAGTATCTTTCTTAGGTATTCCAATTCTGCAGTCGAGTTGGCTGTCACAAACAGAAGTTATGTATTTTTAGAAGCGGGTCTTTGAGGTTGCATCTCATTGAAACGTTGCGTAGATGTAAGGGGCTGGTGGGAAATCCGGCACTTGCTATCCGCGATCCTGAATTCAAAGAAAACTCCAATTGAAGGGGAAACTTGATTTTTTATCCCCTTCGGCACCGAAAAGGCGAGTAAAAAGCGAAATGCGACGATCTGCTACGCACTTTGTCTAATCACATCTCGTCCCCGGCTTTAAACTCGCTACTTAGAATGTGCTCGACCATTCTCATTGGTAAAAACGGAACGCACGGATGAAATAGCCTATCGTGAAGTCAAAGCGTTTAAAGCCGCAGGCAGATCTGTACCTTGCTGGAGATAGCGTCATTCCTTTTGAACGGGAGCCTAAAATGAAGCTGGTTTCTTGCAGGCTAAAGACATGGCGCAGCCATGTACTACCAGTAATCTTTCGGAACCAACGCGAATAGGTGAGACGCAACAGCACTACCGGCATTAAAAGCCAAAACCAAAAGGAGGAATACATCACAGTGGTCTACGCCAAAATTCAACGACCTACCACCAAATTTAAGGTTAGTCTGGGGTTTCCTTTCCCCCCTCTAGGCATTGAATAAGTTTCAAACAACATTAAACCCAGTTATACACTAACTAACACTCTTTAAAGATGAAAAGTCTTTCACCCTCCAGGCGGCATTCTTGGCAAACTCTGTATTCCGTTTAAAGCAGATTAAATCAAACAGGAGAAGATAGGCAGTGCTGTTGTTGGACACTGACAAAGACAAGCCTGTGAAAGAAGATTGAAGCACTCCAACTTGACTGTCAAGGCCATTGCTGTACCTTGAAGTCCGAGGAAGAAAAGCAAGTGGTTGTGCTTCTCTTTCCTTACGGTGGCAAGTTAATCAGCTGTAGACGACAAAGAAGCTATAGCCTGTTGTGATTTAATGATAAGATAGTTCCCTGAAAGCAAAAGGCGAGATGATTTTCAAGGCTATTGAGGCTCATGACTGAGTACCTCTACTCTAATTGAAGTATTAGTATAAGTTCAATCCTGTCTTTTACTACATTCGTTTAGTGAATGTTGCTGAGATATTGCCGGCTTGAGGCGAGACTCCAGTGAAGTAGTTTGAGGAACTTAGTGCTAACTATTTGTTGAAATTAAACAAAGGACGGAGGAGAAACATACAGAGAAACAGTAGTCATTGCCTTAAAGTAACTTTGTTATGACTGGTCTTTGGCCAGCAGTTCTCCTTATACGTCAGACTTAACTAGATAGGCTAAAACGCGTACCCTAGATGATTATGTAGTCAGTTGGGGAGCTGCCTGAGGCGTGTTTATGAGAGTGGTATCGTGGGTTGAGAGGCCGAACACCTGATACTTGCATTGTGCGCCTCACTCAATAGTCGAGAAACGGCAATGACAACTACATTGCTGCCTCAATATACGAAGGTCACAGACATTTCGAAAAGCTCCTATGTCTTAGATTTGCTAGGATTATGACCGAGAAGTTCTAATTCGATGGATACAATTGCTGCGGACAAACAGGTTGATTCTCTTTGATTCCCGGTGATCATTCAAGTAAGTCAATGAAATAGGAACATAATATGGTATTCTATAGATATACCATTGGAATTGAGAATTTTCCAATTTCTGTGGCGAAGATAGCTCTTCATGAAGCAAACATCGAAGTTCTTTGCTCAAAACACCTCAGTTAGGACATTTTCGCAAAGCAATGATCACCATCGGCCTGTCATGCACGACTTCTGATTGTTATGGACAAAAACATCAAACGGATGTGATCTTTAGCTCACATAATGTATATGTAAGATCATGCTAATCGTGTGAACTGATGTTGCTGTATTTGGTCGAGTCCATATCAACTCCAACGAGCGGTAGGGAAACTTAACCGCGCTCTCCCCATTGGTGATATCTTGCAGTTAGGACTAACGTCTTCACCAACGCAAGCTTGCCTATCGATAACAATTGATGTCACCCCTCTCCATTTTCTCTCTTGGCGAAAATGTCCTGGTTGGCTGTTCCCGGTCTAGAGTCGTTGACTTAAGGCTCGTCGGCCGTTCAATGCGAGGAGCCGCCTGATCCTTGTATCAAGCCTGAATACGGATGGCTTGACGAAAATTAGGCGTACGTTTCCCCGATACCCTTGTTGGCTCTCACGGATGATGTGAGCGGAAAAGAATACCATGTTAGACGCCGCTTCCCCAGAAATCATGCACCAGCCCCCAAGTCAAAGCGTTAGAGTGGCGAGAGTGTCGGTGTATCACCAAAACAAGCATAACCTCTGTTGGCTGAACCAATATCTGGGGCTTTGTGACGCCGGAGATGCAGCCTGAAAACAGCCCAATCCATGCCTTGAGTCACGTAGAGGCTAACTGGTGGACTGGCTAGGCTCACTACACAGTGGTCAAGAAGGGCCTGTCTAGGCTGTGTCTGGTCCGTGGTAGTCTAGGGCTGCAGTCGAGCCCACTGTACCACGTACCACGAGAGTTAATAATTCTCGCCAAGGAATATCCTTGGTCCCAAATCGCACGGCCTATGACAGTAATAGCGACTGTCGGACGGTGCCCAAACAGTCAATCGCTGATCGATGCTATCAAGTTGGATGTCATGACATCGGGTCAGAGCATGTCGTTGATCCTCAACGTCGACACTTGCTGTGCCTTTCGCTAGTGGGGAGAGAACTCTTTTTTCCGTAGTGGTGTTGTCGATCTCGTATCCGCCTAGGAACCAGGAACGGGCCGCAAAGGTGCCGATGGGGCGGAGGTGGACTAGACTACAGGAGGCTCAACGACTAGGATGATGTTTATACAACCAACACTCAAAACTGAAGCTTGGCAAACCTTCTTAGAAGATGGAACCGAGGATTTTTGCCTTTGATCAGGATCGTATGGACGAGTCAGTTGTTGGTGATAGGCCCACAATGACATTGACCTCCATAATGAGCCATAGCGACTCATGGTCCTATTGGCGGAGCATTTCCGAGCATTTACAGGGGACAACCAACAGCTTAAACTAGTGATGCGATTTACCTAATAACCAACAACCAACAACACAAGACCAGCAGGGTCCCATTAGAAACACCCGACTTGTGCAGAATCTTCCGTGGCCCGAGGCTCTTGCGGTTGGCTTGACTTAGCCAGAAACAGACACGAGCCGGGCGAGACAAGGGGGAATGAGGCTCTCACTTACTATATCGTACTAGTTGACATAGCTTCTCAACTCCACATGAAAGCTAACTACTGTTGTTAGAATGCTAAGTCCCACTTGAAACGATAAGGTTTCCACCTGGCCATAGTCTAGGGCTGTATCTGTGGCCCGATGACATGGCAACTGACCAGCCATCCAAGACCTTGCACCGTGCAGTGAAGTGCGCTTTGGCTCAATGCTTCCCCACGGTGTAGATCATGGGCATGCTGTCTTCTCATTGGCTCCCTTCTCTTTCAGAAGCATTACTGTGTTACACTGATGTAAAGTTGCAGGGTTCGAGTTATACGAACACCGCTCATCGACTCACGGTCCATCGGAAATCATGATATCAATGGCCACACGATTGGAGCGGAACATCGTCCCCTAGAATATCCAAAATCCTTCGGAGCTTTCCTCTTATGGAAGTACAAGTAATGATATAGTGAAATCCATTAAAAGATTGAGTCCACAGATGGGTATAAGAGGCTGGGTATGTCCAGAGAAATTTCTCTCACTTCACTATCCACTCAAACACAACCATCACCACAAATTCACACTCCTCTTTTATTCAAGATGAAATTCACCACTACTCTCTTCGGTCTTTTCGCCTCTCAGGCCCTCGCCGTCAACATGTACTCGGCCCCCAACGCCGCTGCTGAGTGCGGTGCCCTCGGCGTCGCAGAATGGGATCTCGATGCCCTTCCCGCCGACACTGAAGTCTCTGAGCTCCGCAAATGCAAGGAGCATCCCCTCTCACTCAAGATCCACAGCCGCAATCCTGACTCTACCAAGGTCAACGTCCTTGAGAAGAGAAAGTGCACTTCGTCCATACACAAGCCCAAGTTTGGCTGCGACAAGCATTGGTGCTGGCAGAACTGCGGCAGTCGCAAGGAGGAGGAATGGGGTGCGTGGTGCTGGTCTGCCCACAAAGATGGAACGGGTGATTGGATGAGCTGTTCTACTGCCAGTGACTGTCCTTCTGACGACAAGTACTGCGCTAAGGGTGACTGCAAGCAGTGTGGTTGCGGTTGCTAAGCTCAACACTTTCACAATGAGCTGTTCAAAGATGGAAACACGGCCACTTACCCGAGTACTTCTTAGAGGGCATTCATTAGTTGGTTTATATTGGGACAAAACTTGAAATATGTATAGCCTTCCCCGCCTGAAATTTTATATTCTGATAAACGGTCATTATTATCCAGTTACAGAAATACACGCGGATTTTGCTTTTGGGGACTGTATATTATCATCGACGTCCCATCATGCATGAGATCCCTGGTCGTAATCATATTGGTCTTGACTCATAGCCAGCACCTTAATCCACGAATGCTAAGAGGCATCATGACTCAAGATCCAAGTGACGGACAGATGAGACTGAATCTCAACAATAGATGTAATAATCAGACCAACCCTGGACATTCTCTCAAGTGACCGTATAACATACACTATTACCAAACATCGGAGGATTAGCTGAGTCTAAGTCAGCGCATGAGCTTAAGTCTAATGGCACGCAGCGTTTATGACAGTTCTCATCAACATGGAGCAATACAGAGGCTGCATTTTCCAGGTAAGTGATGAAAAAGAGGATCTCACATGAGCTGCCCAGATCCAAATAGATGAGATATTACCAAGGTTTACAGAGCCTTAGCGACGTTTTCAATTTCGACCATTGTCAACATCTATGGCTGTACTCTCGAGTTTCCGAGTGGAAATCATACAAAACGACCCCTTGCTCATTCCTTATCTTAACCCTTCTTGTATACTCAAGCATACAAAGCACAATGATCTGCGTAGCATGAGAAACCCAGTGTGAACTTTGAATCCATAAGGCCATAAATTTCCAGCCGCTGACGAAGCAAACAGTGTCTGGCCATAAGTTTAAGCTTTTCGTAGCTAACACATGACGAGGACACACGTTGTTTTTCACAATATAACTCACCGAGTGGCGAGAAGTTGATGGCTTCAAATCAATCAGTCAATTTCACATAATAGGCTTCTAGCCAAAAAAAAGTTGATTGGAATTTTTCACCGTGTTGGCCTGATATGTCTCGTTGAGACGTCATGAGCTTTAAGTATCAGACAAGCTTCCACAAGATATGAAGGGGCAAGAGTTCAGTGAGTATTCAAAAGGGAATTTCCAAAGAGATGGCGAGATAAATCCATTGTTGGGTCGGCTCGTCAATGACTTCAAGGCCAGGGGAGGTCTTGACGACTTCCATGTATCAAGACAAGACTCCCATGGAACCGACATCTTGGACATGAAAACGCACATAGGTAGGTGTCACGCATGATTTCGCCGTAGGTTGAACATTTAAAATGTGATGCAATTATTTATATTCTATACAGAGCCTTCAGGCTGTTTTCCCCTCATCATATTCCCCATACTGCCACCGTTTGTGGTTTTCCTCCGCCCACCATCTCGCTATGAAAGCCCCCTCTTCAACCCATTGCGCAACGTCATTGCCAAACCTCCGTGAAATAACATCTGTGAAAGAAGTAAAGTCGAAACTTTGCACAGAGTCGTGTTCCATGGGATCTTCATCCACGTTGCTTAATCGCCATTCGACATTGTCGATGAGAGGAATGGCAAGATGGCGCTCTGGGTGACGGGCATCTCGGGCAGTTACAACAGCGCGACCAGGATTTACCACGACGAATTGCCAGTTCCCTTGACCGGTTGTCTCGTTCTTCGTGAGGAGTGGTCGAATGAGGGATTGGCCTTCGTAATTGCGGACGAGGTCGGATGCAGCTTGTCGGCTGACGTTGTTTAGGGAGCCTGTCTCGAGGAGAAGATCGAGGATGGTTGGTAGGATTTGGGACGAATGGACTGCATCGTGGACGTCGAAAGCAGGCAGGAGAGGGTGAGACAGGACAAGAGGAACGTGGTCGATGCCGATGCTAGGGTTGTAATAGGGCGACACGGCGCCATTCTCAGGCATAGAAATGCCGTGATCGCCGACGAAGACAATGAGTGTCTCATTAGCGACACCCTGCTCGTCTAGTAGATCCAAGATCTTGCGTAACCATCGATCGTCATAGCCTTCTGTATTGAGATAATGCGAAAGCATATCATGTCCATTAGCAACTGGGACGTACTCCTCGCCCTCGGGCAATTTGTAGGCGTGGTGACTTGTTGATGTTATATGCGACAAGAAAACTCGCTCCTTCTTCTCCTTGGCCTGGACAAACACATCACGGAAATAATCCTCCAGGGGGTCCTCTTCGAAGGCAAAGCCGTTGATTCGCGGTAGTGTCACCGGCCCGTGTGTCGCTTTCTCAGATCGTAGCCACTCAAGTCCAATGAGATGCTCCTCCGGAAAGCCCGTTGCCTCCATCAACTCTTGCTGATTGTTATAACCCAAAGTCGCAGCGGAGTAGAAGTATGACTGCCACTTGAAGTCGTTGAAGGGGCGCGATCCGGCGTCGGTAGCGTTGGACACTTGGTTCAGAGCTTCGAAGATATGAGCCAAGCAAGGCTGGTAGATATGGTGCGCATAGTCGAGATTGAAGTCGGCTAGCAATGGGCCGATACCACACAAGGTACCGACCAAGCTCTTGAAGGTAAAGGTGCCGGTGGTATGGGCATTGGTAAAGTGAACGCCGCCGCGCTTGGGCTTGGAGCCTTTGTGGTCGAAGCCGTCGTCGTAGTCGCCTGTGATATAGTTGGCGGTCGGAGTGAGATTGGCCAATTTCTCTTGAGCCTCTTGAGGAATCGTGTTGTCGGGGAAGGATGATGCTAAAAGGTCCCAAATGTTTCCATCCTTCTTGATGGGGAAAACGTCATTTCGTGTGCTTTCTAGGAAGCACAGAACGACATGTCGGATGGGAACGTCTTGTAGCTTGTCCTTCAGTGTTGGAACCAGATCTTGCCCGAGATTCGATATCTTCAATGGGTCGACATCAGCATTGTAATGCGGGCGCTTCCAGTGCCAATCCTCGAACCCGGCCAATGCTTGATCGTTAGGAAGCCAATCGAATGGCTCGGCCGTCGCGAGCGCAGTGAGATTGTCCCAGCTATGCTGAATGCCAGTGCCAAAAACACTGGGCAAGTCTTGTAATGTCGGTCCCGAGGAAAAGTCCACGAATGGCGAGAGTGCTGCAGTATAAGAGAGAAATATGAGGGATCGATCGGAGGGTCGTGCGATGGCCGCGTAAAGGAGCGTGAGCAAGAAGATGCCGGCCAAAGCGAATGGCACTGATCTCAAAGCAGTTCTAAGTCGGAATTGAAACGGGCTCAGGTGCTGGGTCTTTTGTTCCTGGAGGTCGTCGTCGGAACTTTCGTCATCGAAGGATTCGGTCTGGCCCTCGAGATCGGCTTTCGGGACAGGGACGTAGCGATTTTGGCGGGGAAGAATGCGACGAAGCAATTGCCAAGCATTGGCAATCAACCGATGAACAACCTCAGCGACATAGCCATGGATGTTGTAGCAAGGTGTTTTGAGGAGCCAGCTCAATAAGATGTTGGCGCATAGGACACTTGTGAACGCGACGCTGCCCGACAGCATCAACGATTTGGAGGAGGGGTCGTTTGGTAGAGAGATGTTGCTGTAATGTATTTCGGAGCCGGCAACGAGGTAAAAGGATATGGAGACGACGCTGAGCAGCGCGTTGATGAACATGAATATCGCGGTGAAGACGAGGACGGCGATCTGCGACCGCGTGGGCAGGTTCGTGGACCATTGGTCAAGGAGAAGTCGAATGAGGGTGAGGACGACGACATCTTGTGTGACGAAAGAATAGCCCCATCGATGTAATAGATTTTGGTGCACGGCGTTGATGTGTGCGTAGATATGTATTATCTTGGCGCCCCAAACTGCGAGGGCTGTGAAGGTGAAGAAGAATTGGCGGTTGGGTACTCGTTTTAGGAGAGCGCGTGCGAGCGCCAAGGCCGCCTGAGACGGTGTCGTATTCTGCATCATGGGATGGATGGTTGTCTAAAAAGAGAGGAAGAAGAAAACAAACACGCTACAAAAAGAAATGCCACGTTATTGAGCCTCCAAATAAGCTCTCATAGAAAAAAGTCTGTTATTACAGAAAACCATCGCATGGCAAAAAGATACAACAGCAAAGGCAAAAGCTTGAAACAGAGTGCACCGAGCTAGGACCACGGGCGAGACCGTTATTAAGGGGTTTTCTTACTACTCCGTACCTGACCTACCTATACCTGTACTACATGTGGAGGGAGCCTCAGCCTCAGCCCTCTTGCCCTCTGGGGGGGTCAGCTTCTGCCAGCGCTGACATTTTGCATGTGTCTGGCTCCAATCAGGGCTCCCGTCGGTGATCAAAATAGTTACAACGGGGCACTGAAAAGGAGATGACTCGTGTGACTTTGGCTTTTTGGGGCGGCTGGCCCCGGATCTTCGGCACACACCAAAACGGGCTGAGGGGTGCCGTTGTCAGCGTCGACATGAAGATGGTGCTGGGCGGCGTCAATCTCGCCCAAACATGGAGTTCAAGGGACACAGTTTGTATTTCCCATAAATTACACTCATCGCGGCAATCTGAAAGTGCAACATGGTGATAATAATGGCGGTCAGACTCAGTGATTGACCGACAAGTTGCATAGAAATTCGACGTTTGAAATGGACGTCAAGATCCATGCATCCCGTCAGATTTCGCAGATTTTAGAAGATGGGTCCCCCAAACACAGGGGGCATTCCAGGGCTGGGTTCGGTAACGGCAATCGAGTTGATTGGCCCTCACCTCTAATTTCCTCTGAAGCTTAGCTGCAAGGGCCAAAGGGGCTCGGTAACACGGTTCAGAATGCAAAATGGTCCTTCACAGTTGTTGTTGTCGACAGCTTTGCCGATGCAGCTCCAGATTCTGCGATCATGAAGTCTCCAACCGCCTCAAACAGCCGACAAAAATATCATAACTCTTGGGTGTGTTTGCAGCCAATATTCATTCAGTGGCCGTAACGGGTATGCGCCGAATTGCATGTTGTAGGTAATACGAGGCACAGTCACTCACAACTGTTTGTGCCCTGTGCATCCAGCGCGGCATTTGTCGTTTTACGGACCAGCCAGTGAGTCCAAACACAGCCCCATTTATCGCCAATCAATGTGGAGTGAATCCTGCTGATCTGTGCCCCCCTGTGCAAGGAAAACAACCGGGCTAGTCGCGTGTTAAATTTGGAGGGGCAAAGGCTTGGTCCTGGCTGATGTCCTGCTTCTGATTGGCATATGTTGTGATCTTCAAAGGGGAGGAAAGGTCTAGAAGAGCAGTCATTCTGCCTTGGCTGCTTGGCTGGCTCGACTCTGCCACCCTCTTCAGCCCTACAGTACCTCCCACAGTATTTATTGAGAGTAAAGTGATTGCTGTTAATTGTAATTGTGAGTCTTTGATGCAACTTTGCACGTGTCGCGTCGGGCATTTCCTCAATCAGCCATCGCGTCAATCCGAGAGCATTTAACCTGGCCAATTGCGCTGCTGCCCAGACCGTCAATTTTCGCTTTTCCGCTGCCATTCACTTTGGCCCCCAAACAAAAACAGAAGGATTTGATGCTAAAAGAATGATCACCATTCGCTACCAATCTGATAGCCGGAGGATTCAATGCAAAACAGGGTAGAGTCTGGAGCTAGGGGCCCGAAGGATGCGGGAAATCCACTACCGTAATCACATCAGCCGTGAGAAACCAGCTCACAGCCACGAAACATGCATTTGCCAAACGCTACCAAGCATTCCATCCTAGCACTTATTTGAAAAGATATATCATAATATTCAGGATTGAGTGCTAAAACTAAGCAATTTGATAACTCACTTGGGAGGACCAATCAGTCTCGTCCAAACTGGCACCTTTTGCGTCATTTTCAAACCCCAGAATAGGGTAGGCCCTTGCTTGCAACACGATCAACACGCATCATGGCGAATAAACCTCCCCGCGGAGCCCGAAAACAGTTGTTGGTCCCTGGGTTTGCCTCTAATCTGCAGAATAATCATATGGCCAGGGCTCAAACAGTTGAGCGTTTTGTTCAACCATCCTTGCCTGCGTGTTAAGATTTCACCATCAATTGAAACTTTGTGCAGCTCTTCAATCCGCGGCCCCCGGAACACAGCCTTTGATGATAGGTATGCACCATGCTTAAAAGAATCTTTAACACGGGACCGACGAGATTAGGTTCTCACTTGTGAACTCTGTTCGCACGTGGTAATTCTTTTGGTTCATCTTGAAGCTGTTCTGAACTCTCGTCTTCTCATGACGACGGCGATTGCGACGACACCAGCCTTAGGCAACTGGCCATGTTGTCATGAATTATCATCCCATGAGCGACAGAAAATAATGCTAGCAAAACTTGGTAGGTCGTGACTGACGGCATTATCCTCGCTTATCCCCTTCTCCCGCATAAGCAGATGTACAGTTTTGCATTTGCCGAATTCCTTCCAAGTATATCCAGAAAGACGGCTGCGAGCCCGCCAGCTTCGTTTCGGTTTTATGCTAGCTTCGTATGGCCACTCAACAGCTGTTCTAGATAGAAAAGTTTGAGATTGATATGAGCTATATGTACAAATACGGCTACTTCGTTGCCCGTCAGAAGTCAGCTACTGAAAGTGTATCAAGCGACGACAGCGATTTTCTTTTTACTTGTCTTCCTCTCGAAGCTGGATGTAAACGTGTTCGTAAGTTCACTTGTAGCGAAGCTAGTATCCCCATTTTGCAGTTACAAATGTCTTCGGAAATATAGCCCTGGTTGAGAGTTGAAGCTTGCCGAAGTTGGGATTCTATATCTACATGATCATGTTCAACTTATTCTCGAAAAGATGTCATCTGGCTGATCCAAGACAACAGGATTGTGCTTCTCAGAGAATTGCATCATAATTCTCGTTCCATGCTCCATTGCCGCATTGTTCGCACGCAAACACCAATACATACAGTTCGCAGACCCGTTGCCCCTTTCGCGATATCGAATTTCTGAAAATACAAAACTACACATATCTTCGTCTCCTTCGTAAGATGACGCGAAAGCACAATGTCTCAATACTGCTGCGCTGAATGCCAAGCATTCATGACAAAAAATAAACAACCAGCAACCAACGGTATCGCGGAACAATATTCGGCGCGATTCGGGCTTTAGCCGGACCCCGCGAAATGCAATAGCAACATGTCAGCATGGCTAACTTCGATGCACCTCATCTCTCCACCAGACCGGCCATGGATCCCCAGACACATCAACTGCCAATATCCTTTGAACTTTCTACAACGTGGGAATACTTTTGCCAGCTCTTGGAATTGTGTTCATAAGCTGACAATTGATCTAGATCCACAAAGCCAAAGCTGACTCGCACGAGTACAAGCAAAGTCAGAACAGGCTGTGTCACCTGCAAAAAGCGTCATGTCAAATGTGACGAAGCAAAGCCTCACTGTCGAAATTGTGTGAGGAATAACAGGCAATGTGAAGGTTATGCCATCCCGGACAAAAAACGGAATAAGGGGCCAGGCCAGTTCCAATGGGATTCGAAACGAGTCACCTGGACTGCTCCCTTGAAGACGCAGCTTCATCTTGTTCAGGATTCTCTCGACTTTCGAGACGCTCAGAGTGTTCTTTATTTTGATGAGTTTATACAAGTTGTGCAGAGCCCGTGGATCTCCGCTGGGTTCAACAGCGATTTATGGTCCGTGACGTTACCCCAAGTTGCACGTACGAACGATATTGTACGGCATGCCGCGATAGCAATCGGCGCATTGAGCAAATGGCTCGCTAAGTTGGAACATGATTCACTTGGTTCGCTGTTATCGGCGGATAATGAAGCCGCGCAGGAGGATCCGGACTATTTGAACGCGGTATCGCACTACTGCCATGCACTCAAACTACAGAGCCAACAAGCTTCGATACACGACGCCGTATTCCTTTCAGTTCTATTTCTATGTTTCGAGACACTGCGAGGAAACAGGAAGGCTGCGCTGGATCACATAAACCATGGATTGGCAATGTTGCTTGCGCTCTTGACTGATGCAGATTCTACTCTGATGACGTCCGTCGCTCCAAACCCAAAGCCCCTCATCGCCGTGGTAGCAGACATCTTCTCCCAACTGCTTCCACAAACAAGACTTATCCTACGCGGGAACATCGGCCGTAGCCCCGCTGTGCCAAACTTCACCAGAGGTCTACGCGCCAAGAAGCATACAGTCGAGTCTTTTATGTCCATGGTAAACCAGATACCTCGCGACTACCCGCCGACTGAAGAACTGCCCTCTGTTCTCGACAATCTGGACGACTTCGAGAAGTATTGGCTCACTGGTCGGAACGCCAAACTTGCTGTGGTTCCACTTCTTATGGAGGCTGTCCAGAATACTGGTGTTTTGGTCTCATCGGATCCTGACATTATTTCCAGAGTTTGGAGGGAAATCACGGCTGATCCACGTATCAAAGAAATCTGTGAAGCCTCCACGAAGGAATTAAGGGCCCTCGAAGCTGCATTTATGCCTCTCTTCAACCGTGCAATTATGTCGGATGCGAAATCAACGGACTATATCAGAGCTGTTCATCTTCGTTTGCATTATCTCGGTACTTGCACCTTCGACGATCTCACGCATTTCTACGACGTTGAACCTATCCAAGCCAAGACTCCCCTATTTCGCGAGTACCTCTCCCTAGCCGAGATCAGTATCCGCATCGCGAAGCGAGATTTGAAGAACCCGGCGCAGCAGCTTTCTTTACAATGCAATATGGCATCGCATCTCTTTCTCATCGCATTATTCTGCCGAGACGCACTCCTTCGCGACGAAGCTACATGGTTGCTAAAAGACTACCCTGGCCAAGACGGGATTTGGAACGCTCGCTCGCTGTACCTGCTATCTCACAGAAATAAGGTCGTGGAGAGGATAAATACATCTGAAGGTACAGCCATAGAGCAATGGCACAGGTTACTACGCAGGGAATATCTGTTCGAAGAAGGGGGTGACCGGGTTATTTTCTGCTATCTGGATAAGGATGAGACTACAGGGGAGTGGCAGCTTGTGGAGGAGACGGCCGAAGTGAAGGGAGAGCTTGACGCTATTGAATGGAAGAGAAGACCACCTTCAGCAGCCGGCAGACCTTTATTGGGAGATATAATTACCCTCTGGCCTGAGTTGGTGGAATAAGAGCGACTTCAAAGCAAGCGATGGGAAACCAGTGGCTGGCTTCATGTGATGTGATTAGCGGAGTTACTTGTATAGTAAGCTATGTATACTATGAACATCTGGTCCTTCAAGTCATGGTTGCAAGATGCTTCGATTTATGCGAAGGCATTGATCGTGCAAACGAAATCTAGTAGAGAAATAAGAAGTCATGACAGCACGCTGTATCTAAGAAGAGAAGTTTACAAAAGACTATTGATAAAGACAGGAAATGAAGTATAGAGTTGGCTGAGAAGTTCACGAAAGGTCATTGATCCAGAGCTTGGTTCTGCACCATTTCCCAGTAGATGCCCTGCTTGTTGACGAGTTCAGTATGTGAACCCTTCTCGATGACCTTTCCATCGTCAAAGACAAAGATGACATCTGCATTCTGAATCGTTGAAAGTCGGTGAGCTACAGAGATGACAGTTCGTCCGCTGCGAGCTGTGTCGATCGCAGCCGCAACAACCTTCTCGGACTCTGAGTCAAGGGCTGATGTCGCTTCGTCAAGAAGAAGAATCTTCGGGTCTCGAATCAGGGCACGGGCGATTGCAATTCTTTGCTTCTGCCCTCCCGACATGGATATACCTTTGTGGCCCATGTCCGTGTTGTAGCCTTCGGGAAGTGAGACGATGAAGTCGTGGATGAAGGCATCGCGACAAACTTGGTGGATTGTGTCGTCGGCCACAGACTCTGGATTATCGATTCCGAAGAGAATGTTTTCGCGGATGGAGCCTCTAAACATGGCGGGTTCTTGAGATACGAGAGACAAAACTTGACGGTAATCATAGACATTCGTATCCTTGATGTCTTGGCCGTTGCATAGGATCGCACCATGGCCGGTTTCCAAGTCATAGAAGCGTTCGAGAAGCGATATAACGGTTGTCTTGCCACAGCCTGATGCTCCGACAAAAGCGGCATACTGGCCCTTCTCAATGGTAAGGTTCAACCTGTCAAAGACGGGAACGTCTCTCGTGGGGTATTTGAAGGAGACGTCGCGCAACTCAATCTTGACTCCGCCTTCAGTGCCATTGATACCCTCTCCGTCCTTGCCATGTGTATGCCGGTCTGGATGAACAGATTGCCGCACGTCGAGAATACGGTTAGCGGAAGCAGTCACTTGGGCAGCGCTTGGCGCCAGTCCGAACCCTTGACTACCAGCCTCTGCTCCCTGGATGACAGCCATGAAGCAGACAAAGAACGCCTCCATTGAGTATTCTCCGCTAATAAGGAGACCGCCGCCGTACCAGAACAGCAACGCTTGGCAGCCAAGACCGACACTGTCCGCGAAGCCAAATATCGCTGACGTCCACTGAGCCTTTCGGTTGGCCGCCTTTACATGCCCATCCAAGAGGTCGCGGTAGCGGCTGTTGATCGAATCCTCCATGGTAAGTGACGACACTGTTCTGATAGCCTCAATGGCTTCGGTGGCGAATGCGGAGCTTTCTTGGAAGACCGCCGCGTTCATCTTGTCAAAGTGAACCTCATGCTTGTACTTCCAGCATCCGCCAGCGATCATCAGCGGCAGAGCGACGGACATGGAGATCAACCCGAGTTTCCAACCGAAGACGAGGGAAATGATGACACACCCAGTGATGTTGAAGAGGGCGGAGAGCATAAGTGCGAGGTTGATGCCAAGAAGTTCCTCAAGCTGTTTTGCGTCACTCGAAACGCGAGAGCTCAGAGACCCATGAGAGTTATCTTCCTGATCAAAGAAGGAGAGTTTCTGATACAGCATGTCATTGAGGTACTGGGACTTGTACACTCCGCTGACGTAGTATTGGACTCGCAATCCGATCCAGCCCTCACAGAGATACGCAAGGCCAACGCCTCCTGCGAGGGCGAACCACATGAACCCCCAGAATTGGCTCTCGCTCTTCAAGTCACTACCCTGAAGAAGGAAGACCCCGAGGGCTTTCGCGAAGAGCCAAGCTTGGATGGGAGTACCAGCTGCAACGGCCATAGACGAGAAGAGAATACCAAGGAAGTTAGGCCACTTCTGTCTTCGTTCGTACAGTAGCTTTCCGAAACTTTTGAAGAGCCCTCGAGGCTTCTTAAGGGTTTCTTTTTGGGCGGGAGTCGCAGTGACATCAGCCAGCTTGGCATCAGGATGATGTTTGTGAGACTCATCGTCCGACACAAGAGCGCCCTTCTCTTCCTGATCATCAGCAACCTTCAGAGCCTGCGCTCTGACAAGAGAGGCATAAACTCCATGGGCCTTCGTCATGAGATCCGCGTGTGTGCCTTGCTCAACCGCTTTCCCACTCTGCAGCACGATGATGTTGTCGGCCTTCTTAATAGTAGATAGTCGATGCGCGATGGTGATGGTTGTACGGTTTTGCGTGGCTCTATCGAGGGCAGCTTGCACGATCTTCTCACTCTTCGCGTCAATGGCGCTGGTGGCTTCATCAAGGATGATGATGTTGGGCTTTTTGATGATGCTTCTTGCGATTGCTAGGCGTTGTTTCTGGCCGCCCGACAGCTTTGCGCCGCCGTCGCCGACTCGCGTATCGTAACCCTGGATGAAATGGTTAGGATGGCAATGTCTGGGAAGGTGAGGAGATTGAGAGACTTACATCAGGAAGGCGGTTGATGAACTCATCGGCATAGGATTCTTGGCAGGCGTCTCTAACCATCTGGCGCTTCTGCTCTTCAGGCTGATCTTGCCATTGAGAGCCGATAAGACCATGGGCGACGTTGTTGAAAATTGTATCGTTAAAGAGAAAGGGTTCCTGTTGCACCAAACCGATATGTGAACGCCACCATTTGAGATCAAGGTCTTCGAGGTTGTTCCCGCCGATAGAAACCGAGCCAGCCAAAGTTGGGTTGACTACAGGAGTCTCTTCCTCAGACTGGTCCTGCTCATCAGGCTCCTCGCCGGCCTTCTTTTGAGGTTTGGGCTCAACGACTTGAGGCAAGACGTGGTGTTCCTTCAAGGAGTACCAGCGTTCAAGCAACCCCACTATGGTACTCTTTCCTGAGCCTGAAGGACCAACTATAGCTGTATTTTGTCCAGAATGAATGGAGAAGCTGAGCCCGTCTAGGATACGGACTCCAGGACGGCTGGGGTATTCGAAGGTCACGTCGTCGAAGATAATGTCGCAAGAGGTGATGTCAGGATGGAGGGAGCCAGAGGACGGGATGGGAGCATCGATGACAGTGAAGAACTCGCATGCAGCAACCATGGCTTTGCTAACAGCCATGAGAGGAGTGGCGATACGTTCGAGAGAGGTGAGGATCAACATGACGGACATGAGAACAATGACAATGACTCCGGGACTGTCAATGGCGCCGGAGATGTATCGTCGCGTTCCATACCAGAAGGCAAGACCGAAAGTGCCGAAGACTCCAAAGAACTAGAGAGCTATTAGTATCGGATGTTGAAGGGGAATATGGGGTCATACAATCATGCCGAGATGAAGACCCATGAAGGGCGCCATCTTTTGGCCTTCCTCGATAGCCTTTTCGACCCAGACTCTGTATCTAGCCATCACGCGGGATTGAGCGCCACAAGCGGTGACAAGCCGAATCCCTTGGAGAGCTTCGCTAGCAATAGCGGTACCTTGAGCGTCTGCCTGCCCAGTCGCGGTCTGGCCCTTGACGAGAATTGGCATGGAGATGGACAGGATGACCATCATGTAAAGGATCAAAGACGCAGTGACCAGGGTGATGTCCCAACTCCACACGAAGGCGACAATGATAGCGGCCCAGATGGTGCCGTTGAACTCCAGAAACGTGCCTAGTCGCTCTGAGATGCCGACTTGAAGGGTATTAGACGTTGCAGTGATGGCAGTAGCAGGTGCGCCGGCAGGCATGGAGTCGATGACGTGGATGGACTGTGAAAAGAGAGATTGAAGGTAATGCAGACGAATAGCGGACGAGAGTCGGATGCCAATCATTCGGAAGCAGTATTTGTTGATGGTGTTGAGGCCCCAGCGCCCCAAGAACAGGGCCATGATGTAAAGCGCCTGTCGGTTCAAGATGGATTGGAACTTATCGGTCGGAAAGCTTGAGGTGTCTCTGAAGTAGTCTGTGAACTGATTGACGAGTTGACCAAAGATGATGTTCATGAGCGGCATGGTAATTCCAGCGCCAATGGATGCGAAAGAGGCAAGGGCGTAGATAAAGAAGTCCCATTTTGTAGCGTAACTGAAGACTCGTATGTAGTCGGCAACCTTTGGTGTTCGCTGGGGTCTTTGGGTATCTTGGGTCGTGGTGGGGGATTTCTCGTCATCGTGCTCGGCGTCGTTAGGGGGTTTGGCGTCGGCGGCCATGATGGAGGAAGGGGAAGAACGTCGTAGCCTGCTGAGGGAAAGGTATTAGCACAACATTGAAATACTGTATCGAAGTAGAAAATCGAGGTCGTTACTGTTATAGCGCAGATTTCCACCGCTGGAACGACGGGGATTGGGGTGTCTATGCCAAGCGACAACAACTGCATGCGCTCGCTTGCTGGAAAAGAGTAGATGAAGGATAGACTGAGAAAGAAAGGTTACAATTGCAGTAGAACGGAATAAAATAAAGTTAAAGATAAGAACGAGATGGGACATAGACCAACGCAATAATGTCGAGTCATCCTCCGTCAGCGCGTAATATCTTATGTAGCCAGCACATCTCGTCCTGAAGAACCCCTGTCTCAATCTCGTCGAGTTCTGCGCATCCTCGCTCCCTCGTAAGAGATGATTTCCTGTTCGGGACGTTTTACGAGCTCCACTCTTTTTTTTCGCGACGGTTGAAGTGGGCCCGTATAACTCGTACCAAACTAAATCCTGACATGACTAAGAGTAATCCTCCGTTTGACGTTTCACACATTTCAGGCATCTCGGGGTCAACAACTTCCCGATACTGAACCCGTAAACTTCCCCATGTGTAACTTCTTTTACGGCGCGGTTGGTGAAATTTGCTGATCGTGGCTAGAATCAGCAATTTCTCTACACGCGAGTAGATGTCAGGGTCATCAGGAGACGACGTAAAGCATGAGACGGGCTTCTAACCAGGGTTCAAGAACGAGGTCCTCCTTCGCTCACAGAGCTAAGATAGGGGCCATTTGATTGGAAAACAGCCTTGACTGTCTCAAGTCGAACAAAATCACGAAATCTTGGGATCCAGTTGATGGAAAGGGGTTATTTCCAGGTTCACTGATCTACACGACAGTACTCCTCGAGATGACCAGCAACAGTGATCCTCTGAAGTTACTGAGATTTTGTAAACCCTCTTCAATAACTTTGGAAACGGCTATTGCCATTCCGCGACTAACCTTCTGCAAGCGAGGTGCTTTCTTACGGCCCAACTATTCTGTGCTTTTTTGTACCAGCGTATTGTTATCTTTCCACCAAGGAAGTGAGCAGCATAGTAGCCATGCTATTAAACAGTCAGCCCTCGTTCCCGCAGTCCATTTGCCAGCAGAGGCTCTCATCTCCCGGAACATAGACATCCGGTTCAACATCAGATAGGAAGGACGCTTAGAGGAAATCCGGAAGTGAAATAGAGTAGTGGTAAACAATACCCGGTATCCGTGCCGCAAGTGAGTCGGGGTTCGGACAAAACAATGCTGTAGGAGAGCTGTCCGAGACCCATATCACAATGCTGCTTGTAGACCCCTAGCAGACTCGAGGCGTCTAGCGCATCTTTCATTAGACAGAAGAAATCAGTTACTTCCTCGCCTTCGTTGCCGTGGGTCAAGTGGTAAGTTGTAACCACAACAGCCCTTGGTTCGGGGATTCTTATCGCAAGAGTAGTTCAAGCCCAAGTAAACAGCCGAACGCGAGTCGTTTCGCAAGCTTGGTCGGATCGTAAATCGAGGTGTCTAGGTACTGAAAGCGTAAGAGGTTAGCTCAAAGGCCCTGACGACATCCACCCGCCTTGATCCTCAACAAAAACAAGATACTGAGTGCAACGCAAAGCACTCGCCCATGCGTCCAGGGTCCTTGAGGTGACAATGAGTCCGCATTCTGCCTTGGCCGCTCTGAACAACGTGAAAGTGCCCTTGCAGCTACCAGGCATATTATGATTGCACGAATGCGGCCTGAGAAGAGACAAGGGGGTGCTTCCATGTCGCCACGTTTGTGACCAGGGGTTGCTTGGCGAGTGTGAGCTCTGCGCAGATGCGCAAACTTGGTAGGAATTCTGAGATTGCACGTTGGTCACAGATATTTTGACGCAATGGACCTGGTACTTTGTAGGGGGGTTACACGGAGAGGGAGGGAAAGCTTTGTGCAATATTAAACCTGCGGGGGCTGTTTGCTACCCCTATTATGGGATCAGGCAGCAGCCGTGTCGGAAACAAATCATTTTTGTGACCTTGTTTGCTGGAGTCACCTGATGTATCTCAACTCTGATTCCTTCTAAGGTGTAGTCGATTGGAGCCCTATTCTTGGCATGCCTACGTTAGCAATACTCAGTTCCCATCTTAAGATCGAATTCAATGCTGCAGAGAGCCCGGTCCAGGTCTTGGTCGATCAGATGCTCATGTCGGGTGGTATTGAACTTTGTGACCTTGATATGGCCAAGATAGACCGGAAAGCCACCGTTCTGGCGCCGTAAACGATCAACACCATTGTCTCTTGGGGGTCAACTCAAGCGAAGCCTAGGACAACCGAGACGCAATGTGCTTCCGAGGCTGCATTATCTAACTAGACCATCAACTACCTGGAATTTATCTCCCTCCACCGAACCCATGACATCCATTCTGTCTACCGAGACCAAGATAAGCACTGGGGAGTCCTCACCCCGTGCCTCCGGGTCGTCGTCCATGGCAAACTCAGAATCAACTACATACGTCACCTAGCACCGCGCCAGCCAGCTCGGAGTCTTGCACGTCAAACTCTGCCGATATCTGGACCATCTCTCGCTTCAAAGTCATCTCTGATATCAGATTCAACAACTTCTACAGTGCTGGGGTCAACTACATCTGCATTGTGAACGTCTACAGCCCTAGAGTCCAGTGATTCCGCATCAGAGTTGACCACTACCGATCCACTCCCAATCTTACCATGTCATGGAAACCTTTCCTCTTTAACAACGTCGACAGAAACTTCATCTATTACAACCTGGGCTCTGACGTTATCCACCACTGCTGCGCCGCCATCGACCACGCCTACCACTACAAAGGGTCCAGGTCCTCTTCGAACCTCGATTTTGATGATTCTTCTCCCGCGGCCAAGGTGATTTTCGACTTAGTCATGAGCAAACTCACGCCAAACGACAGAAACCTTCATATTACTGCCCCAACCCAATCTGATGCCGACAGGTATTACAACCCGGCAAGTTTGACCTTAATGATCCCTCTGACCGAGGGGCTCTCGCCGCCGATCTGTTGGACATGGGACTCGATCCCGTTAGTAGACGATTTTGTCAAATTAACTGCAGCTCAGATACCATAGTAACCCTAATTCAGAAGACGGACTGTGCCCGAACACCATCAAGAAGCATGGTATCCCGCGTGCATTAACCCGCCGATCTCACCGAGGCACATCCAGTCACTGTAGGCTCAACGGTAGCTTTGCATGAGCAGCTTGCAAGCTTGACAATTACCTTCTTTAGCGGGACGACTAGAACTACGCTTACAACGGGGCGCTCGGGAAAATCTTTGGCGTGTTCGGTGACGTCGGAACTGCTCATGAACTTGTCTACTCTGGGCTGGGACACCAAGAAATTTCATTTACTTGCAGGCAGACGGAAACGGTCACGCAGCCGGTGACTATAACAATGGGCCTCGGAATAGCCAGCATCCACGACGATGGCTGCTAGAGAAGATAGAGACACCAAGTTAGCACCGGAAGTAAGGACAATACTTGGGCAAATGGAGCATGTTTCGCGTCGTCTGAAAAGCCGGGCAAGTATTTCAAGATCAGAATCAACGGTCCCAAGTAGACTGAGGGGCAGAATCTAAAATACAACTATCTGGATCCCAACACTCTCTTACCAGGAAACGGAGGAATCTATGTTGCTGTAGTCCGAAAGTCCAGCAACATCACCTTTGGCGCTCCTGCTAACAAGCCCACACAGATGGATTTGAAGCCCTCTACTGCCAGAAGGACCCCGATTGTGTCTGTTCTGGTGTGATTTCCTGCAACACGGACACCAGAAATTACCTTTCATTCACTCCAGCAAAATTTGACAGGCAGCGCGAGGATACCGACCCCTGATTCTACAATGACTTTAGGCCTCGCCTCGAAGACAGCACGCCAGGCAGTGAGGTGCCGCCAGCAACTCGGAGGGTAGGTTCCTGTGTCTGTGCATGAGAGGAGTATGTTAGAGGTTTGTCTCTTCTGCTTATCGATCAACAGCTTTTTATTCGATGTACGTGTTTTATTACTCTCTGGATACACTTATGGAATTCGGCCTTATTTAAATAAGCATAAACAAGCCCATTTCTTGTTTCAATGAGACCTTGGACCTAGACGCTGCCTCTAACTAATGAAACTCAAATTATCATGCACAGGCGTTTTGATCACTACAACAACCAGTTATCTTCTCGTCAGACTCACCACTTCCGGCTCAGCCGGCACACAAGGCACAATTTTTTGTTCTCATTATTGAAGCTGAATACAGGGTTCATTTAATATGCAGCGTCTGATAGGCTAAAGATCGTATCAGCATCAATCGGTGTACTCCAAATCCATGGGCGGCTGTTCCAGCCAGATCTAGCGCTGGCGCTATTGAACGCCATGTTGGTTTGGAGGGTTACAATCGAGCCAACTAGACCAGCAGCTAAACGGAATCATCTGATGAGGTAGAGTGAATTATCAATCGCTACCTTAGTTGGAGAGTTACTGAAATACTATAAGGAAACACAACCCCGATGGACTCGCAACATAGCAGTGAAAGCATCTTTCACTCTAATGCGCCATGTCGGACCCTATCACCGCTTCAATACAGATCGGCATCTCAGCCGTAAAAGCCGGCGCAAGTATAGCAACATGGTGGGAATTACGCCAGAGAAACAAACGTGAAGAAGGACAGGGATCAACCTCCAGTGGAAGAGGCGCTGGCCTTGATGAGATCTACTTGGTCTTTGCGTCTTTGGGCCAGCGCTTGATGGCACTCGACGTCGTCAACTACGATGCTTTACCCGAGGCCCTCGCCGCTGTCAAGGTTGCGATGGACATCTCAGAGGATGACCTCACTTACGAGTTGGAGCGTCTTGATCCCATTCTTCAGTATCTCATCGCCTGCGGCTTCATGTTCTGCGCGGCTTGTCACCCCATGCCCATCTACTACGGATATGGCTGCGGAGTCATGAATGACACAAACTGGAGTAACCCTGAGAACC